CTCTTAGTTTATTATATAAGAATAAATAAAGGGTTTACTCTTTATTTATTTAGTCGTTTTATTAAATTACTTATTTATATGTATAAACTAAGGATAGGTAATATATAAGATGCAATTATGCGTCTTTCTACCCACAGCAATCATATGAAGGATGCAATCTCTTAGCGGTTTGCGCTTGCTATCCTGCTACCCTTTATTAGTTGTTCCCCTTTTTAGAGGTTGTGGGTTCGAATCCACTTTTTGACTGTTTTTTATAGCTTTTATATATATATAGTATATAGTAGACTATTCTTTAGTCTTATATAAGTAGTAAAAAACCTATTAAAACCTTTTATAAAGGAGAAAAAGTAGGAAAACTACTTTTAAGATCTTAATACTTTAGATCTTTATAGCAGATTAAGGTATTATTATTATTATTATTATTATTATTATTATTATTATTATTATTATTATTATTATTATTATTATTATTATTAGTATTATTATTAGTATTAGTATTATTGTTATTATTATTATTATTATTATTATTATTATTATTATTATATAGTATTATATCTTTTAAGTTATTAAAGATTACTTTGCCTAAAGGCTTTATAAGAATATCTACTATATTATCTTTAGAGGCAATATGGTATAAGTATATATCTTTATTAACTATATATATTCTTATAAAGTGATATTTTATATCTATATGCTTAACTTTCTTATGAAATTCTAGATTTTCAGCAAGCTTTTGAGCTGCTATATTATCTATAAAGATTTTTAGTTTATTAATTTTATTAAAATCCAGCTTATTTAGCATATAATTAAAAGAGTTATATAAGTATATAGCCTCTTTAGTAGCATCAGTTAAAGCTATATATTCGGCTTTACAAGTAGATATAGCTACTGTTTTTTGTTTAGTAGTATTATAAGATATTATATTATTATTTCCCCAGCAAAATATATATACTGAAGTAGATCTTCAGTCTATAAGATCTCGACCCCAGTCAGAGTCAGTATAGCCTATTAAATCCATATTATTTATATTATTACAGTTATATATTAAACCGTAGTTAGGATATTTATTTAAATAGCCCTATATTCTATTTAGAGCTATAAAATGCTCTTTAGAAGGATTTATACTATAGCGCGAACAAGTTGTTATAGCTAAAGTATTTTTTACCCTTTTTATTAATTATATTATTAATATTAATAAGCACTTAGTACTTATAAGTAAGTACTTAGTAGTCTTAACTAAGCGTTTAGTTTCCTATTTTCTTTATTTAGTTTTATTTTATTATTATATAACTTATATTATAGTTCTTTTATTTTAAGAGATCCCTTTTATTCCTATAATTCTATATATAAAGTATTATCATAACTGCCTAGCTCCCTATAGGCCTTAGTCCTACTAATTATACTTAATAGGTTATAATATAAGGCTTCTATTATATAAGAGTAAATATCTTAAGGTCCTTAGTATTATAGATTATAATCTATTACTTCTATATAGGGCTATTAGTAGCTTAGGTCTTATTAGAGAAGGTAAGTAGTATATATATTTAGTCCTTAGGGTTAAGCTATTAAGTAAGGTAGGTATAATAGAATAAAACTTATACCTACTTATTTTATACTATATACTTAATCTTATATATCTACTTCTTTTTATTATAGCCTATTTTTTTAATGGTAGTATAGATAGTATACTTACTATATATCTTAAGCCTTAGGATAAGCTAGTAAAGGTTAGCCTATAGGACTATATAGTAGTAACAGTCCTCTATAAAGTAGTATATCTTAATAAGTAACTTATTAGGTATAAACTACTATATAATGCTAATTAACTTATAAGGTATTAAATTAAGTATATAGGCCTTTTATACCTACTAAATAATAAAGCTAATCTTTTTAGTAATTATAGTATAGTCTATACTAACGTTAATTTATAGGGTTTAGCAGTATAGGTAGTTATTATATAAGAGCTCTTTTAAGTATAGCTTCTTATTTTAATAGCATAGAGATAGTTACGCGCGCGCGCTAGCGCACTAGGCTTATATTTAGAAGAATCTTTTAGTAGAAGGAGATATATAGATTAAAATAGTATAAAGTAGGCCTTATTAAGTATACTAGCTACTACTACTAACTTAAGCAGTGTAGGTAGTAGCACCCTTAAGTATAAGTAGTATACTATTAATAATTTAGCTAATATCTATAATATAGTATTAAGATATTTATATTAGTAAAAAAGATAGGCTTAATAGGCTTAAAATTAGTTAAGTTAAGTAAATAAGTACTTTTAGCTAGAATTTATAGTAAAAAGAGCGGTAAGTAACTTTAAAGTTAAATAAATTAGTAGGGTAAAAAAGCCTGAAATATCCCCTGAACTTACCCTGTTTACCCCCCTGTCTTATATACGCACTAACCTTTCAGATGCCGGGATAGGTGTAAAGCCAGAACAGGTTTGGTGACAAGGGCGGGGGCTGAGGAGCTCTGATGAGGCTAAGTGCTGAGAACAGGGGTTGGAAGCTCAAGCCAAGCCGAAGCTGGCTTTCTAGGCAGGGTCATCCCGGAAGCTTCATTTGTCTTCCTCTCCCCTTGAAAATCGACCTCGCGTGTCTTTGGCTGCCATCCGCAACGTTTCCACGCTTTTCCCGCATCAAGAACTCGTGGAAAGTCTGTGAGTGTTGAACAAGTTTGTCAATCAAAACCCGAGCCGGGTCGCCCGCCTTACGTCAAGCGAGAAACTGGCAGCATCTATCTATCTTTCACTGGCTCATCATCATTTCTTGTGTAACCTGCTTTTGCTCTGGCCAGTACGAAGTAGACGGGTTGGTAGATAAGATGGAGCTGACAGATGCGGTAATCTTTCCTCACATAGCATTCTCTGATAGGTCTTTTTGGAAGAGCCACACCACCATTACACCTACGCGCCCGCTGCCGGCGGGATCAAGCGAAAGCTTGCAAGACGCATCAAAAGACTCGATCGTCGATTCGTACATGCGAGAAGTCCCCGACCAGAGTCAGCCGTTGCCAGCGGGAAAGGCTTGAGCCCCCAAGATAAAACGATAGCGGGAGCGCCACAAGGGCACAAATCATTGCGGCACACAATCAAACGCCTCTGCCTCTCGTCCGGTTTCTAATCTTAGCACTTTCACTCAGTAAGACAACTCGGACCAAAAAGCTTCGCTGAGCGCCGCGCCAACTTACGTCTGTCAACAACAGGCAGAGCGAATTGACGGACGTCAGAATGAAGCATGAAAAGTCACTCCGAACTTTGAAGCCCGAGAAGTCGGCGACCTACCCATGAATAGGGTTGCAATAGGCACTCAACAATCCCGGCTCAACTCCACAAACCATCTGCGACTTTCGAAATCATGGGTCCCCCGACCCCAGCCGGTCAGCGCTAGGAGACCGAACGAGATGTCGTGATGTCTATCTTTTCACGCTGGAGAATTCGATTCGGACTCTATGATTGGCTCTTATCCGGCCCTCGATATGTCTCCGGGGAAGTTTTCATGGACTGAACGCAACCCACCGAGCTTCCTCGGCCAGCCATCGTAACCAATTTCCGCTTAGAAATGGGTTCACAATCGCATTATTGAGTCTCCATCTGCCCCCCGTTGAAAGGGGGGAAAACACAACCGACCGCTTCATCGATCTGTCCTGATCAACCAGTCTTCGAGGGAGTGGCGTGGCCAAGACATGCAGATGCTGTGCCGTGCCTCGCCCACATACACTCACACTGTCACGTCAAGCTTTCGTGGCTGGCATTGTCCAACGTCGCCCATACCTCGCGGCTAACCCGTTAGCGAAGCGCGGGCTAGGCTTTCTGTTCAAAATCTCACTCCAGACGGCAAATTGGAAGGGTGACTAGCGCCAGACGTGGCCAACCAACCATGCCTCTCGCGATCGGCCAGTTCATCTCAACGAAGCTTCTTTTTTTGCCTGCCCTGCTGTGCCGTCCCGTCCTCTCGTTCAGCTCATGTAAGGATGACGCCGGCAGATGGCCAACCAGGCACCCAACATTGAGACCTGCGCCTAGCGGTAGCCCTGCAAGGTTCATGAGATGGAGTGCTGTGGTCTCGGCCCCCGTTCCCGCACCCTTGTAATATCTTCGCCCGCTCAGAGACAGTGTGGTGACCACGGATTGGATGCCGGCCCCCTCTAGTGTTGCAAGCTACGCAGTAGGCCCAGCTGCTGTTCATCTTGCCGAGTCGATAATCAGCCCAAAGGATGGGTAACATGGGGTATCCGCCGAGTTGTCAGATTTTACTGCAGACCAGACTTTAATGTCGTTCCATCCGCCGTTCCTCCGCCGATGTCCCTTCTTCTTCTTCCCGGTCTAGCCTCGCGTTTTCCCCATCCCGCCAACACCACCCTCCTGCGATCCTTCCGTGCTCTGACCTGAATCTGGCCGAGCTATATGAGTAGGGCGGAGTATATAAAAATGGCCCCTGTGGTGAGTCCCCGCCTGTTACTCTCGTCTTGGCTTTCTTCTCCCGGCTTCTGGCTCCTTTGGATCTTTACCCTTGACCGGTACCCGTGAAGTGCCTCACTAAGATGTCGAAACAACAGGATTACGACCATGGCCCAGAGTTGGCACCTCAGCATGCATACCCCGAGGTGTACCACCCTCCTGCTCCGTCAGATCCCACCTCACCGCAACCGATTCCCATCACGCCGAAGAGAGAGGATTCGACATATGGTGCATACACAGCAACGGCCGTCGACCCGTCCGTGTACGGCGGCACCGTAGACCACCGCTCGACATACCACGCGCCGGCCGGGCAGCACGTCCCGCAAAGAAGCAGGAAAACCATCTGCGGCTGCACATTCCTCGTCTTCATCCTGTCCATCATCATCGCGGTTTTGGCAGCGGCTGTCATCGGTCTGGCAGCAGGAACGGGCGTGGAAGCAAGCCGTGCGAACAACGCACTCGATCAACTGGCGGCCCTCCAGGCCTCGGGCACTACACAGGCATCCGCCACGGTGACAGTCACGGCGGCCAGCTCCTCGGCGACGGCGACGGGGTATGCGTCCATCACCAACAACTGTTCCAACCAGGACGAGACGACGACAGGTCAGAACTACACCACCGACTGTAAGTCACATACGCGAAACCTACCGTTGCGGGAACCCCCACTAACACTGTCAACCAGTCTTCAACAAGGTGACCTTCACCATGTTCTGCAACACCAACGCGCCGAACGCTCCGCTGATGTCGCTCTTTACCGCCAACTTCGACAACTGCATGGACGCATGCGCTTCCTTCACCTCGTCCGAGAAGGGCTTCAACGGCAACGCCACGTGTGAGGGCGTCAGCTTCATCCCGCTGTGGACGACGAGATCAGGTGCCGTCGCGGGCAAGGCGCCAGGAAACTGTTATCTCAAGCCCGGGCCGCAGAACCGGACGTCGCTCGAGACGCCGAATATTGGTACCGAGTGCCATGCCGCCATCTTGAACTCTTCATGAGAGAGGCGGGTCTTCTGGTTTCGGGGTCGGGTCGGGTTTGGGTTTCTTCTTCTATACCACCTTGGGTCAATGAAGGGTCTTGTGTATACAAATTAGATGCCGGCGCAGCGTCAGGGCTTCGGGGACGGACAGCACGTCTTGAGACGGCGAAATTCCATGAAGAAAATTATGTCAGCGATATATAAGTCGAGCCGTTTTTGAAGCGAGTGTGCGACTTTCGTTGGATTCTGAGGCACCACAAAAGTGCTTGCCCGCCATGACGAACGTCGTTGTGTTCAACTTGCCGCATGCCCGAGCCAATCAAGTGGCCAGGGAAATGATGGGAAGGCTTTTCTGTGTCGGAGAACATCGTTGCTGGCCCGATTCTGCCTGGCCTAGGTCGATCGTGGTGATTCTCCTAGATTGTGATTTGAGTTGCTGTGAATAACAAAATTGTTGTGAGAGGTCAAGCGAAGCGTCTGTAGATGGCTAGGTGATCCGTCTGCCGTGTGTGCAATGGACCGGCCTTTTCTGTTGAACGCTGAATTCTTTTTGGGCAGGCTTGGAGCTGGAAAGGTTATCGCGGCGGTGAGGTAGGTAGATCTGCTTACTGCAGAAAGGTAGGTGGTCGAAATCGAATGCGGGAAGGAAGGTCCTCTCGCCGCGGTCCTTCTCTCGACTCTTCGCTTGCAAGTTTCTCAAAAAATGAAAATCAGAATCGACTTCCTCCTACCAACATCACCACGGCAATCCCAATGTCTCGCTAGAGAGCGTTCCGAAGAACCACGTGCCGTTAATTAAGCTACAAATCTCTTTTTAGGTTGTCATCAATCAGCCAGTCAGCTTACCGGTCATTAGCAACGTCAGCCAAGCCAACCCACAGTCAGCGCTGTTCGAACATTGCACAGCACCAAACGCCGGGCTACGATTACCCACTTCCGCCCGATACTGAGCGATGCAAGCCATATAAGTCGGCCGAACTGCCTTATGCCGTCCGGCATTGACCAACCACATGTCGAAATCTCTGATGACCCTCCGACCTCGCAGACGGCCGACAAAGGGTCCAAACCAACCACGCCTCAATTCAAACTTGTCGTACGGCTGTGGGGTCCCGAGTGGGTGGTCTTCCGAGCCTAGCGCACGCCGAGACAAGGACCGACAGTGGCCTCGATCCATCCAAGACGGGCGGTCAGTCTCCAGGGACGGGATGCGGCTGTCGGCGAGTCGGCGTAATATGGTCATTCATGCCTGCATACGAGCGCGGAGAAAGCTGCCGCAGCGGCCCTCCTGCTAAAGAGATACGGATCGGAGTGTTCTCGACATCACGAGTCGGATTCATTTGCGGGCGACGGCGAAAATACCTGCAACAAACTCTGCCGTGCCGGGCGCGGGCGGGATAGCCAGAAGAAAACTGAAGTGGAAAGAAAGACAAGAAAGAACGGACAGAGGCGGTTTCTTTCCGCCAATGTCTTGGCATAATTGTTACCGACAAGATGATTCCGTCCGTCAATGAGTCGGCTTGAATGCTGAATCGCCCTCCGAAGCCGAAGCCGCTCTCCTCTGACATCAAACAATGGTTGCAGAATGAGGTTAGAGGCCAGCGCTGATGACTACGCGCTTGTTTCCTCCAACTGTCCGCGACACAGGATTCTTCCCTCCAGAGACCGGCGACCAGGTGGGTGGCTGCACTTGGCGGGTCAATTATTAATACGCGTTACACGGGAGGACGATACAGCGTCCGTAGTGACACGCCATAGGTTGGGCGCAGCGAAGCTTGACCATCAGCGTGTGGACGACCTCACCGTAAGACGGTTATGTTGAACGCCCATCAACAAGCAAAACATGGGCACAGCAGGCTGCAACGCAGCCTGCGGGAGGGGATTGCCAACCAGGTAGCGAGCCAGACCTCCAACCTGCAGCCTCTCTGCTGCAATGGCATGTTCAGTTCGTCCTTTGCAGTGCCTAGAAATGACAGGAGATTTCTAGAAAGCCCCCGGGATTGGGACCCGGACAGTGATCCCTCCAGTCCCCAGCCGCCTCTTGTACTCGAGATATCGTTGTCGACAGATGGAGCGGCTTTTACACTCATCGGCAACTCTCAACGACTCAGGTCTTGGTCGGGATAGTTGTCCGAGGAAGGATTGCTTGATTTGGCTTCTTTTTAAACCCGATTGCTCTCCAAAAAGACCACATACTCGCGGGCCGACAGACAGCACGGCTATCTTCAGCTACACCCACCAACTCCGCAGTTCCCTCCGCAAAACAGAGGCTATCATCCATGCATCCAAGCGGCACACCGGCGCCCCCCTAAATGTGGGGGGGTCCCCGTCCGAAGGGTGTAGACTTGTCGAACGAAGGGCGCACTCTTGACAAGTTGATGCACACGCGACCCATAGGGACCCTGGTCGGGCGAGCCAACCATTGATGACTCCCACCTGGGACATCCGTCGACGCTGGAGTCCATCTGGCTTGATCCGATCTACTACGGGAGTAGGAAGGCTTTGAATAAAAGAATTCGACGCCGGGAACCAGTTTTCCCACGTCTTGTATCCTTCATCTATATACCGTTTGTCAATTTGCCTCCGGGACGACTTGTATTTGTCAAAACACCGCCAAAGCCGGGCTAGCCTCTTGATCTTCTTGTCGTGACAAGATTACATTGGGCGGGGCTTCGCCTTTTGGTCATTGACAACTGACAAGACTCTTGACGCGACACACATCGAGCCTACGCCCTGTCGACTTACATCTGCAGGAGAGGATCAATGACACATACGCCCTTCCGCAAGTCGTTCCGTTCGTCCCGCGCCTTACACTAAGGGCGCTCCCTAATCATGACCACGATCCACGAGGAGATGGACGAGTTCGTCAACTGGGATGCGGCCGCTGCTGAAGTTGGCAACATCTTCAGCATGCCCTCGGAGGACGCCTCCCTCGCCGATCCCAACTTGGATCTTGTGCTGGAGAATGCCGACGACGACGATTTTGGTTTCTTCGCTCTTCAGCATTTCTCTGCAGAGAATGCCCCTGCTGCCGAGCCCTCGACCAACACCACGGGTCCTCTGGACCCTCAACTCCTAAGTGGCATGGATGATCGCACCAGCTGCAACTACGATAACGATCAGTGTGACGAGCTTCAGGACTGGTGGGTTGCTCCAGAGTTTCCTTGCAACAACTGCGCCCTCGGAGGCTATCAGTGCAAGAAGATACGGGAGGGTCGCTACAAGAATTATTGTACTTCCTGTGTCGCCCTGCAGAACGACTGCAGTTTCGCTACTCAACCCGGCATGTTCTCAATGGAGAACCTATCCCAGAACCCTTGGCCCATCACGGGAGACCATCCGATTGCTCTGCACCAGGACGACTCGATCCCAGTCAGCGCGCCCGGCACGTCAACACCGGACCTGCTGAGGAGCTTGACAACATCCTCCGAAGAGCATGTGCCTATGCCCAACCAGGCGCCACCAGCCAAGATCGGTGCGCGGTTCTCGAGGGAATCAGTTCGTATTCTTAAGAACTGGCTGTCTACGCACACCCGTCACCCCTACCCTAGCGATGAAGAGAAAGAGATGCTTCAACGCCAAACAGGCCTCAACAAAACCCAGATCACCAACTGGTTGGCGAATGCCAGGCGCCGCGGCAAGACACAGGCACCTCGTTCTACCTCACCCCATGTTCGCAGCAGCTGGAGCGGTCCCATTGATATTCCTCAGAGACGAGGAACTCCTGCCCCGGATGGCAGGACCAGCCGCATGAATCCCTTGGAGCGTTGGGTGGACTCCCCGCCCGAAAACGAACCCGCAACTGTCACGGCCATTGCTCGCGCCGTTGCTTCCAGCTCTGGAATCTCATCAGGTATGATCAACCAACTCAAGATCCTAATCGATCTTTCGCTGCACAAGCACGGGCTAACTGTTCCTCAGGCCTCAACAGTCCTTACAGCTTCAACTTCACCGACGATGGATCCGGCAGATCTCAATGCAATGCCTCCTCTGCAAGCAGTGTTGGCACCTCACACTCCTCCGGCGGCTCCTTTGCTTCTGCCTACTCTCACGCATCCCGCGGGTCGTTCGGCTCATTCAACTCCTTCAACCGCGGACGTAGGCGCCGCAGGAGGCGCGCAGACGGCAAGCCTGCAGAGACGACATCTCTTGCTACTCCTCTCAAGACTTTCCAGTGTACATTCTGTACCGAAACGTTCAGAACCAAACACGACTGGCAACGGCACGAGAAGTCTCTTCACTTGTCTTTGGAGAGATGGGTATGCGCCCCTGACGGCCCGGTGTCTCTCAACCCTCAGACGAACCAGCCTTCTTGCGTCTTCTGCGGCGAAGCCAACCCCGACACTGCGCACGTCGAATCTCACAACCACACAGCTTGCCAGGAGAGGACGCTTGAAGAGCGCACATTCTACCGCAAAGACCACCTCAACCAGCACCTCCGTCTAGTCCACAACGTCAAATTCGTGGATTGGTCCATGAAGGGATGGAAGGTCGCCACACCGGAGATTCGGTCGCGATGCGGTTTCTGCGGAGTGGTGCTGCCAAACTGGACGTCTCGTATTGAGCATCTGGCGGAGCATTTCAAGACTGGTAATACCATGGCGGACTGGAAGGGTGACTGGGGTTTTGAAGCGCCCGTACTCTCGATGGTCGAGAACTCCATCCCACCCTGTATGAGACCCCTCAGATATCCCGTAGATCAGCTCCCGACATCTAACTGGTAAATAGATCTCATTGATAATGAGCGAAACACTCCCTATCCGTACAAGGCCAGTGGTGCACCTGCCGAGACCCCCAGGAGCGCTTACGAACTCATCAAAATGGAGCTGGCGTACTTTATGCAAAACCACCACGACAAGACCGGCCGGATGCCCAGCGAAGAGGAGATGCAGCTGGAGGCCTGTCGTATCATTTTCGCCTCTGAAGTGTTGTCCATCAGAGAGATTTCGTACCCCTTCTCGTGGTTGCGTGATGTGATCATGTCGTCGGATGAGATCATGCGACAAGCCAAATTCGGTCCCTTGCGTTCGCAGATTGAAAACAGGCTGTCTACGTTGAAGATTAACGGCAAGGACAACTTGTTCGAGGCTTGTCCACTCGAGAATCAGCTCCACGAATTCGTCAGAGCGAAGCGCCTATTGGGTCTCACAGCCATGGACGAGGAGCTTCAAGAGGAGGCTTGTAAGATTGTGGGACGCATCGAAGAAGTATCGACGACCCCTTCCGATTTCATCGCCAACTGGCTGGTCAAGATGATCTACACTGGTACCGGCTGGCTTGCAAACTTCCGACAGCGCGCTCATCTCCCCCGAACGGAAGACATCGTGAATGCGAACGAACGATCAACCGACCTGACCAAAGTCGACTCGACCATCCATAACTACAGCAGACTGGAGCGGTCGTTGGCGGACTACATGAACTCACAGCGGGCCATGGGCATTGAGCCGAGTGATGCCGACCTCCAGCGACAAGCTCGTATCATCATTTGTAAGTGATATCATCGAAGGAATCTAAATTAAAGAGATGTACTGAGTTGCAATACCAGACGAATTCGACGACGGCTGGAATCAAACGGCGGCAGATGCTAGTTCGTGGTTATCGGCCTTTAGACAGCGTCATCAGCTCAACCCATCCGTATCAAGCGTTACCACTTCGCCTGACGGCCAAGTGGTAGTAGGGGGAATCCAAATGTCTCTGTCGGGAACCTCCCCTTCCAACACTTCCACCGGCAACGATACCCGTAGCCGGATCTGTCCGCTCGTTGGGGAAAGCTACACGGGTTCAGGTTCGGGCCATGCCTCATTTGTCAAGACCGGCCCGTTCTTCTTGAACGACGCAAACTGCTACCGACGTCTCGCGCGAGAGCTGGGTCGTTGGGCCGCAGCTTTGATGTCACCCAACAACCCGAACTCCCATGTTCCAACAGATGCGGAGATTCAGCACCAAGCTCGTTGGATTCTATACGATGAGTGAGTTTCTTCCATGGCCGACTCATTCCGATACCATGCTAATCTTTACAAAAAAGCGATGACCAATGGAACCAGACAGCGGCAGGCATGTTTATCTTGCGGTGCATCACGATCATATGCTAACAAACGGCTGCAGATAATGCTGAGTGGCTTCAACGCTTTAAGCGCGACGCCGGTATCGCAAAGGATCCCGGGCCGGGTCTACCGGTGGGCGACTCGTGGTCCCTCTCGCAAGGCGGATCCGGATTCGCGCCGCCCTACGCCTTCCCCAGGGGCGACATGGCCCCCTTCAGCGACGGATCCGCGGGTGTGCCGGTCCGGGACTTGCGCTTCGACACCGACTCGGCCGTGCTCAACACATACCTCCAAACATTCAAGACCCGGTACGCCAAGCCGGCGACCATCTTCTGCGCCCGAGAGCTCGAAGACGGTCTCATCCGTTTCGTCGAGTCGGACATGTCCATCACCGGCCGCTTCCCCGAAGACGACGCCATCCGCGCGCAAGCCAGGCTCATCCTCAAGCAGCCTATCACTGCGGCGGACGACCCGACTTTGTTGGAGAAGTTCAAGAGCTGGATGATGGCTAAGCAGGCGGGAACACAGCAGCAGCCGCAGTTGTCGGCTTCGTCGTCTGCGGCAGCTCTTCCCGCAGACATGAACCTGACCATCTCTGATGCGGAGATGAACAACATTCTACAGGACATGAACATGGATTTCAGCGCGGCGGACCTGGAGGGTCTCGAGATGAGCATGGGCATGGATCTGGGGGGTGGTGCGCCCCTTGGTGGTGGTCCTCCCAGCTAGACCGGGGAGGGACGATGCATGATGACTTTTCGTACATAGAGGCACTGGTTTTCCTCCGCTCTTGTGTTTTTCTGATTTTGATAAAAGTTATGGCCAGCTCAACAGGCTGTGTTAAAAATGGGGATGGAACGGATGGCGGTGATGAGATGCTCTTAGACGTATCAACACGTATACCCAATAAAGACGTAATGGAATGGAACGAAAATCAAACCTCTTCGGCCAGTGACTGTTGAATGTTATCTTCATTTCAGCTTTCTTCTCATTCTGACCGGTGCCATTGGCGACTGGACCAAGGCGGACGAGTGTTCTGCGCATTAGCAACTGATATAGCTCTCTTTCGAGCGTCTTCAAGACACACCTTTTCGGAACCTTCAGCACTGCTGGCGACGGCAGGATCATGTCTAAAATAACTCGGTTGCTGTATATGGTATGGCGGTGAAAAAGTCGCCGTTACGTGCTTACGTGATGCGGCAGTGCTTTTCGGCAAGTTTTCCGGACATGGGTGTGAGTCTCTTCTACTCGACCAAGATACAACGCAGTCTGAATGTCTTGCACAAGAATCCGATTCCAGCAAGGAAAAGCCTCGTCATTCAGACTCATTGAGGAGTGACTGAGATGTTGCTTTGCTGACTATTACTTGACTTGCGATTGTCCGGCGATGATGGCAGGGAGAGTTTGATTTCCAATAGGCTCAGCCCTGCAATTTCTCAGTTATATCATCGATCAAATACACGCTCGGAGAATAGTTACGTTGAAAGTTGCGTTAAACAGTGCTCCGATTTTGAACACAAGAAAGGGTATGAGAGACGCTGGTGGACCACGTCGGAAGACGACTGGAACGTCTGTCTGGCTTGACACTGTAACGAAGTCGAAGTCACGCAGAAATTGCTAAGGAGGACATCAGACAATGCGGAGTCCTGGCGCAGAATAGGGTACACTCTTATCCGTTATGCTTACACCGTAAACATAACGCACACTTTGACACGGTGTAAGGCAACGCCGATTGATCAACATTCTTAAATAACATGCTATCGGTTCGATGGCAAACGTCCCTTTAACGGAAATGATAGTGTTTTACCCGTTGAACCACCACAGCCCCCATCAGCAGTCCGACAAACCCGGTCTGCCTTCCTATTGACCTCTATCAAAGACAGGGGTCTCACGAAGCCGAGCATGACAGACGCAGCCAACCCCACCACTTACATCCGCCCCAGGACACGGCAAAGAGTCCACAAGGCGCCTCAGTCTCTGGAGGTGCCGGACATCGAAGACGACGCCCCCGAGAGGAAAAGGGTGTTGAACGTCCTGGCCCAGCGCAGATACCGTAAGCTCACCGCTCCGTCGCGCCCCCCCTGGGCGCCTCATTGGCCGCCCTTGCACGTCTCGAGCCGTCCAGACTGACCCAGAACAGGAGAGCGCAAGAGGCAAAACCGTCTCGCCAAACAGAAGCAAGGGGCTGCTGGCTCGGAATCCCAGGTGTCTCAGACAGTTCCTGACCGCCCTGCACTGCCGGTATCTGAGGCTGTCAACCCGATCGCGGGGCATGCAGACGACATCTTACCGTTCACCGGCGATGCAGGGGACGCTAGCGCGGCGGTGGTGAGTCTGGATGCGGCCGTTGCCTGGCCGGGCGATCTGTCAGACGGCACCGCCATGACGGATTTCATGTTCATGCCGATGCTGGATCACGGGATGAGCGGCGACGCGGCGGTGGCGGATTCGTACAGCTCGCGATCGACAATCGACCCAGCGTCTCTGACGACCAGCTCGTCCTCATCGCCGTCCCCGGACAGCTACCTGCTCCCGATGAGCGACCTCAAGGTGCTCAACGGCCTTCTTCGCATAGCGACGAGACTCGGGTCGTACTCCGTGATGTGGGACCCCGCCGCGAACTCGCCGTTCAACCAAGGCGCTGGGACGCCGTCGGCACTGTTGCCCGAGACGTGGAGGCCCACGGCGACCCAGGCCCTGACGCCTCATCATCCGATCATGGACTTCCTCCCGTGGCCGGAGGTGAGGGACCGCATCATCAGCTTGTTCAGTCTGCCCGACGCGGCACGACCGCCGGCAGCCCGGGGCCCGCTTGGGCTTGTCAACTTTGCATACGACTTGGAAGATTCGTCCGAGGGCGCGCGTATCTGGGGCGCAGATCCGTACGATGCTTCGAGCTGGGAGGTCGGCCAGGTACTCTTTCAACGGTGGTGGTTTGTGTTTGATAGGGGCGTCATTGAGCAGAGCAACAAATGGCGTGAGTTGAGAGGAGCCGCGGCTTTGCACATGCAACCCGGGAGCATTGTGGATGATTTGTCCGATTCCAGTTGAGGGAATTAAGTTGCATACAGTAGATTTAAGTGACGACAATACTGTCTCAGGTTATGATGATCACGACCACCTCGCCAGAGTTGAATATTCGTATGGGAATCGCGGTATTGGGAGATATTGGCATGGTCAAGTTGAAATGGTTGTCACACTGGAAGCATAGGGCAATGCAATTCACCGCAACATCAGAGAAGACGGCTCAACCAGAAGAAGAAGGCATAGCCGGAGACAAGTTAGCAGCGCGACATGCAGCAAGCAGGTCGGCGGGCTAGTGCATGTAGTCGCGGGTTGAGAGAGGCAAGAGCAGAGCTCATTGGTCTTGTTCGGAAGCGAGCGCGCGGGAGTGGATGAATGGGTGAATGCAACTCGAAACTGGCAAAGGCAGAGGCAAAAAGTGTCTCGGACTGAGAAACGAAAGTTTGCCAGTCACTAGTTGGCTGCTTCTCGAAGAGAGACTGGACCGGGACTGGGGCGGGATCTCGGTGCTGAGGCCGCTTTTGCGAGTCGGATTCGGAAGTCCCAGTGGCTCGGAGACTTCGGCCGTCCATGTCATACTGCGTAACGGAGGTTGAAGTCGCCGATGTATCAAGAGGGCCAACCCCCGATAAGTCAACCTTATTAGTAAGTGGCATACGTAGCCTTTAAGGTCGGTAGCATAAACACAGAATCCCATTGCGTCTGGGACAGCGTTTTGCAAGTCGCACAACCGGGACTGACAGTTGCGGGCTGCAGCCGCGGTTTGTTCAACCGACCAGGGATGAGTTGCCCAACAACCTTTGCGGCGACTTTTATAGTTGGTTTGACAAACATGGAGGTGTGTGAGTCGTGGTACTCTGTAGCAGTGCAGTGCAGGCAGTACTGGGTAGTATGTACTACACAGGACAGGAGCGGTCTCTTCCCGAATTGCGTGCTTTCTGTGTAGTTGATTCTGCCTCCGTCTCTGCGCCGTTTCCCCAGAAGTTTGCGCGGTGTAGTCGACAATTGAACCAATGGCAGAAGGGATTTGTAGCATGGCATCCAGGGATGTGTCATTGATAGGAGAAACAGAAACAAGACAGTGAAAAAAAACAAAAAAAAAAGAATTAAGCGGGTATCTGGAGATGGACGGGAGAGAAACGGAGGCTGGAGATGGCCGACGACGGCTCCGTGCGCGGTCCCTGGTCGCTGTTCAAAGTTTCGGAGGGGGCAGAAAGGCGTGTCGTCATTGGCAAGAGGGTTGGACGGAGGGACCTGCTTCAACATTTGTGAACCGGGTCTGGCGGTGAAGCATCGCCCCGAGGCGAACACCGCCTTCCCGGCACGGCATTCTGCCGCACATCCCGCAGGAAGGAACGGGGCACCGGGGGCCACAATGGAGGACACTCGTGGATGATGGAGGGGTAAGGTACGTTCCCGATGCAATTAATCGCCAAAGCGGGACATGTTCCCTCCATCTTCGGAGCTCAGCAGTCACAGTACCTTACGTAGCAGCCACCAGCAGCAGCACCAGCAGCATCATGCGTTGGTTCCCATGCTGTGAAAACAGTGTTCCTACGTCGCTGCACCCTCCCACACCCTCCCACGCCTCGCTTCTAGTGGCCGCTGCCCCTCCAAGTGGGGGTCCATGGCTACCTTAAGTACCTTTCCTGGTGAGGTATGGTGTGCGGTGGTGCTGTGCCACTGGCTCTTTGCTATCCTCCGGGACGTTTCCCCCAAAATTTCCATTTTCTTCCCATCTTCAAACCTCTGCGTTCTGGACTCTTGAACTACGTTGGAAACTTGGGCTGTACTTTTCCACACAGATCCGGGGTCGGTGCTAGGAGACAATCACTACATTTTTCCAGAGAGAGACTGTCTTGTAAGTTCCCAATGATCCCTTGCTTCACTTTGTCTAGCTTCCTTCCTCCGCCGTGCCTTAACCACGCGGTTTACCCCTCGATCATTCCTCCTGCACAGCCAGCCATTCCACCCATTACTTCTATTTGCCATCCCGCGTGGGCTTCCCTCCTGGTCTACAAAGCCTCTGCTTCTCCTCCTTCGCCGTTTTTATTCCGCATAGTCGGTCCTCCAAGCCAATTGACTCTAATAATCCTTCTTCCTAGCACCCTACGAAATCAGAGTGCCCTTTGGTGGCCTTCACTTGCACATCACCGTTTTGAACCACCCCGAGATAATCCCCCGCCCCAACCGCCAACATGCATATCAAGTCCATGCTCGATGAGTCCCGGAGGACGGGCGAGCCCTCCTTCTCCTTCGAGTACTTCCCTCCGAAGACCGCCCAGGGTGTTCAGAACCTCTACGACCGTATGGAGCGCATGTACGACTTCGGACCGAAGTTCATCGACATCACTTGGGGCGCTGGTGGCCGAATTGCCGAGCTCACCTGCGAAATGGTCCTCCAGGCCCAATCCGTCTACGGCCTCGAGACCTGCATGCACCTTACGTGCACCGACATGGGCCTGGAAAAGGTCAACGACGCCTTGCGAAAGGCTTACAAGGCCGGCTGCACCAACATCTTGGCCCTTCGCGGCGACCCTCCGAGAGAGCACGAGAAATGGGAGGTCACCGACGACGGCTTCCGCTACGCGAAGGACTTGGTGAAGCACATCCGTGCCACCTACCACGACCACTTCGACATCGGTGTTGCGGGCTACCCCGAGGGCTGCGACGACAACAAGGATGAAGACCAGCTGTTGGACCACTTGAAGGAAAAGGTCGACGAGGGTGCCACCTTCATTGTCACCCAGATGTTCTACGATGCCGACAACTTCATCCGCTGGGTTGGCAGGGTGCGCGAACGCGGCATCACCGTTCCCATCATTCCGGGTATCATGCCCATTGCCACATATGCCAGTTTCTTGCGCCGCGCCAAGCACATGAACTGTAAGGTCCCCGACGACTGGATGGCTGCCCTCGAGCCCATTAAGAACGACGACGTGGCTGTGCGTGAGATGGGCAAGGGTCTCGTCGCCAACATGTGCCGCAAGATCATTGCCGCCGGTATTCACCATCTGCACTTCTACACTATGAACCTGGCCCAGGCCACAAGAATGGTCCTTGAGGAGCTGAACTGGATGCCTTCGTCCGAACGCCCCTTGAAGCACGCCCTCCCCTGGAAGCAGTCTCTCAGCCTCGGTCGCAGAGACGAGGACGTGCGTCCCATTTTCTGGAAGGGCCGCAACAAGTCCTACGTGCTGCGCACACAGGACTGGGACGAGTTCCCCAACGGTCGCTGGGGTGACTCTCGCTCGCCTGCCTTTGGCGAGCTTGATGCCTACGGCATTGGTCTGACGGGTACCAACGAGCAGAACCGCAAGAAGTGGGGTGAGCCCAAGTCCATCAAGGACGTTGCCAACATCTTCGTGCGCTACCTTGAAACCGAGATTGACTCGCTCCCCTGGAGTGAGGCCCCTCTCACCAGCGAAGCCGACCACATTCGGGAAGAGCTCATCGGCTTGAACAAGCGCGGTCTGCTCACCATCAACTCTCAGCCTGCCGTCGACGGCGTGAAGTCGTCCCACCCGGTCCACGGTTGGGGACCCGCGAACGGCTACGTCTACCAGAAGGCCTACCTCGAGCTGCTGGTTCACCCAGACCTGTTCCCCGAGATTGTCGCTCGCATCGACAAGAACCCCGACATGACCTACTACGCGACTAGCAAGAACGGACCGCTGATGTACAATGCATCCAACGACAGCCCCAACGCCGTCACTTGGGGTGTCTTCCCCGGCAAGGAGATCGTGCAACCGACCATTGTCGAGGGCATTAGCTTCATGGCGTGGAAGGATGAGGCCTTCCGCCTCGGTACGGACTGGGCGCGCTGCTTCGAGGCTGGAACTCCCAGCAGAATCCTGATCGACCGTATCATGGACTCATGGTACCTGATCAACATCGGTAAGTTCATGTGACAAACAACGAATCGACTTACACTAACTCATACCAGTCAACAACGACTTCCACCAGAAGACTGCTCTTTTCGACTTGCTCGACGGTCTCTCCGTGAAGGAGTACACCGACATCCCAACTGAGCCTCAGGCCCAGATCAACGGAGCCAGCAAGGAGCATGCGACGGAAGTACCCAACGGTACCACGGGAGCTGCCGTCACCGCTTAGGTGACTTTCATTTCTTGTCTTAACTTACTCAACCCCCTTTACATTTTTCTAAGTATGCATCATGAGCGGCGTTTTCAACAGGTCAAACGGATGGAAAAAGGGGGCAACTCGTGTTTTTTCAACAAAAAGGCACTTTTCACATACAGTCATCCACAGCGGCATGTAAGCGGTAAACGCATGCGGCAGTGGGTGAAATCTCAACAACACACAAATCAAACCTCGGAGAAGGGAGAGTGGAAGGCTTAGGACGGAGCATGCATATATCTCAACGATACCCCCAAAGGACTATGAAGGTTTTTTCCCCAACGAAAAAAAGTCTTGGAAGCCGCGACAAGAGCTAGGAGTTTCAACACGGGTCTGTTTTATAGATGATTTCTTTCATTTCTGGATTTTATTCTTTTACATTTAATGGCAGACCATGCCATAGGATGGGAAGAGATGACGATGAGACGTAGAATGGATGGATATGAGAGGAGACGATGGAAGTGAGCGGAGGTAGCGAGAAGATGGGAACTGGTTGACTAGAACTTCGGCTTCGGCCGTTGAGTAGTAGTCTTTCTGCGAAGCCGAATCAACTTGGGCTTGATTGTTCCCTTCAAACTATTGCTTTCATGTTGGGAGGTCTGCGTGATCGCCATTGTGATGGACACAGACCTCACGTTGAGAAATGCCGCTTTACTAAATCTAAGTCGCTCCATTGTTTTGTATCTACTCGCGGGTTTGTACGCTATGGATGAGCCAAACGACCCAAGCAAATCAGAAAAGTCAACGCTCCCAGATTCTGCAAACCCGGGCATCGCAAGTAAACCCCCGGAACACATCCCTCGATCTCTCTAAACCGCAGTGCCATGGTCAACAGTGCCCGCTCCCTCCTCCGCCTTGCAGGTGCAACCGAATTCCCGCTTGTAATCCTCTGCACTCATACCCTCCAGGCTGGCAAGAGCCACCTTCGCAGCCGCGACCTTGGCGTATCGTCCGCTCTCTGAAGTCGCGTGGAAACGAACACCGCCGTGCAGAATTACTCCGCAGAGAACCTTGGTGTCCGTGAGGGCACCGATTCCCTCCTCGACTCCGGGGGCGACCTCGGTCACCATCAGGCGCCATTCCATGCAGCCGAACTCCTCGCTGAGGAGGTTGCTGAGCTTCGTGACCGGGTGGCGGCTTGCGAACGAGTCGTAGAGAGCCATGTCGGTGAAGAAGGGACGGATGTGCTTGTCGAAGAACTTGCGGACCTCGTCGTAGTTGTACTCCGAATCGACAAAGATGGCGCCGACGTACGCCTCGAGAATGTCGGAGAGGTACTTGGGGGAATGCTTGACGGCGGTCCAGTAGTCCTGAGAGAACATGCCGTCTTCGCCCTCGGCCTCGGCCTTTGCGAACTCGAGCGAGGACACGTACTCCTCCTTCTGATTGAACATTGAGGAAGTGCTGACCAGCATGTGCTTGTGAAAGCCCAGCTTCACAGACAGACTGGCGAGGAACTGGTTGCTGACCATGGCCATCTTGTGCTCGGTGAGCCACTGGGGGTCTGCGTTGGGGAACTTGTTGAAGAGAAAGTCGACGCAGACCATGTCAAGCAACGCATCGCCCAAGAACTCCAAGCGCTGGTAGTTTGGCAAGTTGTCGTACGCTCTCGGGTAAGAGGGGTGCTTGAAAGCACTCCGCAACAGGGCAGGGGACTTGAACTCGTATCCCATAGTTTCCTTGATCTGGCTCGCGACCTCGCGTTGCATCGCTGTCTCCTGTCTGAACTGCCAAGTCGGGGGGTTGTATGCGGCGTAGTAGTCTGTCCAGACGTTCATGCGGTGACTCTTCTCCTTGACCATGGCAGTCACTGCGCGAATGGCCATGTTGAAGTCACCAGAGTCTGCATAAGTGAGATACGATGCACCAATGAGCGCCTCGCAGACATCAGCAATGGACTTGTCCGCGAGCGCGTGGGTGCTGAGGGGTTTTCCCTGCTTTCCTCGCTTGAGGGTCAACCCTTGGGGGTACCAACTACGGCGATCAAAAGACTGTGAGCGCACGTATTCCTGAAGGCCCCTATCAACTGCTTTGTTGAAAAGGTTCTGATTGCAGATGAGAAGCATTCGCTGGACGTGGTACTGAAACTCGTCGTCATCTGGCCTGGACGTGAAAATGGCGATTGTCGTAGCCATCTTCAAGAAGCAGTCGCCGAGGAACTCTAGTCGTTCGTAGTTATTTCCCATGCCGCTCTGGAAGTTGATCTTCTCTTGGTCATGCTCATCGCTGTTGTCCGAATCCTTCGTCATCGCTTCAAGCGCTAGATCAGGACGGATTTCGAGTTCCAGCAGCTTGCATGCATCAAGTGCGATCATGACAGAGTCAATTCGATGGATGATGGCGGGGAACGCAAACGCCATGACCGTTGTCTCGATCGGAAGCTTTGACTGTTAGTTTATGCCTTTGATGGAGTAGAATGATTGGGACTTACAGTCGAAACTCTCATCGGCTCCAGAATGACCCAACAGATGCGCGACTCTTCTGCCGTATCTTGCATAAAGTCGTCGAGAAGGTTGCGCCTCAGGGAGACAACTTCAGCCTCAACAACCGGCTGAGTCTGTCGCCAAGTTCTCTTCTTTCGACTTCTTGCCCACAGACTGACGCTGTACTCAGTGATGTTCTTCTCCACGTCCTTGTCTTTCCACGACTTGTGGCCAGGATCAGGGACGCCGGGAGGAACCATGTCCATGGGTTTCATGTCCTTTCGAACTCCACGTAAATACAGCTTGCGAGATCCTGAATAGGGATCAGTGACAAGTTTGTCCTGGAAGAACTCATGCGGGGTATCATCGTCCCACTCCAAGTACTCCTTTCCCCTTGTTTCCCGAAGATGATTCCAGTCAACCAGCGAGGCGGCATCGTCAATCTGGGAAAGTTTGACTGAGTGGGAGACAGTAGTCGGAGCAAGGAAGTAGGGTACATCGGCGATGGGTGCCTCATACTCCTTGCTGAAAACGTCCTTGAAGACGCGGAAGGTGAACTCCTTCAGAGCTTCAGCGTCGTCAGCGGTCACTTTCACAGGGAAGGGCAAGGAAACAGGGTGGACTTCCGAGCGTTGATCGTTGCCAAAGAACAGCGGAATGGCGGGAAGATCAGGAAACTGCTCTCTCGTGAGGAGAATCAAAGGTCGCGAGGCCCGACCCATAGCTTCAGGCGTCTCAAGCTTCAGGACAGTGACGTAAAGCAGGTCGACGGGGCCCAACTTGGCCCAGATGCCTGGCTTCGACCGCATGTTGTACTCCGCACTCTTCTTGGAGCTGACAGCAAGTCTGGCGTTGCGCATGACGGGGAGTTTCTTGACAAACGTTGGGTTCAAGTGATGATCGATGTACTTCTTCTTGATCAGCTCCTTGCACATCTCGAACGCAGCCGAGCAACGTGCTGCTTGTTTGTTCTTGTGAGGGAAGCCGGTCATGCTGGTAATAGGCGATCTCGGAGGCAGCTGAACTTCTGCAAGGAACTTCTGGCCCTGGTTGATCACCACGTATTCGGGCGCCAGTACCTCGTCCTTGTTCTGACGAAGTGACGAGACGAAGTTGGATAGAACCTCAAGGCTCGACATCCATGTCAACCTTGCACCAGACGACTCTATGACATAAGTCTTGTAGTGAGATTCCCCGGCAAGCACGCTGGCACTGACGTCCAATCCGGCAATCTTTCGATCTTCGGGGAGAGCTGCGCAGAAACGTCGCAGCGTGGACTGGTCATACCCTGCCTGCGCAATCGTTCGACTATGTCTGCCGTTGCCCCCTTCGATGAACGTCAAGTATTCGGAGTTGTCTTGACGCGCCCGTCCCTTTGATTGAATGTACTGAATGGCAGACCGATAGAGGTCAAATCGGATGACGAGGCTACAGCCAGGAATGTCAATGCCCTCTTCGGCTACCTGAGTCGCGAAGAGGCAATTGATATCGCCGTGTCTGAACTTGGAGATGGTCCTGGCCTGTTCCGCAAAGGACATGTTGGCAACTCCGCCATCTGGGCGACTGCCGATCTAGACAGAATTATTAGCTAGTCTTCCTTGATGGTACTAATAATGGGACAGCTTACCAACACGGCTGGATTGAGGTAAGGCAGTCTCATTCCCTCCTGCTTGAACAAGTCAGTGAGTAGAAGTGCTGTCAGTCGCATGTCCACGAAGACGATGCATTTGCGATCTGTAGGCTTAGTGTATCGGGCCTTCAGCTCCTCCCAAAGTCGTAAAACCTTGATGGAAACGTGGTCGAGATTCGGTTCGGCAGGCTTGAACTGATGGTCCTTCACGGTCTCCCTCAGTTTTTGGACGGCTGCCGTCTCTTTGCCGCTCATGTCGAGACCGTAATATGTCATGTCGGTCCTCATTGTCAGTCGCGAGATCGTCGTGTCCGTGAGAAACAGCTGCCACAAGCGGTCGGAGAGCCATGGGCCAAGAAACGATGTAGACTGGCGCGCAAAGAGCAGCTCTTTGCCAAAGTGGTAGTTGTGCCGAACAAGACTGCAAATCTTGCGAAACAACTCGGTCTCGAATGGCATTGGTAGAGTGCTGTAGTGAACCTCCTTTTCCGTGATCTTGCGGACATGTGGTTTCAAGGATATGGCGTCTTCCGGGATTGTGGCGATACTACTATGTAGGAGACCCTCAAGGCGCGCAGCCGCTATCTTGACGTCGGTTTGAGCGTCCACGGGGGAGGCGGTCATGCCAAATATCTTTGGCCTCTTTTCTCTGTCCGGCTCCTTGATGTAGTAGTCCTTGATGATGCGGGCGTAGGGATGATCTTTCTTCGTGTGATGCGCCTCGTCGAAGATGAGCAAGTTGATCTGTTCCATACGGATGTAAGAATGCGCAAGGCACTTCTGAAGGATGGCTGCAGTGCAGACCACGACGCGGTATTCCTCGAACTGCTGGTTCCAAAATTCGTGAGACCACATTGCGTCGATCATATCTCCGCAGAATCGGGCCACGGGGTGGTCCAGGTTGCATTCAAGGACGGCATGTTGCTGGAAGACGAGGGATACTTTGTCGACCTGATGTGTGTAAGCTTCAGTCAGAGAAACCCAGCCGAAACTTCAAACGACTTACCAAGAAGAAAGCAATGCGCTTCGGCTTCCCGATCGCGCGATCCTCGACTTCCTTTTCCAGAACATGCTGCAGCAAAAGTGCAGCGATGAGGGTTTTTCCAGATCCTGCTTCGGCGTTAGTGAAACGCTGCCATCGAATTGAGAAAGAGCATACCGGTATCCAGAACTGCAATGATGTTCTTATCCTTTGCTCTCTCAAACAGCTCGATCTGGTACTCGCGCGGAGACTGGATGGTCTTCTGGATGTCTTTCTTGATAAGACCGGCCACAGAGAGATCATCGATCAGTCTTGCCTGAGTCTCTGACAAAGTCGCGGTCTTTGCGAAGTCCTGGAGAAGGGCCTGGTCCGCCCGCTTCTTCTGGGAGATTGTTCGGGGTTGCTCCGGGTTCAGTTTCCATTCACGGTACGCATCCTCTTCCTCATCCTCGTTATCTTCGTTGTCACCAAGTTGGTTCTTCTCGAGCTGCTCCTCAGCATCATGGAAGGAGTCATCCTCTGCTTCATGAAAAGAAGGAGACGAGGGGCGGGTTCCTTCCGAGTTCTCCCGAGAGCTTGCAGTTGAGGAAAACGGTGTGTCCTTGGGTGATGGGTTAGATGAACTGGTGTCGGTCTCAATGGTTGAGTCCGTCTTCCAGGGCCGCGACCGAGACATGGGGGGTGTGGTTGGCTCCATGACCTCGGTTGAGCAGCCGGCGGCTACGGCTGAGGCTTCCTTCGTCACGAGCATAGTGCTGTATCTGATTAATACCTCCGATCGGTTGATGCTCTTTTTGGGGTGAGAAGCTTAGTTGGATGGATGAGAATGTGTTACTGAGAAGAGGGTTAGCGATGAGAAGCTGAGGTTGAGGAAGGTGATCTCACCGGAGACTTCCTGAAGAAGGGACAAGCAGTGTGAAGTACGTAACTTCAAGGAAGGCGCAACCCAATGATTCAAAGTTCTGATGTCAAATGTAGAGAAAAGACAAGACAGGTCTGACGGGTGGGAGAGGAGGTGGTTGGGGCCCTCACCAGCGCCGCACCCGTTCTAATGTAGAAGAAGGATGGGGGAGAGTTCTGACGAAGTGGGTGGAAACGAGGGCCTGAATTGACTGGGTTCACACCGAACTTCAACACCAAGATTCTATAATGGTATCTCGTTGATACCTTACTATAGGTCTGGTGATGTGAAGTTGTTGTGATGTGAGTGAAGGGTGTTGGATTTGGGTGTGGAGGGGATGAAGTGAGGTATGGAAGGTAGAGACCGCACTTAAGTAGGCGGATTGCGAAGATCTAAGCCTGCAAGAGACATAAGAAGGAAGGAAAGAATAGAGCGAGACGACGGGGAAAGAGCAATCCAGAGTAAACTTAGGATTCAGTCAATCTCTCTGGTTTTCTGATTTGGAGCCAGGCTCGGGTAGCAACATAAGGGCAAACGGATCCAATACAGCAAACATAGAGCTGCCCGAGTTCCTGCCAATGAAAGGAAAAGTTGAGCTTGGCCTGATTTCTGGCTAAATATTCCATTTTCAATCACCACCACAGGCTGCCTCCAGCAAGACAAGTTAGTTCACGCAGAGAGCACCGTCAAAGCTACTTCACTACACCCAGAGGGCCAGGCCTCGTTATCATAAGTGAAGTGGAAACAAGTAATCGTAAACAGCAGAAATTTCAAACCAGGGGTTTATGAGTTGAGTTGAGTTAAAATAAAGTGCTTCGGCACATAATGCAAGTCATCAATACTTTCGCCATAAAGTGAGACTCGCTGAAGTCAATTCCAACCCGGAACTCTGTGATATTGTTGACCCCTGCATGTACCCCACTGTTCTAGACGCTAATGGAACATTAGATAAGATAAGAAGCTAGACCCTGGGGCGGGGCACCCAACAATCCCATCGCCACCAACCTAAGAAACGTCGGGGTCTAGTCGTGATACTTCCTTCCTACGGTTGTCGAGGTAGCGTTGGATTGCTAATTTAGCTCCAACCGTCACGCGCCATCAAAAGCTTCCAATCGCCTCCAGCCCCTCAAAAGACCTGTACTGTTCAGGGCCTCTCTTTTTACCCTCTGATACCCACTTCTCCTCTGCCTACCCTTCCATCCCCTCCGACAAACCACCTTGCTCGAATTCACGATACCCTAAACCGCCAGCATGTCGGACGAAGACAAACCCCAGACTCTGAAAGAGGTCTTCGCTTCGGCCGAGAAGAAGCGCCTCATCCTCGAAAACTCCTACGAAGCCTCCTCTCCCACCTACCACGACGACCTCCGCACCGCCATCACCGAGTACGAGTCCTGCCTCGACATAATCTCCCGTGTCGCCCTCTTCTCCCCCAACGAGTCGCTCGAAGACCTCCCGACAACCTCCCTGCCATACCTTCCCATCACCTTCCACCTCGCCGAGTTGCACCAGAAGACCCCCTCCCGCCGCCCCATCGAACGCCGCGTCGCCCTCGAACGCGCCCGCGAGTCCTACGAGACCTTCCTCGGCCTCCTCGACTCCTACGACCTCCTCGACGGGCCCAACAAGAAGCTCTACTCCCAGTACACCGACGACCCCGTCGCCTTCTCCACCCTCGGCGGCACCGACCCCGCCAAGCGCCGCGACGTCAAGATCGCAAACTTCAAGGCCGAGAAGGCCCTCAAGCAACGCCTCGAGACCCTGCGCCGCGACCCGCGGTACCAGGACGACGAGGGCGACGACGAGATCGTGCGCGACCTGCACCTCGCGCACGCCGCCTACGCGGCGCACATGGCGTTCCAGGGCCTGGAGGGCATCAACCGCGAGCTGGACATCCTGGCGCAGGCCACGGTGCCGCTGATGCCGTCGCCGACGTCCGTCGAGGACGACAACCGCCGGCGCGCCGAGGACCGCACCGCCGAGGGTTTCACGGACAGGCTGGAGGCGCCGCGCCGGCTGCACAGCATTTTCGGGCAGTCCGGCGGCCCGCTGCTGTCCAAGGAGGGTAAGCCCCTGCAGCCGTTCACCCTCGTGGGCAACAGGCAAGAGATGGCTGCCAACGTGTTCCGGCCGGGTCACAACCTGCCCACGATGAGCATCGATGAGTACCTCGAGGTGGAGCGCGAGCGCGGCGGTATCATTGAGGGAGGCGGCGACGCGAGCTGGCACAGGCCCGAGCCGGATGAAGATGATTACGAAAAGGCGGACGAGGAGACGATGAAGGCGAGAGCGTGGGACGAGTTCGTCGAGGCGAACCCCAAGGGCTCTGGAAACACGCTGAATAGGGGATGAAGAGAGGGCTCGGGCTACTGGAGTACATAGGACGGATGGGAGTTCATGCATAGACGGAGGGAAAATACCACAATACGATGAGAAGGCTCACAGTTTGGCGAGCTGGAATACACTGCATTAGCTGCTCGGCTTTCGGTTCCCGAAGGCATCTGCTCAGACTATTATGAAGGACCACAGCTTTCCTCACAAAAATTATCCTTTCAATTTATGTGTACGAAGTTGCTGTACAAAGCTGCCTGTCATCTGCCTGAGTGTCTGTATCATGAATGGTCATTTGCCCCCATGTTGGGGAGCAATACTTTTTCAATGCCCTCGAGTGTAACATCCATCGTCCATGCACATCCTGTGCTATCACAACCCCCCTGAACGCCCAAAAGAGATCACATCATGCAAAACAGAAAATATCAAAGCCAAGTCCTCAACGTGAAGCTCAAATCAAGACCATGTCATCATCAGAGTCGTCTGCCGTGGTCGTCATAAACTGATCAGAAAAGAAGGGCGCCTTTGTGGCCGACGTCGTGGTGGTTGGCTGCGCGCTACTCGAAGAGGACTGGGTGTCGACCTCAACCGTGGGCTCCGGAGTCGCCTCCCGGGATCGGCTATCCTCAGGACCAATCTCCGTCATGATATCATCCATATCGTCGTCCTCCTCCCCATTGTCGAGGCCGAAGCTCGCATCGGTGTCCGACTGATCGGGGGTTTCGTCGAGCACCAGTCTCTCAACAGCATCACCGATCGACTGCCCGTCGGCGGGAATAGCGTACTTGGCTTGCGCGAACTCTGACCCGCCATCTGTGAACGACTCAGAGTGGATGGAGACATCGTCCGCGATGACCCTGTTCGGGCCGTACACGGTTGAGATGCCATCCTGGACATCCACACTGCCGGGTCCAACGGTACTGCCACCGTCCAGACGGAGCTGCCTAAGCTCGCTGCTCATAGATCCGGCCACGCTCGACGTGTCGGACGGAATAGTAGCCCCCGTGTGGTAAGCTGGTCCAGGTCCCGCGGGTCCGTAATCGGCGGGTGGAAGAGAGGGTTCAAAGACGCCGCCGGTGCCGTCGTCGTTACCGCCGGCCCAGAGAGGGAGGAACTTGAACTCATTGTGCGTCAGGTTGAGCAGCAGATGCGATGACATGAACATGGGGATGCCGAAGTCGGCGCGGATGAACTCATAGCAGTAGGGGCGGAGGAAGTGCTTGAGATCTTGCTCGAACTTGGAAACGTTGAAAACGCGACGTCCGGGGTCCAGTGAGATACCGGGCGGCGCCCGCGCGGGCAACACCGGCTGCCAAGTCGGGTCCTGCCTGAACTCGGGGTGGTGGTGCATCACGATCTCCACGGCGTACCACAGCGAGCTCGAGAGGCTGTGGAGATTCTTTCCCGTCGCGAGGAATGTCATGGTGTCCCCGAGAGTGCCCCATCTCTTGCTGATACTCTCGTATACGAAGGGACAGAGGGCCTTCTGGACGTCGTTGAACTGGTTGTAGATCAGTTCGAAGCGATGGAAGTGCTGAACGTCGACGTATGTGGCGCGGTAGTCGTCGATCCGTATCAGCTGGTCGCCGTCAAAAAGCTGGTTAAAGCCTTCGCTGATGACGAGGCTTTTCCAGTTATTCTCCAATGCAGAGCTTAACTCCGTTGCCTTGGCAAGTGCGTTGCGAACGGCAAAGTGGCTGGAGATACTTTTGAGCATCTTGATGAGGCCTTGCAAACGAGTCCACTGGGGGTTTTCCAGGTCGTCGTAGATAGTGGGACTCGTGAGATTTCTCACGGAACGAGTGACGCGCTCGACCATGGCGCGGGCGGCATGCTGGATGAGGTTGTTGAGGTCGTCACCGGGGTCATGGCGCCGGCGGCCAAAGACGGTGTAGGGAGCAGCTTTGGGAATGCCGTTGGGGGCTGCGGCCTCTTCGATAGCCAATTCATTGACCAAGACGCGGAAGGCGCACTGCGTGATATCATCCAGCTTCAACGCCACACCGATTTGCAGACTCTCTTCCGGTAGGACTTCGACGAGAACGGTATTGCTAGGGCTCATGAGCCATTGAAGAACCTGATCACGCTGCGACCCAAGTCAGCAAGAAGCCCATGGGTAATGAGGAACGTGAACTTACAATGGCATCCGTGCAGTCCAGGATCTTCGCCACGGCCACCAGCGTCCAGACTCGAGGGGCAGAATCCAGGAGCACTCGCTTGTCGGCAATAATGCACATCAGTCGGAGAATGTTGACGCGATGGCGGACAGGGCAGTAGTCGGGAATCTGGCGCCAGGTAGGGATCGGATCAGGGGCTGTTTCTCCCGTCGACTTTTTCATCAGCAACCTCGCAGCAGCTCCCTTAACAGAGTAAGATGCTTTCGCCGGAGCCTTGACCTCTTCAGGCAAGCTGTCTTGCAAGCTCTGAGCGATTGCCCTCTCGATGGCGCGGTCCAGCTCGTCGTCTCGAAATGCGTTTGTGTCTGGCTTCTTGTTGTCGGTGTTAGCGACAGCTTCCATCGCCAAAGCAGCGTCAACTTTGGCTGCAAAATCCTGCGGTTCATCCCTCCAGCAACAGCAGATGTCGTCGTGTCCGCGGACAACGTAGTCGTCGACACCGTGCTTGTCGCCCGCTGTCCACCAGTTAATGATGCCGGGCGTCAGAGAGACCTCAGTCATCTGGAAGACGAGATCGTCTCCCTCGGAAGGCGGGGTTAGATCGAGGACGAACTTGACGCCCTCGGGAAGCTTGTTGACCAGCTTTCGGCGGCGCTGAATGCGGAACTGGTAAGACGGGTTGAGCATGTCTGCAAACTTGGACGATCCGGTGCCCAGGAGCTTCTTGGAGTCCATGCGGAATTGTACCGAGTCCCAGTAGTTGACAGAGCAGTCGACATTATCAGCGGCATTGCCCACGGGAGCCGGGAAGTCGACAAAGATCAGAGTATCACCCTCCGACAGCTCATTCTGGATCTTGTGAAGAAGGTACTGAGAGTACTGTCGGTCCTCGGAGTGCGTCATGTCGCGTTTGGCTGAATTGATCATCGGCACAGACGGTCCGGATTGAATGAGAGACGGGAAGGGTTCGCTGGGCGGGTAAGGCGTGGGACCGGAGATCTCGTGCTCAGTAAGTGTGCCTCCCCATGGATCTTGTTCAAAACCATGGTGTTCGGCGTCTTGGTTTATCACAGCTTCGTCGAGGTCGATAAGATTGCCTTCTTCTGAATCATTCGGGGCCGCGGAGCCGGGAATGGCGGGTGTCGGCCTGGCTGAGTAGTTCTTGAACGGGAGGGGGGCCACCTTGGACTTTTCGTACTCGTCCAGGAGGACTCGCCAGCGCTCACGTTGAGGAGATCCGTCGTTGGCTGTATCAACGGCACGGCGGCGTCTGAGGCCCTCAGGGATTTGGTTCGCCGCAAGATCGGTGACTTCGTCGAGATCGACATTGTCTCCATTCTCCGCGGTTCCAGGGCCGGTTTCGTTGGGAGACTCATAATAATCATCCCAAACCTGGTCGGACCAAGGGATGGGTCTGTCCATGTTCCGGTCTGACATCTTGGTGTCGCAAGAGTCTGGTGGGATGACTGTGGCTTCGGGCGCAAATGAGAGACGCCTGCGTAAGGACCGCCCAACGAGGGTGAGAATGTCGAGTTGCGCGACCTTTGCGGCAGAAGGGGAGTTGTGAGGAGGGGGTGCGGGAAAAAGATGTGAAGGAGAGCTAGTCGACAAAGCTCGTTATGATAAAGTGAAGCAAAGTCGGCTTCCTGCCACGCTTCAAAGGTCTCAAATCGGGCGCACCGAGTGGGAGGGTCAAAGTCGGGGTTGCGTAGCCTTGTCCAGGCAGCAAGGCCTCGAAGAGTCAGATGTCGAGGCAGATGAGTCTAGGCTCCCCACCTGGGCAGCGACCAGAGCAACAGTCTCTATCACGTATGGAAAAGCTCTAGAAAGCTCAAGGAATTGGGAATTTGGTCAGGGCTGGGGCTTTTTTTTTGTGACCAAATCTGTAAAAATGTCAGTCGTAGAAATAACGACCTCAAGGGTGTGAGATTCAAGTGAGGCTCGAATACCTACCAAGCAGAGAGGGGTTTGTGAGATAAGATATGGACGCGTCTCACAAGATGACTTGGGCTGAGGTACTTCTGTGAGAGTGTGGCGGTTCCGATGCAGGCTGGCGCAGGCCCTGGCGCATCAGCGAATGCAAAGGCAGAACCGAATTGGAAGACGAGGCAGCGAGGCAACCCGTGACACTCGGCATCGGAAATGTGATAGGTGCTTTGATCCACGGGTTGATTTGCATTCATTGACTCGATTCGCCCTTCGTCACGCTAGGTAGCTAGGTATCTCGTAGGCAACTCGTAAAAAGCAGAGTAAGCAATTCTCAGTGGATGAGAGTGATTGAGCGGCCTCATGAGGACCACGAGGCCTTACTGACGACAAGGGATGATTTCGAGACGCGGCCTCCTGAAGAATCGAAACAGAAAACTGGCGATTCGTCGAGGAAGGGAAAAAGAAGGATGCCTAGACGAATGATGCTGATCTTTTCCGGGAATGATCACCCAAAGTCTTTGCAATGGAGGAAACCTTCCCGCCCAATTGCCGTTGCAAGCCGCTAAGCCAAGTCTCTGTCAAAAGGTCTGTTTGTCCCGCCAAACACCCACGTCAAAAAAAATCACAGCTTTCATTGCTAACGCCAGGAACCAGTAATCTGCTCCTAAAACATGCCTCCCGTTTGCTGCCTGTCATCGGCTGTGGGGTATCGCGAATCGTGGACCCCCCGGGCCCCGTCCCGGCCGGCTCTTAATACTAATTAGCGGGAACCTCACTTGCCGCTTCTGGTAACCATCAGATCCCCACTCGGCCGGGGCCTCTCGTCGCCGGGAATTTAGGAATCTCCGAGTGGGTTAGAATACAGACTGTAGGAATAAAAGTCGGGTTTCTCTAACACGATATTTCTTAATGGCTTGGAAATTTTATCCGACACGATCGGTACACAGAATTCTAGAGCTGAAGAGGCATTCCTAACAGAGGTAGCGAAGCGGTCAACCCGGGTACAACTTTTATCTCGTACTCAAACTTCTCAGCTCAACTGCAAGGTAAAGCCATTTTTTCATCACCTAGAATGACTCAATCGATCTCATCTCTCAGCTCTCCACGTTAAATAAGCTTCTTCAAACATGCTGTTTCAAGCTACAAGTACATACCCCCAAACTCGTCAAGAACTGCTCGATAGACACTTTGCGGACACTAACCGTAAATCAAATCTCTTCAAGCACCAGTCCCTGTAACCTGTCAAATTCCAAACTACAAGAAACATCCTTGGAACACCGCAACTCGGTCCAGCTCAACTCTTCAGCCCGGAACCCCACATGTCGAGTTTCCTAGGTTCTTAGGCCGAGACCAAGATTGCTACGGCTCCCCCAACCCAACTCATCGGAGACATCGGCTGAAATCCTTCCAACTCTAAACACTCGGCTCCTTATCATCGAGGAACGTACTGTCACGAGCCGACGAGGTTTTCTTCCGAACTTCAGACTGTCAGGAATCCATCGAAATGATCTTCAAGTCCCTTGTCCGCGTAAAAACGCTTCAATCCGTGCAGCTTCTGGATTCGGGTTAAATTCAACATCCAACAACCCAAATTCTCTTGGAGGATCTCTTCCTTAAGCATGTAAACCGATCCCACGAACGTTAGCCACGTCGCGTGCGCAAGCCAGCCAAGCCAACGCCGCCAAAACTTACCGCGTTATCCAGTCGCCAACCCATCTCCCCTAACCCTCCTCCCCTCATCCTCCTTCCAAGAGCCCAACCAGCAAACCCTTGTCACGGCAGTCGTTCGTTACGCTTCATTCTAGGTTCCGCAGTACCTGATTAGCGTCACTAAAAACCACATCTTCCCCGAAATCTGGTCACGCAAATGATTCATCCAAGACAAGCTTCCCCATTTCCCCAACAAAAACACATATACACACAACTGTCCCCGCCCCTCCACATCCGCCCCATGATCCGGAGCTAGAGCTGTATGTGCCGAGGGAGGGAAGAGGGGGGGGGGGATGGCAAGCTCTGGTCCTACTTAACACACACATGTCTTCCTTTCACGACTGGCAGGTTGTTAATCTGACTCTTCTACAAACGCGTATGCTCCCCACAACTCTGTGATCAAGCTGGTTTAGCAATAACATCTACAACCGCACACTCGTCCGAGATGGACCCCAAGCCAACCATGACAGCATCCCAGATGCAGATGCGTCCGGCGTTGTTAGTCCGCCCTCCTCCTCCTCTCCCTCTCCGAACTGTCTCCATGTGTGAGAACCAAAGACTAACAGCCCCGGACACAGCCGTCACCGTGGTCTCCTCCTGGCCACCATGTTCATCACCACCGCCGTCGTCGGCATCAGATACCGAGCCAATAGCATCCGGACCAACGAGCTGAACCAGCGGTCACTTGCGCCGTATCATGTGAGCGTGGGCCGCAGCGGAGGCGGAATCTAAGACCCAACTTTTCACGAAGATCATTACGGCTTCGACGCCGTTTTACGGACACTTGGGCAACTACAAATTCCATGGTTGAAGCGCCCCAACCGACAGCACGAGGCAGCACGAGGGAATGATACGAGACAACGATGGAAGAGATAATGACTTTTTGTACGTATCAATACAGGAGACTTGGACGATCCCGAGTGGATGGGACTCGGGCCGATCCAGAAAGACTAAAACAACATCATTACTCCATCCACATGTCCAAACGCGTTACGCAGCCAGCTCGCGGTGTATATGCTGCATGCCTGTCAAAAGATAGAGAAATCGACAAACTCCCAGAGCACTCAAAGGCTTCTGGTTCCAAACGCCCCAGCGATGCGGTGATCACTAAACCGTGACCGAGGTATAGCGCGCCAGAAAATGCCCAGCAAATCAAAACGCGTTTCTCCCCTTTTACATAGAGCTTCGCTTCGTCGGCGCCAGGCTCTCGCTGTCGGATTCGTCGCCCGACGAGTGCGCGACCTCTTTGCCCTTTGCCTTCGCGCTCAGCAAGCCCACCTTGGGCTCCAACATGCTCTTGCGGCTGGGGGGGCGCTTCCCGGTAGTCCTTCTGACCATCTTGGGTCTGTCGCCGCCCCCGCCCTCCTTTCTCACGTCCGGGCTCGCGAGACCCGAAATTTTCTGCAACTCCTCGCCGGACGAGTTACGGCGGGTGGTCGGCGCAGTCGAGTTCGAGTTCGTCTTGAGCCCGCGCAGCTCCCTGGCCACGTCGGCGAAACTTTCTTCCAAAGTCTTCATTCGTGCAAGCACAAGCTTGCTCATGCGGTTGCTGTCGCCGGTGTCCTGGCCGCGTCCTGCTCCGCCCATTCGTGCGTCCTTCATCAAGGCCATGGCCATTTGCGTCTGGAAGCTCGACGGCATGCCTCCGGTGGGGTCGTCAGGTGCAATGTTATCTGACAAGATGCTCATGTCAACCGAGGATAGTCGCCTCATCTGGTTCGGGCGAAGCCGCTGGTCGATGCCCGTCAGGCCCGCACGGTTCGGCGCGGTTTGTGTCGCGTCCCGAGGCGGCATGATGGGCCTAGGTCGTGTGTTCGTCGTTACGTACGTTTGGCGGCGTGGTGAGCGGTGGCCGCTAGCAACGGCCGGCTCGACGACCGCGGTTCGACCATTTTGCACACGCGCGCGAGTCGGAGGCGGGTCGGGGGAATGAGAGGACGAGCTAGGTGGCCGTCGCAATTCCTGCGGGGCGTAGAGGATCGTATTAGTCGACATGGTCCGGCTGTGAGGCATACGGCGTGCAGAGCGAGGGGTTGCCGGTATGGACGGCCGTCCGCTTGAACCCACAGATGACGATGTCTGAGGAGGAGCGCTGAATCGCTTAGACAAAGGTACCGTGGTGAAGTAGTCGTCAATCTGGGTTTGGTGGATGATCGGCACCCCACGACTTTCGCCTGCGTTCGTGGCGACATCCTCCTCTTCTTCCTCGTCGTTCGTGACGAGCTCGTCGTCTCCGTCTGCGTCCGTCTGCTGGTTCTCTTCCTCCTTCGCTTTGGTTGCCGCGGCTATACCCCGGAAGAAAGAGCCGATGGCGGGCTGCGACAGAAGATCTGCAGGATCGCTCGCGGCAGATCTGATATCTGATATTTGACGAGATCTCTGCGATCGAAGCTCCCTCGTCAGACTCAGCCGCCTATGCCAGTCTGGTCGGATGCTTTGACCGCCATCCATCGTAGACCATTGACCAACCTGAGGGGACGCACCATCCGCCTCATCATTCTGATCCATCCAATTTCTGATGTGCTGCGTTTTCCTTCGCTCGTTACGCCTCTGGTTTCGCAGAGTGGTGATTCCGGGTCCGCGCCGGAACACCTCTTCCAGCGCGTGGTCTTTCTGGTAGCCAGTGACCGATTCTTCGCGAACCCGCACATTGGGGCTGAACAAAGCGGAGCGAGCGGCTGGGTCGGCGAAAGAGATGGTCCTGTCACGGCTGTGGAATTGGTTTTCCACGAGATCCGTGGGCTCGAACATTGACGGCGCAAGCCAATACTTCTCATAGAGGAAGATGGAGAAGAGCAGAGGGAAATGCGTGACCTTGATGATGGTTCTGTTCAGTCGGACGAAATGCTTCAGGGGCATGCAGTACCGCAGCGGCATGAGCAACCACGCGAAAATGTTTCCTGGTGCGACGTAGGAAAACAGGGCGTCGTTCTTGACCATGGAGATCGTGTTGATGGCGAAGAGGAACCTGATCTATGTTAGCAAGGCGAATTGAGGGTTATGGCTGAGTTTCACTCACTGATGCTCCTCCCTGGCGTTGGAAGCGATCTTCATGAATGAGTTGGTCAGAACTGTGATGAGAATTGTGCTGCGATTGTTAGCTGGAGTCGCCGCTGAGAGGTGAGGTCCAACTTACACAACAACGAAGTGGCAAAGAATTAGGAAGAAAGCCATGAGGCCCCTCTCAAGCCAATTGTATGTAGGCCATCTGTTAAAAGTTAGCGGGAGAAGTGCTGCCTGTAGGGAAGTAACTTACACGTCCCAAGCAGCCGGAGTGAAGCCCATCAAAAGCTGGAAAATCTTGAAGGCGATGTCTGCCGCATCGTTGTTGCTGTCGGCGAGTGTGAAGAAGACGAAAAACCCACTGCATGCTATGAGAATGAGAATGGCGACCGCCGCTAGGTCAACTGCCATCAAACGGAACGCGATGAGCAGTTGGGAAAAGTACTGGTAGTGATCCAGCACGCTGAAGATACGGGGCAGCAGCAGAATGGCATTCGCGGCAAGCACATCGTACGCAGAGTCATTCCAATGCTTCGGGTCCACAAGGAACACGCCGTACACACGCATGAAGTAGTAGACAATCAGCAAAACCAGGATCCCCAGGTCGAAGACGTTCCAGAAGCTCATGATGTAAAGCGAGAAACCCTGCTCGTTGAACCCGACAAGCTCATCCAGCATGAACCCGGCACTCCAAAACCAAAAGATCAGCTCCAACGAGCTGATACGAGCTGAACGCTGAGCGAGGACTGCGAGGAACAAGCCAATGAGGACGAGCAGCGATAGCGTCGAGAGGAAGAATCTGTAGCGAGGAACTCGTAAACGAGATAGCTTGAACAGAGACGCCTGACGAGGATCATAGAGAATGACGCTGCGTCTTCCAGCCGTGGTATGGTTCGGCAGTCCCTCCTTTTGACTCGGTGCTCCTAAAAGAGGCGTTCTCGCATCTGGCTGGCCTTGAACCGGAGAGGGTGGGGGGTCGCGATGTAAACTGTCTTGCGACGAGTAGAAGCTGATGGCTCCGTTCCAAATGGCCTCCAGCTGCTGCACAACCAGTGGGTGGGCCAAAAAGTGCTTGGCCGAGGCACGAATGGCAACTTCAAGAGTCGAGGTTCGGGCGGCCGTGAGGCGAGCCTTGTTCTTCACGTCGTTTTTCGGCGCGTTGGCTGGCTGGGCTCCGGGGAGACCTTGGAGAGGGTAGAAGTCGTACGAAAGGGCGTCGATCAGTTCGCGGGTGTTGTATTCCTTCAGGAGCTTCAGCGCAAGCAACTCGCACACCAGAGCCCTGGTGTAACTCGTCCCAGCATTGCCCGGGTACATTTGGCCCTCCTTGTTGAACTGCAAACAGTTGGCCATGAGACAGTACAGGGTCGCGCGGTTAAACTGCGCAGTCCTGATCTGTTGCTGCATAGGCTTGACCAGGAACTGAGAGACCTGCGGCGAGCGTATTTGGTCCCATGTTAACGTCGTTTCGGTTCGGGTCTGGATGATGATGCGGATTGCGTGGGTAATGCTGTATATAGGTAAGGAGTCTACAAAGAGATCAATGTTAGTTTGTCTGTGGCGCCAAGTGTAGAAGGCTTCTATTTGCGTACCGAGATACGTCTCTGAGAAGAGAGGCAGGACGGGCAGGGAGCGATTGGGCTGGTCCTCGTCGTCGAGGCCGTCGTTATCGTCATGATCGTCGCCGGATTGGCCTACGCCATCGTCCTCTTCCTCGTCTTCCTCCTCTTCATCATCGTCGGCCTCGGTGAAGTCAGCCGAGGGGTGTCGTCCGGTGCCGTAGTGGCGATAAGCCGGTCCAGGGGACGGCGAATGCCTATCGTGAAGGCGGTCGATGCGACGGCTGCGATTGCTCTGCTTGGGTCGCAGCAGAGAGGAAAACATTGTCCAGTCGGAATGATAGATGCAGCCCGCCGCCTTGTATTATCGCGTCTCACAGCGCCATGGGGGAGAGGCAGGGTACAAACAGATAAGGAGGCGCGAAGAAGGGGCGGCGGTTCGAGGGCACCGGCGCGAAAGAGTTGGATGCGAAAGGCCGAGGAGAGCACACCGGCAAGGGCAAAGCCAAGAGGAGGCGCGAGAAGGTAAGAAGAGAGGTAGGGGGAGGTGGCAGGCGAGGCGCGGGAGTAAATAAGAAAAGTCCAGGCCCGGTATTCGCAAGCAACCTGAGGTAAGGCCAGGTCCAGGATTCCCCGTGGTCGAGACGCAGAAAACGATGCAGTGTTTTGTGGAGAAGCCGGGCAGAGTCTTCCCTTTGACAAGAACAGACGAAGGACAGAAGAGGTCAAGTAAGGTAGTGTAGTAGGTAATAAGTGTACAAGGAAGAAAACAGACTAGAGGTTGGGAGGTGTTAGGTGATGAGGACGGCAAGCAACATGCGCGTGGAGCGCGGATCGAGATTTAGAGAGGACGATGGGATTTTTAGCGTCGTCGGACAACAAGAGAAAAGGCACTGGACGGCAAGGCGAGAGATACTGCATCAGGCAGTCCTCCGGTGTAAGGTAAGGTAGTTAAGGAGTCAAATATGGAGGTGCTGTCAGAGGAAGTGCCGGTCGTCCTTCTCCGCAAAGACTAAGGTAGGTAGGTATGTGTAAAAGATGTTGCTGGCCTTGGTTTTGGTTACTTCAGGGTGTTAGAGAGAAAGCGAAGCTGACGATGAAAATAGTCGGTGACGACGGCATTGCAGCATTGGACGGGATGGCCTGCGATAAGAAGACGTGACGCAGCACACCACCCACGTCGCCCGCCACACACCAGCATGCAGAGAGCAGAAAGGTAGTGACACCACACACACTCGATGCCATGGAATGCCCTTCTTGGACAGGTACAGGTGAGCAGTTGCAGAGAGGAGACAGAGAGAGAGAGACTTGACGCGCTTGATGAGTGGTGGAGTTGGGTGTCACGTCGCGCTCACTCTCTGTGGGGACCTACATTGAAGCATTGGATTGGATTTCAGCGAGTGAGCCCACTGTCCATCCAAGATCCAACGTCGCCCAGGCCTTGAGAAGTCGAGATTGATGAATCAAGTCGCTCGCAAGACGCTACAAACGTGCTAGTGCACGATCCCTGGGGGGGACTTGGGGGGACCTCAGTTGGCCTCTAAAAAGTGGGGGACGCTTGCTGCAAGTGCTCGCCAACATGGAAATCAGCAACCCACGGCCCTTCTTCTCTTCGCCTGCGAAATGACACCAATAAAACAATGCCGGGGTACCTTGTTCTTTGTGCACCTCTGAACCCACCACACGCTTACCGGCTTGGACTCCAGACCAAAAAGTATTCTTAGACCACTAGCTGAGTCGACGCAGCAATATTGAGGCAACAGGTAAGAGAGACGGACGAAAAGAGGAAGCCGAAGGAGGGCAGAGGCATTAACTAACAAGACGCAGCAACACTGAATAGCATCTGGCTCTGCTTCATCTCGACTTCAGGACGAAGAAAAATCCCTCGACATAAAAAACCCACGCCATCAGACGAAAAACGGGCGAGACATGCAACCGCATGATTTTTTCTACGAGCTCTCCTTCTCTACCACCCCGACAAAGAGTGGAGGACAGACATGGAGGGGTCGCAGACAGACAGCTGAGACTTGCCAATCGAGGCCCTGGGCTGTTGCGTGCAGCTAAAAGGTAATAGCCGTCGTCTTCTCTGCGACCACGGCCACGGGTATCATGGGTATGCGCGGCCGCGCTTCGTCACTTGATGCTCGATGCCGGGGTTCGTGTTTGCGGTTGGCCTGGGCCCCTTCCAATGGGTCGACTCTGCGTCTTGGTTCTGAACCTCTGATGGTCCTGAATCACCAACTGGATGGCACAATGGAACATGTACCAGACAATCGACCCTCACCGCATACTTCCTCCGATCACGTCGACGGCACTTACACCACAACCACACTTCACAACTTTCCAGGCGGGGAGACCACATCGGCGAGTCGGTCAACCCACGTCTAGAGCCCCAGAGTCGCAATCCTCTGCTCTAGTGAAGCTTGAGTTGCTCTCGTTCCCACCCCACCTCAGAACACCCCGACCCATTCGGCCCTCCCGTTGGTCAAGCCCGTCACCGCCATTGGCATCGCCCACACGCACAAATGCACAGATGGCACCTGTTCACGCCGGGGTGCGACGCTGCATTTGGGGGTCACACCCGCTTGAACCTGCGATGCCTGCTAATTCTTCCTACATGGTATTACACCAGCCGTTTGCGCGGTGCTTCTGCCGTTCCTCATCCCATCCTCGACGAGTTCGCCCTCGGCTCGGTACTCGCACACCACTTTCGCAAGACTCGGGAGCCGTCTTGGACAGCGCAAGCACAAGGAACAACCAGAAAGATCCGTCACGACGATGCCCTCGCCCCGTTCCCCAGCCTCATCCTCATCCTCCGCCTCACCGCACCGGCCAACGTCTCCTCCGCAATCTTGGATGTCCCATGTCGAGACCCTCATCAACGTGTCTAGGGCCTGCACGCAAGCAGCAGCGGAAGCCCGTCATGCCAGGTTACATCGGAACACATGATCATCGGCGATTTTGTCGATTCAGATCTCCTCCAGGGTTAGAGCCATCACCAGATTCAGCCCAGCCAGCACAGCATACCTTAGCACAGCACAGCATAGACACTACACCTAGCATGACATCTCAACGGTGGGCGGCCTGCGAGCTAACCCCGTGTTCCACCACCTGCCAACACAGAGACATGCGTCGCCGGCGCTGCAAGTGTGCGATGCGAACCCGATGCTGGGCAACAGGAAATTTCTACAAATTCCCGCAGTCTCTCCTCACAGTCTTTCCGACTTGACGCTGTGGGAGCCGGGCCAAACGTTCACGCTGTGTCATTCTCTCCAGGCCGGACCATTCCTACAGCCATTGGGAAGCTAGTCGTTCGTCTAGCGGATAGGTGCTCATTGTTCTGCAACTCACCCAAACAAGCCAAGCTTACACGCATGTTAATATTGCGGAATGCCAGCTTCGTCACTTGACTTGCCTCATACTGACACACTGCATTCCTTCTTATCGTCCTGAAGGTTCGGAATGCCAACCGAGACATGCGGCCCAGACTCCCGTTGCTGGGGCGCACCGTGGTACATTCCAAAGACTCTCAATCTAGACGCAGAAGACATGTTCCAGAGTGGGCAACATCACGAGATCAATACCAAACTGATGATGATGTTCTGAAATAGACTGACTGAAGAACCAGGTAGCGTGTGCTTCAGTTTTTGAAAAATGAAGTTCAATGAAGTATTGCGGTAGAAGCTACCACCACCACCACCACCACCGGAAAAAAAAAAAAAAAGGAAAAAAGAAAGCCACAACTGAACTCGTGAACACAAGAAGCAGAGCCAATGAGCCTATGCGCAATTCGCACACATCTGCGTTCCAGCCGTTGTGGTTGCCCCAGGTCTGGGACAGGCGCACTCCACTGAGACTGTCAGGGCCGGCATCGGCGATGCAAGGTGAGCGACCTTCACCTTGCCCGGTGAGCTTCAGGTGAACTCGCCTGGACCCCTCGTGCCCCTCCATTCACCTGCAACCCCAGCCTTTCGTCCCCCGCCACGCAACGAGAATAACACACAAATATTCCTATCAACCTAAGGACTCACCACATTTGTGTATACGAGTCAAACCAACGGTTCATTTTAGTAGCCCTATTCTCGGCCACAAAAAAAAACTCTCTCATGAGCAAATGCCTTGTGTGAGCTAGCCTACAGAGAATCTGGCAGTTTGGTGGCAGATCGTGACTCGGCCGTCGGGGTGATGCATCGCGATCCACTCGGCCACCGCATCTGCCTCCAAGCTTCAGCGCTAGTGTCGAGCAGAGAAGAGAGAGAAAAAAAATTCTGCAGGACAACAACAACAAGATTGATCAAAATTCTGCAGGTCAATCTCAGCCATTTGCATTTGGGCTTGGATTTTTCTGGGCGACGAGGCGTGCTGGGCTCTTCCCCGCGGCCCGCCTTGTGGCTAGAAGCGGCAACATCAATCTTTTCTGCCCACTTGGACGATGGCGCTAAGCCGGTTTCTTCTGACCGCCTGCTGTCAAGTGCCGTATTCTGCAAGTCGGAATTTGTGTCAGTGCAGCTCTCAGTCCCGCCGTCCAAGGATTGTGCCTGTTCATTGGCCAATCCACCCTGAACGCTCTCACACACCTGCCAGGGAGGGGACCAGACGAATTTTCTCAGACTATGTAAAAAAAACTTTTGGCTGCACCCTCTTTTTTCGTTTTTTCCTCCTCTCTCTTTTTTCTTCTCCTCCTTCTAACATGGTTGTCTAGAACCTCACGCGACTTCCCGAAGATCTATCGTGGCAGATGATCGCTGGGAAGCTACTGATCCATCCCACGAGCCTCTGACGACGAGCTCATTGAGCACTTCTTTTGCTGTACCTTCACGAGAGTTTCTTCCTCCCCCCCCTCCGTCGTTATTCGTTGCCCCGCATCACGCACGAAGATTCTCGATCACACACAAGATGGCCGCCACCATTTTCCCTCCGGCCTCGGCCCGCCTCGTCGGCTCCGATGACGAGGGCCTCATGGCTCTCGAGCTTCCGGACGGCTCCGTCTACCAGGGTTACAGCTTTGGTGCTCAGAAGAGCATTGCCGGCGAGCTGGTTTTCCAGACTGGCATGGTGGGGTATCCGGAGTCGGTGACAGACCCCTCGTACCGCGGCCAGATTCTGGTGATCACCTTCCCCCTCGTCGGCAACTATGGTGTCCCCTCGCGGGAGACCATCGACGAGCTCCTGGGCGACCTGCCCGCCCACTTCGAGTCCTCCCAGATCCACGTCGCTGGTCTGGTCGCCTCCTCCTACGCCGGCGAGGACTACTCCCACTTCTTGGCCGAGTCCTCCCTCGGCACCTGGCTCAAGGAGCAGGGCGTTCCCGCCATCTACGGCGTTGATACCAGAGCGCTCACCAAGCGCCTCAGAAGCCAGGGCAGCACGCTGGGCCGTTTGCTGCTCCAGAACAAGACCATCACCAACGGCACCACCCACGGCCATGTCAATGGTCTCGCCTCCTTCTCCGCCGATGATTTCCAGACCGTAGACTGGGTGAACCCCAATGAGAAGAACCTCGTAGCTGAGGGTGAGTTTCGCCGAACACTCCCGCGTCCGGCTCTTGCTCATCCTCTTTTTAGTGTCCATTAAGGCTCCCAAGCTCTACAAGCCTCCCGCGAGCGTCGCCGTGAAGAAGCACCCGTCCGGTAGACCCATCCGTGTTCTCTGCCTGGATGTCGGTATGAAGTACAACCAGCTGAGGTGCTTCCTCAAGCGTGGTGTTGAAGTCCTCGTGTGCCCCTGGGACCACGATCTCGTAAAACAAGCCGGTGAAGAATACGACGGTCTCTTCCTGTCCAACGGTCCCGGTGACCCAGCCATGCTCGACATCACCGTCAAGAACATTCAGGCCGCCATGGAGAAGACCAAGACCCCCGTCTTCGGTATCTGCTTGGGTCACCAGCTGCTTGCCCGCGCCTCTGGAGCCAAGACCGAGAAGATGAAGTTCGGTAACAGAGGTCACAACATCCCCTGCACGAGCATGATCTCCGGAAAGTGCCACATCACCTCGCAGAACCACGGTTTCGCCGTCGACTCCAGCTCTCTCACGGCCGACTGGAAGGAGCTCTTCGTCAACGCCAACGACGGTAGCAACGAGGGTATTGCCCACCTTTCCAAGCCCTACTTCAGTGTCCAGTTCCACCCCGAGAGCACACCCGGTCCTCGTGACACTGAGTACCTTTTCGATGTCTTCATCAGCACTATCCAGGACTGCGCCGCCGACCCCAAGAAGCTCAACGCCCCTGTCAGCTTCCCCGGCGGCACCATCGAGGAGAACGAGCGTCTGCACCCTCGTGTCCACCCCCGCAAGGTCCTTGTCCTCGGTAGCGGTGGTCTGAGTATCGGACAGGCTGGAGAGTTCGACTACTCCGGTTCCCAGGCTATCAAGGCCTTGAAGGAGGAAGGCATCTACACCGTCCTCATCAACCCCAATATTGCCACCATCCAGACGTCCAAGGGTCTGGCCGACAAGGTCTACTTCTTGCCCGTCAACGCCGACTTCGTCCGCAAGGTCATCCAGTACGAGAGACCCGATGCCATCTACGTCACCTTCGGTGGCCAGACCGCGCTCCAGGTCGGTATCCAGCTGAAGGACGAGTTCGAGGAGCTCGGTGTCAAGGTCTTGGGTACTCCCATCGACACCATCATCACCACTGAGGACCGTGAGCTCTTCGCTCGCAGCATGGACTCCATCGGCGAGAAGTGCGCCAAGTCTGCTTCTGCCAGCAACGTCGAGGAGGCCATGTCCTGCGTCAAGGACATTGGCTTCCCCGTCATTGTCAGAGCTGCTTACGCCTTGGGTGGTCTCGGCAGTGGTTTCGCCAACAACGAGGCCGAGCTTCTTGACCTTTGCAACAAGGCCTTCGCCGCCAGTCCCCAAGTCCTTATCGAGCGCAGTATGAAGGGTTGGAAGGAAATCGAGTACGAGGTCGTCCGTGATGCTCAGGACAACTGTATCACGGTGTGCAACATGGAGAACTTCGACCCTCTCGGTATTCACACCGGTGACTCCATCGTTGTCGCCCCTTCCCAGACCTTGTCTGACGAGGACTACAACATGCTGCGCACCACGGCTGTGAACGTCATTCGTCACTTGGGCGTCGTCGGAGAGTGCAACATCCAGTACGCCCTGAACCCCTTCTCCAGGGAGTACTGCATTATCGAGGTCAACGCCAGACTGTCGAGATCCTCCGCGCTGGCATCCAAGGCTACCGGTTACCCCTTGGCCTTCATCGCTGCTAAGCTCGGTCTCGGCATTCCCCTGAAGGACATCAAGAACAGCGTCACCAAGTCGACCTGCGCGTGCTTCGAGCCTTCCCTCGATTACGTCGTTGTCAAGATGCCTCGTTGGGACTTGAAGAAGTTCACCCGTGTCTCTACCCAGCTGGGCTCTTCCATGAAGAGTGTCGGTGAGGTCATGAGCATCGGCAGGAGTTTCGAGGAAGCCATCCAGAAGGCTATCCGCGCCATTGATTTCCACAACCTCGGCTTCGGCGAGACCAAGGCCTTGATGTCCATCGACGACGAGCTCCAGACCCCCTCTGACCAGCGCCTCTTCGCCATTGCTAACGCCATGCACACTGGCTACACCGTCGACAAGATCTGGGAGCTCACCAAGATCGACAAGTGGTTCCTGCACAAGCTCAAGGGCTTGAGCGACTTCTCCAAGAAGATGACCAACTACACCACCAGCGACATCTCCAAGTCCCCTGATATTCTCCTTCAGGCCAAGAGACTTGGTTTCTCTGATCGCCAGCTTGCCAAGTTCTGGAGCTCCAACGAGATTGCTGTGCGCACTCTGAGACAGGAGGCAAACATCATGCCCTTTGTCAAGCAAATTGACACTGTTGCTGCTGAGTTCCCTGCTTTCACCAACTACTTGTACCTGACGTACAACGCCTCAGAGAGCGATGTCTCCTTTGATGATCACGGTATCATGGTCCTGGGATCTGGTGTCTACCGTATCGGTTCCTCTGTCGAGTTCGACTGGTGCTCCGTCCGCGCCATTCGCACCCTGCGCCAGGATGGCTTCAAGACCATCATGGTTAACGTAAGTTCCAAATTTCTTCTTTATTCCCGTTACCTCTCAATCACACAACACCTGTTTTCGGTGAAGGTTTGGGAAGGTGCTTTCATGAGTGGCTCCCTCTCACAGGTCGGCCGTTCTCTTGCATTCACAATCCCATTCCTTACGCCCTCAACTTGTTGCGGTCGGTCGCTGCTGTCGTTGCTAGTTTTGCCGTGGTTCTTGCCGTCGTCCCTGCTATTTCTGTTGTTGCTGTTGTCGTCGCTGTCGTCGCTGGCTTATTCATCCCCACTGCCCACAACAAGAACAAGAACAACACCATCACCAACATCAACACCACGACGCACGCGCAATGAATATTTAGCTAACATGCCAGCCAGTATAACCCCGAGACGGTTAGTACTGATTACGACGAAGCTGATAAGCTCTATTTCGAGGTCATCAGCTTGGAGTCCATTCTCGACATTTACCAGTTGGAGGATGCTGCTGGTATCCTTGGTGCCATGGGTGGTCAGACCCCCAACAACATCGCTCTGCCTCTGCACCGTGCCGGTGTCAAGGTCCTCGGTACTTCTCCTGAGATGATTGACAACGCCGAAAACCGCTACAAGTTCTCTCGTATGCTGGATACCATTGGTGTTGACCAGCCCACGTGGAAGGAGTTGACCAGCTTCGAGGAGGCTAAGAAGTTCTGCCAGGCTGTGTCCTACCCTGTCCTGGTGCGACCTTCTTACGTCCTTTCTGGTGCTGCCATGAACACCGTCTACTCCGAGCAGGACCTCGAGAACTACCTTGCTCAGGCTGCCGAGGTTTCGCGCGATCACCCCGTTGTCATCACCAAGTACATCGAGAACGCCAAGGAGATCGAGATGGATGCCGTTGCCAAGGACGGTGTCGTGATCGGCCACTTCATCTCCGAGCACGTCGAGAACGCCGGTGTTCACTCTGGTGACGCTACTCTCATCCTCCCTCCCCAGGACTTGGAACAGGAGACTATTGCCAGAATCGAGGAGGCTACTCGCAAGATTGGTGCTGCTCTGAACGTTACCGGTCCCTTCAACATTCAGTTCATCGCCAAGGACAACGACATCAAAGTCATTGAGTGCAACGTTCGCGCCTCCCGATCTTTCCCCTTCGTCTCCAAGGTCATGGGTGTCGACCTGATCGAGATGGCCACCAAGGCTATCACCGGCAGGCCTTTCGTCGAGTACCCCCCCACCACGATCCCTCCCGACTGCGTGGCTTGCAAGGTCCCCCAGTTCAGTTTCTCCCGTCTGTCTGGCGCCGATCCTGTTTTGGGTGTTGAGATGGCTTCCACCGGTGAGGTTGCTTGCTTCGGTGTTGACAAGTACGAGGCCTACCTCAAGGCTCTGATGTCCACCGGATTCAAGATCCCCAAGGCCAACATCCTCCTGTCCATGGGTTCTTACAAGGACAAGAAGGAGATGCTGCCTTCCGTGGAGAAGCTTGCTCGCCTCGGCTACAAGCTGTTTGCCACCGCCGGTACCGCTGATTTCCTCCAGGAGCACAACATTCCCGTGCAGTACCTGGAGGTCCTCGCCAACGAGCAGGAGGACCAGCGCTCCGAGTTCTCTCTCACTCAGCACTTGGCCAAGAACATGATTGACTTGTACATCAACCTGCCTTCCAACAACAAGTACCGTCGTCCTGCCAACTACATGAGCAAGGGTTACCAGACCAGACGTATGGCTGTTGACTACCAGATTCCTCTGGTCACCAACGTCAAGAACGCCAAGATCCTTGTCGAGGCCATTGCCCGCCACTTCGGCTTGGATGTGGCTACTCGTGACTTCCAGACCAGCCACCGCACCATCACTCTGCCTGGTTTGATCAATGTCGCGGCCTTCGTTCCTGGTATCGCCACCCAGGCCAGCAAGGATCTCCAGGCTGTCACCAAGGCCTCGATCTCGGCTGGTTTCTCCATGGTCCGCATCATGCCCGTCGGTGTCAACGGCTCCATCACGGATGCTGTCACCCTGAAAGTCGCTCAGCAGAGCAGCAAGGCTGGTGGCTACTGCGATTTCAACTTCTCCGTCACTGCCACCTCGGACAACTCTGACCAGATCAGCCACGTCACTGGTGAAGTTGGTTCGCTCTTCATCCCCTTCAACCACCTGTCTGGAAACATCAGCAAGGTCGCCGCTGTGACTGCCCACTTCGACAAGTGGCCCACACACAAGCCCATCGTCACCGACGCCAAGCTGACTGACCTGGCCTCCATCCTGCTCCTGGCCAGCCTGCACAACCGCAGAATCCACGTCACCTCTGTCTCCACCAAGGATGACATCAAGCTGATTGCCCTTAGCAAGGCCAAGGGCTTGAAGGTTACTTGCGACGTCTCCATCTTCTCCCTGTACCTCTCCCAGAACGACTTCCCCGACTGCGCTCTCCTCCCCACCGAGGCTGACCAGAACGCTCTCTGGGAGTACCTGAGCACGATTGACGTTTTCTCCATTGGCAGCTTGCCTTACCAGCTTGCCAGCTCCCTCGGCAAGGGCGCCGATCCCTCGGTTGGCATCGCCGATGCTCTGCCTCTCCTGCTGACCTCCGTCACCGAGGGCAAGCTGACCATTGAGGACATCAAGGCCCGCCTCTATGACAACCCTAAGGAGATCTTCGAGCTGCACGAGCAGGTCGGCACCAGCGTCGAGGTCGAGATTGATCGTCCCTACGGTGTTCAGTCGACCTCCGCCAGCTGGTCTCCCTTCCAGGGCCGCACCATGCGTGGTTCCGTCCAGCGTGTGACCTTCCAGGACAAGACCGTGTGCTTGGATGGAGAGCTGCTCTCTCTGCCTGCCCTTGGCAAGGACATGTCGACTCACGGCGCTCTGCCCATGTCGCCCACCATCAAGCCTCAGCTCCAGTCCATGACTCACCCTGAGAGCCCCCGCGACCGTCGTCCTTCCATGTTCAACACCTCCAGGCCGTCCAAGCTTCGCTCTGCAGATGGTAGTGTCCCTAACAAGAGCGTCAGCACCTTCGACGAGCTCAGCTTGCCGCCCCTGCACCCCGCCATCGGCTCCAAGCTTCACGACCTCCTGTCTCAGCCTTCCTCATGGAAGCGCCACAGCGTCTTGTCGGTGACTCAGTACACTCGTGCTGATCTCCACCACCTCTTCACCGTGGCCCAGCAGATGCGTCTGGGTGTCCAGCGTGAGGGTGTTCTGAACATCCTGCGTGGCCGTGTCCTCTGCACTCTGTTCTACGAGCCTTCTACCCGCACCTCGGCTTCTTTCGATGCCGCGATGCAGAGACTTGGTGGACGCACCGTCGTCATCTCCACCTCGCACTCTTCCGTCCAGAAGGGCGAGACGCTCCAGGACACTCTCCGCACTCTCGGCTGCTACGGTGACGCCGTTGTCCTCCGTCACCCTGAGGAGTCCAGCGTCGAGGTTGCCCGCAGATACGCCCCTGTCCCCGTCATCAACGGCGGCAACGGCAGCAAGGAGCACCCCACTCAGGCTTTCCTGGATCTCTTCACCATCCGTGAGGAGCTGGGCACTGTTCAGGGCCTGACCATCACCTTCGTGGGTGACCTTCTCTACGGCCGCCCTGTCCACTCCCTCATCTACCTCCTCCGCGACTACGGCGTGCAGGTTCAGCTCGTCTCTCCCAAGGGACTTGCCCTGCCCGCCGAGGTCCGCCAGTACCTCATCGCTTCCGGACAGCTGCTCTGCGAGTCTGAGGAGCTCACGCCCGAGATCCTCGGCCGCAGCGATGTTCTCTACTGCACTCGTGTCCAGAAGGAGCGCTTCCCGAGCGTCGAGGAGTACGAGAAGGTCAAGAACTCGTACCGCATCGACAACCGCACCCTCAAGTCGGCCAAGAAGGACATGTGCATCCTGCACCCCCTTCCCAGGAACGAGGAGATCGCGCCGGAGGTCGACACCGACCAGCGTGCGGCCTACTTCAGACAGGTATGTCCCCCTAATCCCCCGCCGCTTGGAACGCACACTGACATTTCCCCCAGATGAGATATGGTCTGTACTGCCGCATGGCGTTGCTTGCGTTGGTTATGGCACCATAGACGTTGTGATTTGATTTCCTTGTCTCGGAACCGGAATATGAAAAAGGCATAAAAAGTTTAGATCTTCAGGGTTACGTTTGGAGTTATCGGGGTTTCTGTTTGCGCGATACATAGACTAAAAGTAGAAGCAACTACTTTAAACCACCGGCGTAAACGCGTTTAGACGTCATGGCTTGCGCCATGTGTAGGGTTATTTGGTTTTGTATTTGGTTTATTTGGGCAGAGCGTGATGCGTTGCGTACGTTTGTTTCGTACGTATACGTATTTGCGTATCTGAATGCGTTTTACGACGTTTACGATATGATACCCCCTCCCGTTACATATACGGAATGAAATACGTTTATTTGGTTTCTTACGTTATGTGTGTGTGTTATGTGTGTATGTGTGTGTCGTGTGTTTCGTAGCCATGGAAGTACCTCTCTTGGGCCCGATCGGAGCCGGGCTCGTCCCTGCACCGCGCCGCCGTCTCCACCCACCGTCCCATCCATCCGATTTTCTGCAGGCCGTGGAGAAGACGGGAGGACGCCACCCACCTGCGCCGACCACCGCATTTTACGCATGTACCTTGAAGGTGACGCGCCTGGGTGGAACATTCTACGCTTTCCTTGGAATGTGGGGGGGTCCCTCTTCTCCCCTCTTTCTCCGAAAATGCAAGCATCATGAGAGAGCTTCCGTGGTGTCATATCATGAGTCCTTCATCCCACCAACTCTTTTTTTGATATCACGCCAGCGACTTGCATTAGGCCCGTTGAATACGAGAACAGGAAGGATAGAACGCTCAGCTCGCCCTTTCTGTAGTCGTAACTACCAAAACTTCCTCTACCTTATGCGGCCCGGTCTAGCCAACAGGATATCGAGATCGCTCAAGATGGCTCTTCATCCCCCGCCAGAGAGCGAGAAGCTCATTTGTAAGTATTGTGCCGTTGGGACTGTGTAGTTGAGGTAGTGAGAGTGATAACGTTCGTGGATGAGATACCCCTAAATCGACTCCCTCACTCAATCACTCAATCACTCGCTCACTCAGACTCATACCATACTCAAATCACTCATCACACCAACTAACAAAACACAGTCGCCCCCGCCGGCTCGGCGCAAAACACGCGCGCAGACCAATTCACCCTCTCGGCGCTGCACCGGCGCGACCTGGACCCCTCGGGCTCCCCGATCCCGCAGTTCAACGCCTGGTTCCGGGCGGCGCAGGACTCCCGCGCCGTCGCGCACCCGGAGACGTGCACGCTCTCGACGGCGTCGCTCCCCTCGGGCCGCGTCTCCGCCCGCATGGTCTACCTCAAGGAGCTCGACGCCCGCGGCGGCTTCGTCGTCTACACCAACCTCGGCACCTCGCGCAAGGCCGCCGACCTCGCGTCGAACCCGCACGCCGCCCTGACCTTCTGGTGGGAGGCCCTGCAGCGCCAGGTCCGCGTCGAGGGCGCAACCGAGAGGCTGAGGCCCGAGGAGAGCCAGGTCTACTACGACACCCGCGTGCGCGGCAGCCGGATCGGGGCGTGGGCCAGTCGGCAGAGCCAGGTCCTCGAGCCGAAGAAGGACGACGGGAAGGAAGAGAATGACGACGGGAGGGCGCAACTGGAGGGCTGGGTGAAGGAGGTCGAGGAGCGGTTCGAGGGGCAGGAGAAGATCCCGGTGCCCGAGTTCTGGGGCGGGTTGAGGATTGTGCCGGACCGGATCGAGTTCTGGCAGGGCCGGGAGAGCCGGCTTCATGATCGGTTCGTGTACGACAAGGTAGAGGGCGAGGAGAACAAATGGACGATCAACAGGCTTAGTCCCTGAGTGCCGAAGCGCAAGGCGGGAAAAGGTGGCTTAGATTCATTCAGGGATGAGAGGTCACTGGTAGAAGATTGCGTGTGTTTCAACAATAGATGAACTTGAACGATGCGTCTCTGCAAGACTACATTACCAAATAGGGTATGTAAAATAAGATTCCGATCCCCACCCAAAAAAATGCCCATCGCCTCCGGTACGCCAGCCACCCGACCACCCAAAATTACAAAGATGCAAGTCCGTCAGACCTTCTCAAAGGCCGAGGTTGGTATCCCAAAAACGTACGACAAGAAAGCTGAAAACCGTTTTCAAAACAAAGACGTCCCATATAACCAAGGGGGCTCATGCAGAGATGTACCGTAAATCCGTATACAAGACCCATGCTCAATGGGGCACCGGTCCCGCTGGGGCATGCAAATCAACCATCGTTATACACACAAACAGACAGAATGCTCGCTCGCTCGATCGCTTCGCTTCGTTCAGACATCAAGCTCCTCTCCGACGGGTGAGAGTGCGTTCTGGTTTCCGGAAAGGGGAAGGGACATGTAGTCGCCGACAAAGGACGTCTTCTCCAGGGCGGCTCGTACGTCGTCGCCGAATTGGTCCACCTCGGACTTTGGCGTGTCGACAGGTGTGAGCTGCAGGCCCAGGCCGATGACGGCGGTGCCAATGGTCATGCTCTTGCTCTTGCAGTGGCCGCTCTCGTGTGGCTGGACGGGGCGGACCGAGCTGTAGTGGCGGGCGGCCATCTGCATGTCGACCATGGTGTCGGTGATGAGATCCTCGTCGTCGACCAGGGGCTTGATGCGGTAGTTGAGGTTCTCGTAGATGCAACGCTCGGTCACGTTGATCTGCTCGCACGACCAGATATCCTTGCCCCATTTCGCGCAGTAGTATGCTGTCGAATCCTGGCAGTCATCGGTGAACTTTGCGGCGATGATGAGGGCGGCGAGGATGATGAGCTCGGGCTGGACCGAGTCGATATGCATCTGCTGCTGGTGGCGGCGGTCGAGGAGGGGAGAGTGGAGGGTGTGGCGCTTGTTGTGGGAAGAGAAGGCACCGTCGACGAGCAGGGGACACTGCAAGCGCCAGCTCAGGGCGAACTTGGAGTTGAGAGAATCGAGGATACAGACTGCCAAGGCGATAGTCTCGAGCGGGAGGGCGGACCGACTGAGCATGGCCTGCACGAGGGGCACCGATGGTGTCGTGAGGGAAGCTGACGTGGGAACGAGGTTGATGAGGTGGATGGCGGGGCCTGCAAGTGGGCGAAGAGTTAGCATTACATTGCATGTAGACTGGCATTGCATCGAAGCACGCACACACGCACACACGCACACACGCAGTCGCCTTCCGGAGAGAAGGTTGCGCGCGCGGGCGCGGGTGGGTTTTCAATGGTGGAACGGGAGAATAGCCGGTCACGTAATACGTACCAAGGAATTTCTCTTGCAGGACCTCGCCGTCTTCCAAGGCCGTCTTCGGGCTCTGGTGTGCGGAGGAGTTCCTGGTAGAAGGCGGCGGGGTGGGAAGGTTGGAGAGGGGTCGGTAGGTGAAGTAGGCGTCCTCGGCTCCGTACTCGTCGTCCGAGTAGTCGGGGTTCTGAACGTGTCTCGCCATGTTGCCCATTGTGTCTCTCCGGCTTGATTGTTTCAAGTGATTCGTCCCTGGCGTGATTGTGTGTGTGTGGTTTACTGTAAAATGACAACGACAATTGGATTATCGTCCGGGATGAGTCGATATTATCTGTTCGTGGATCGTAGCGGTCGTGGGCGGTGAATGTCGTTAAAGCCAACTCTTCCTGTCCTCTGTCCTGAGCAGTAGGGGGCGCTGCTCATATTCGTATACAACGTATATTCGAAGCGAATTAGGTCGAAATCGTGTTTGTCTCGGGTGGTATCACGCAACGTCGGGGTTGGAGAAGTGAAGAGAGCAAGAGGTAGAGGCGTGGTGGGAGGTCGGGCCGGTATATGTAGTTGGCTTTGAAGGTGGACGGGGTGGGTTTGTATATGGACACTTGGGTGCGTGTGAAGGAATAGCAGGGCGCAAAAAAGAAGCGGGAAAGGGGTCGAAGGAGGAAAAAGTTATGCAGGGTTCATAAAGCGAAGTAAGGCTGAGTCCACCTCAGTCACGTCTTTCTTGAGTCGGCGGCGATGCGATGCGATGGGTCGAGCAGCGAGCCCAAGCCCGTGGTGTGCGGATTCATAGTGCAGATACAGAGTACCGTGGAGGTATCCATGTATCCCGTACCACCAACCACAACCAGCCCAAGCAAAGCCCAAAGCCGGGCTTGTGCTTGTCCAGCAGCTGCCAGTCCAGTGCCATGCAAGAAAACGGCTTCTCGCAAAGGGCGGGAAGGGAAGGGAAGCCGGCTGGGGTTGGGTCGAGTTGGAGGGACGTGGGAGGTATTCGGCGGTGGGCGATGCACCATGTGGGCTTGTGGTCTGTGTTGATGCTGCGAGAAGCTGCGGGTGGAGACAGTGGACAGTGCTGTGGATAGTGGACAGCGGACACCTCAGTGGACTGCCTAAGCCCCAAGCCCCCGAGATGTACCCGGAACGTACTAGCGTCGTATCTGAGCGGATGAGCGGACACTGGACGCCCTTCCTTTTTCCTTCTTTCTGTTCCCAGTTCTCACCAGTAAGAAGCCCTTGAGCTTCCTGTTCCAGCCTCCAGTCCAGGCCGTCTTTGACGAAGCTGACGGAATAGAGCCCGGAGCTTGGGTACAGCACAGCACAGCACAGCAGGACTCGGATCAGGGCAGATGGGACCTTACCGTCTGAGATATCAGGGGGTCCTCTTTTTGTGCGAGTTTCCTCGGCTCTTTAGCGTATCTGCAAGGCAAGAAAGAGAGCAGGGCAGGGGGTGAGAGGAAGAAGTGCAGAAAAGACATGCCCAGGGCAGTCAAGAAAAACAATATTGGGAATACGGGCACGACAAGCGGTCGGTAACCAAATAATGCCACGAAAATTGGCCGAATACGCGGCGCTTGCTCCCGAACTGAACTATTGACTATCTTTCTGCCGACTCTCGCATATCCCGCCTGCACCGCACCATCCAATATTGTCGATATCATTCGGTCATGGCAAAACGAAACATGCGAGTTTTCGCCAGAAGAAACTCGGCAGAAACTGTTTTCCTGGTGTTTGGTCCATGACTGGACGCGACGCAACGCAACACAAGGTAAGGCAAGGCAAGGCAAGACATCCTCGGACAATCAGCATCTGCATCTCCATCTCCAGAGACAGCAGTGACCGAGACAGAAACACATCAACCAACCGTCAGCCAGTTTCACTCGCTCGCACAGTCACCACCCAGCTCTGCAGTGACGAAAGTTGACGCAACGCGAGACAGGCATCCCAATCCCAGCCTCACACAAAATCTTGCTGTACAGAAAATAAAAATGTTTTCCTCCTTTTTCTCCTCCCGCATTTGTGGTCGAAACAACCATCCGTTGATGCGTGCTGGCTTGTTCCCTGGCCTCGGATCATAGCACGCCAGGTAATGCTTCCCAATACATGGCAGGATGACGTTGGACGCCGGCGGATGGCTGAGCGGCAGTTGGTCTGGTCCGGGTGGCCGTGCCTCATTCTCACCCCCCTTCTCAGAGATCAGTCCATCCCATTCATCCATCTCATCTCATCTTATCCCATCCCGTCGCGGCATCCCATCTTCATCTGACGCCCTTCGTTCGTTCGTTCGTCCGCTTTCGCGGTTAAATCAAGGTGAGCCCGCGTGGGCATGGCATGGCAGTTCTCCCCGTGCCACATTGCCTATCCGAGGCAAGATCGAATCGGGGAAAAGAGAGTGCCCAGAGACGTGTATCATTGTAGCCGTAGAGTGTTTTACCAGGCACATCCAGGAACGGCCGCGTCGTCACACAGATGGTCGATCAGATGGTGCCATTGCGCCCATTGCATCCTTAGTGGTGGTAATTCCCGATGATACCGTCCGTATACGGGGGTCGTACTCGACCACGCTTTGTATTCTGTGTCCATCTCGACAGGAGAATATTTCGCTCGCACAAGAACCATCCCGGGAACACTGGAGCATCTTCTCCAGGAGAGGAACCTCCCGCGACCGCAAGCTGCCTCTCGGTGTCGTGTTGTTGTTCCTGGCCACGGCCAGGGGGTGACCCGGCTCGACGGCCGCTCACCGTGACGACTGGTGCTAATTTGGGTGTCAATGGATGTTCGTCTGGTGGGTACGATGTGGAGTACGGATACCTAGGCTACGGGCAGAAGTCAGGAACCCGGGCTGCTCAGCTTGACTGACATTCTGGCAGACTGGCATTGCTTCAGAATTGGACCCCAATGACAAGAACAATGGTCTCTCTCAACGCTCAGGTCTGATCAGTGGGAACTCGCCAGGTACCTGCCCCAGTTCTTGCCTCCTCACATCTCGGGGACTCCTGCTGTCCACTCAGTCCGCGGGAAGCAATGGAACAAATGGATCAGTCTTGTCAACGTCTCCAGCAACAACATCTGATTCTGATCTTGACGGACGGGACAGCACAAGGGTGTATGCGTATGGCAAGGGCGGCAATTCTTCACCGTAGGCGGTAAAGAGAAGAAGCGATGCTCCAGACCCATTCGTTTCTTCGCATCGCACAATTCTTGCTCAATTTGGTCTCTGAACCGCGATGCCAAGTCATCAAATCCAAGTCGATATGATGAATCCGAACCAGCAGCTTCAATTTTCAACTTCCAAGCCGCCCGCTCGCCCGCCCGGACGATCCACGATGGTAGTATCCGTAAGGTATCGACAGCTTCGGTTCACCCCTCACGCTTCACTCACGCCCCCTTCATCCGTCTCATTCATTCATTATTATTCAATCGTCGATAATGGCAATGGAACTGACATGGACACGCCCACGGCCCCTGTGGATTTTGGATTTGCAGCATCATGCTACGCTGAGACCCCTAGCGTCCCCAGCGTCCCCAGCGTCCTTGGTCTCCAGTGACGTGCTAACCCAGCCACAACCACGCCAAACAGCAGATTTTTTTCCTTTGCCGGGACACGTCCATGTCCTGCAGCGCACATCCTCACATTCCAACCGACGATACCTACCTTACTACCTAGTTTATGCATTGCCTCATGCTCTATTGCCTCGCCCGTCTCGCCGCCCGTCCCTTTGTTCTTACCCCAGAGTCCGCGGCCCGGCGAAGGGGACCCTCGGGTGGGGAAGACTCGCACTGGAAGGAGCCGCTGCGAATCGCCTGCCGCCATTTTCATCGTCCTTTGCCATGCTGCGGCACCTGCTCATACATCCAGATACTCGGCTTCTTGTTTCTTTCTTCACTTCTTTGTTCGCCAATTTGATATTCATCGGTGACATAGAGTCGAGACCTTCCTCCGCCACAAGCGCGACCACAACCGTCAAAGTCGACGTCGAGGTCTGGCCATCGCTTACACCGCAGCGCTGAACCCGTTCTCTGCTCTAACGTGGTCTCCGGTCTCGACACCTCACGAAGCCTCCATCAACGCATCGTGTACACCACATAGCAACATCACGAGTCCGATATCTCGATCCCAACCAACCTCATGCCACCACCTGCACCACCACGACCGCTCATCTGATGTCTTCGTACCTGACTTGCTGGCCGCAACCAGCGTCATGTCATGGCCATGCACACACCACACGCAGAATCAACAGCACGCTACGAATACTCAACCAACCGATGTCCTCAACTGCATCACGAACTGCTCCTAATGCACCTCGGGCAGTAGCACCATCGGCAGCTTTCAGGGGGACGCTGGAACTGCACAGCACAACGTACGGATATCCCGACCAAAACCGTTTGTGCCCAGAGTCGATTGTCTCTACTAGCGCCTGAGCCTGAGCCTGCTGCGTATTCTGGACGAGTATCCGTACAGATACCCCATTTGCATAACACGCTCCGCGTCACTGCATAAAGCCGCTCCCTGTCGTGGCCCATCGACAATGCGCCCGCCATACGTCAGATCATCCCGTCCCCTATCTTCTTGTCCCAACACCTCGACCTCCAACTCCGACGACGGGCCAACTACGGATGCGCTACCCTACCTACTAGCACCCCAACCCGCCAAAAGCAAACGGCTGCCTTGCTAGATGCACAACTGAGCATCCCGAATGTCAGTGCGGCAACGTTGTCGTCGTGACCATGGTCATGACCGTGTCCGTGTCCGCGGGTGCAAAACTCGGAGAGCGCTCTGTTCGTCCCGGAGCTCCTGCACAGCGCGGCATCTCACCCATGCCACCACGTCACTGAGGTGCCCGCTCAGGGTCCTTTGCCGCGCAGTGCGATCTTGCTGTCCGTCGATTGCCGCAGTCCTGAGTCGGAGAGCCGACACCTCACATGAACCTTGCAGCTCGAGACCGAGAGGCTTTACCGAAGCAGCTGCCCCGTCCGAAAGCGGCTTTCACGATGCCGTGATGAAGCATTCCAAGGTCCAGACGTGGCGAGAACTGCCGTTGCCGGACTTGGACGTCAGTGAGGCAGCATGTCGTCGACTCTTGACTCTGACAACGCGAATCCCCTCTCGTACGAAACTCAAGGGTCCCAGTCCCAGACATCCGGGGGTCCAGATCGTCAAGGGTCGCAAAAGGCAACGCCGCATCGGTTGCCCACATCTCCGGGTCGATCCCAATCTCGCCGGCCTATGCCGCCGAGTCGGGAGACTTGGAAGCCTCTCCCCCACTTGGCCAATCTCACTCTGTGCTAATGATAGAGTCGATGTCAAGCAGAGCAAAACGCACCAAGCTTCGACGAACTCGTTCCATCCCTTTGAGCCCGGGGTTTTTCATGGTTTCTTGGCATGCGACATCTGACCCCGTAATCCAATTCTCAGGACTCTTACCTGAGCCAGTGGCTGAAGAGGACCGGATAACTTCAGTCAACAGGCGCCCGACAGAAGCAGCTTCGTCGCCGCAAGCGGCAGTGGCATCAAGCCACGAGGGAGCTACTAGCCACTCGCCAGGCGCGGCCACGCCCATCAGAGCGTCTGCCGGACTTCTGCTGGGCAATGCCAGATGCCCTGCCAGGCGGGAATCGTCCTTGGGACGGTCGTTTGTCTGAGCGCTCCCAGCCATGCCCAAACGAGCTGCTCCTTCATCTCCTTATTGTCTCGTTTGGGAGACAAATGATGAGATGCGATGCGATGCACATCCTCCTCAGCCGCGGAAGCCGATCTCTCGCAAACAGTGCTTTGTCAATGTCGCCTGCATCGAAGAAGCTTCTCACGACATCATAGCAGAGACTGCGATCGACCCTCACCCACGACCTGCAGCACATGCTTTAGATTGCCATGCACGCGACCCGGAAAATCACCTGCAAGCTATCTTTTCCCCAGCCCCACGCGACGCATGCTTCTTCCAGAACGGAAAGTGTGAACTCTGAATCCCCGCCTCCCTGCTGCAGACCCGTTCGTGCGTCCCGCGACCGGCCGTCCAACTAAAGCTCGCCCGTCCCACTCCCGACCGAAGGGGGGGTTCGTCCGGTCCGGGGCCGGGCACAAGGTGGTTGCTGTGTCCCCCGTGCGGCGGCAGCCTTCAGGTGAGATGCAGTCTAGGCGTCCTCCCAAAACAAGTTGTTCAAGACAACACTGCAACAGAAAACTGGAGGTCGGGGTGATGCGCTGGCATGCAGTCCAATCCATCTCAACTCATTGGTGACCTTACCGAGCTGTGCACTTTCACATTCAGCTCCGGCAAAGCTGACGCCTGATCGCAATCTTAAACTTCGGAATCTCACCAGCAAAGTCAGCCTTGAAAGGGCCGCTGCGCCTTGCGAATCCGTCCCGTCGGTTTGGCAACCGGGGGAGTAAGGGAAGGGAGGGATTCCGACCCTAGAATGACAGAAGACGTTTTCATTTCTTATTTTCGTCGATGCCTATTCCCGCTCCCTCCGTGCGGTCTGCCAAGCTCCGCCATGCATCGTATTCGAATTGAGGCAGCCGAAGGGGGGGGGGAGGGAAACCAACCAAACCCGCCGTGAGATTCTCTTTTGAAATTTCCATTGTCGGGCAAGAAGAGCACACGGACTTTTTTGGTCCCTTTCGCCCCCCTTGAAATCACTTCACTTTTCAGCCCGTTTTACGGGGTGACGGGGTCTCATCTATCTACCCGCTTCTCGTATTATTCCACAGATTTACCTAAGATCGGCATTAGATTCCTTTTTTTATTTTTTTCGCAGCTGTCAGTCAGGGCCACCTCTCAGCCCATGCTGCACATAAGGCGCGATTTCTCTCCAATAAACGGGATTACCTAGTGGGCGGCGGATGAGGCGAGCGAGGTGTGCTCCGCGCTTGTTTTTCTGCTCCGCATAGGATCGGTTCAGCTCCGTCTTTCGCAGGGCCTTGGCCCCCCCACTCTGTGCGGCGGCAGGCACAGTTTCTGATGGCATTGGTACATTAGCGTGCGTGTCTATGTGTGTGCGTTTTGCGTTTTTCTGCGGAGGTGGGAAGGAGGAGGAGGAGGCTCTTTTGCTGACTGAGTCCGAGACGGAGCCTCGCTTGTGCTTGGTATTAGGTCAGACTCGGAGGAGGGGGGGTTGGAATCCTTCTGAATGGCCGAGGTTCGAAGAAAGACTGGGCTGGGGGAAGACCTTTTGAGCTTGCAGACGCCTGCGTGTGATATTGGACTGGATTGCATGATCAGGGGCATATGCGGACGCGGTCTATCGTCGATTTCGGGGATGCATGTCGTGTCGTGGTTGAAGGACCGGGGCTGGTTGGCTGGGTTGGTCGCGGTATGACGACGGCTCAGGTGTGAGGTCTGTCTTGTTGCATGGGCAGCTTGCATGCGTACGAGGTGTTGCTCCTCGGGCTTATATGGCCGTCTTCGCCTCAACTTTCTTCTTGCGGCTGTTCAACCGACGGTTGCTTCTGTTGTTGTATACCTTGACTTGCATAGGTTTGATCTGTTTCCTCAGACTGGCGTACATGCTTCGCGCTGGTGATGTGATCGTCTTGGCTCCTTCGACTGCACAGATCATTCACGGTCGAATACTTGACAAGTGAGTGACGGGAACGGGAGACAGAGCCGTCAGACATGCATGCTATCCCAAAGACTTCATGTTGTAGTTGCCCTTCATGGTAGTTATAAATAAGAAACCACGCTCCCGAGTAGAGTCCCTCCCCAAGGCAGTCGACTTTTTGCCACTCGTTCTCTGCTCTTCTCGACGTATCGGACATCCTTCGCCCTTTGGCGGTAGTGTCAATTCAAGCTATTGTTAGTTGACTTGACTTTGAGCCGTTTGTTTTTCCTGTGGTCTCTTGCGAACTCTTCTAGCCGAATACTTGAAGGGTGACGAAGAGGGAGGGGAAGCAGGATAACTAGAGCTGTGTGTTTTCTCAAGACCTTGTAGTCCCAGGATCAGCCTAGCGACTCTTGATAACTTGTGAATTGCAATTCTCGACGTAATCGGCGTAAGCTTCCTGCAATTTGACCGTGATATCAGTTGAAATTGGTCCTTGACTTGAGCGTCAGTCGCTTTCCCTCGTATGCCTTCACATACTTAAGGCTCCATGGTCTCAGATGTCAGGTCATTACTGTCAACGTGATTCCGTCCCTCGATGCGGAGTGAGAGCATAGCAAGGTGCGACCACTGGTATACAGGCACATGATTTGCATCTTTGAGTGCCCAGGTTAGGCCTCGTCGCAGCACTCAGTGCCCACATCATGCAGGTAAACGTGATGTGTATAACAGGAGGCGGATGAGGGAAGAAGCTAGACGGGAATAACTCTGGTTGGAAGAAACGGGAGATCGACGTGGTGTGAAAGCAAGAGACACGAATGGGTCCCCTTGCGAGTGCTCGAATACACCTGCCGATGCTGACTTGTATGAGGAACTTCCAGTGAAAGGTATTGTTCGTGGCAGCCTCGGCTCGGGCCTGGCGTTCAGGAGCAAATATCCTCACAGGGTTGTTCAACCGACTCTTGGTGAATCGGCAACTGCTGGCTCTGCGGTGCCGCCAAAGTTTCGCCGAACACCTTCACGGACGTTTGCCAATGGAGGACGACTCGTCTATTTAAAAAGGCTCTTAATGACACGGTCCTCGCACTTCAAGAGAGGGCCGCCATCATCTGCTTATAGTGCCAGTTGGATTCATCAATTGGCCAGGGGGAAAAAATGTGTGTGGTCTGGTCTTTAAGGTGAGCGCGGTGTGAACAGAGTCTGCCCACATGAAATCAGTATACGTGATACGTATAATTAGGGGCGGATGGGAGAAGCGATGACGGAGGAAGCTTCTCTGCTCGGATGCGCAAGACCCAATCAGAAAGCATTGCATGCAACACGTCTCGCCGCGAAGCGAACTGAGGGTTGGCAGTTGGAATAGCTTCCAGATAAGATTAAACAACAGCGAGATAGACTTCTCCAAGTTTACCTCACAGCTGAAGGGGATTTGTGAGGACCACGAGCCAGCCTCACACAAACTCTTCCGCCTCTATAAAGGGCATCCGACTTGTGGTACCAATGCCCCGACGCCAAGCCTCTCGCATCCGAGGAAGTCCCCAGGAGACCAGCCCGCCCAATAATGTGTGAATTAATAGAGATGCCATAGCCTGAGTAACCTGGCCTGGTTGGAGCAGTTGAGCTGTGACAGGCAAAAAGTCGAGGCACAGGCAGCCACATGAACGCTGGATAGAGCATTGGCCAAAGTTCATGGAGCACCTGATTTCTGAATGTGTGCAAACTTGCTACTAAGTTTCCCATCTCCAATGACTCAAGAAAATTACCACAGAGAGTTGGTCAGCTACGGAGACCGGGAAAAAACGAACGCAGTGTGTCGTATCGTCAATATCATTTCCTAAGAACCTATTTCATCCTTCCATGTAGTCTAGTATGACCCAGTGCCGTTGGTAGAGTATGCAAACCAGACCTCGATGAAGTAAAACAAACAAAACAACGCCAGCATGCCTTGACTCGCAGTAAACCCTTTCTTAGTCCGAGACATCCTTCTCAAACCGATACCGCCTGGCTTCATGAAGCATCGTCTGTATCGAAATTTTACTCCTTGGTAACGATGACTAGACGTTCAAAATTAGCGCTCCGTAGTGCCACGGAATTCAATGTCGGCTACATACCAGAAGACTGCTGAACGATCTGAGTGATCTGGGGGATCACGGCCTGGTCGATGAACTGGCCCAGGTTGAGCTGGCCGACACCCTGGATGAGACCGAGGTTGAGACCGCCCAGGTTGAGGTTGGCCAGGTTGACATTGTTGAAGACGCCCTGCTGCTGGATGGCCAGGACGGTCTGCAGCTGCTGGAGCTGGAGCAGGGCGTTGAGGTCGAAGTTCTGGGCGGCGAAGAGGCCCTGGAACGCCTGGAGGTTGAGGTTGTTGACCTGGCCCAGCTGCGCCAGGCCCTGCAGGTTGAGTCCGTTGAGGGCGAGGACGTAGTTGAGGTCGAGGTTCTTGAAGCCCTGGAGGTTGTTCAGGCGGCCGAGGTCGACGTTGGCGCGGGGCTCGTTGGTGGATGTCGGGGCGGCGGCGGCGAAGACGGCGAAGGTCGAGGCGAGGATCGTGGAGAAACGCATCTTGGTGGTGTTGGTGGGTATATTTGTCGTCGTGAGAGAGGTCGTTTGTGATTAAAAGTTATTAATACGAAGCGAGCACAGCTCTGGATGTTCCGTTAAGGAGTGGTTTCGATTTCGACGGGCTTGGAAAGAGTGAAGCGAACAACGAGCACAGCTGTTGGTTGAGTTAGTCTTGATGATGGTTTAGCGGTATGTGAGGATCTTACCTCTGTAGAGAAAGAATGAATGGGAACGAAGAGATCGAACTGGAAGATTGGCTTGTTTGTGTGTGAGGATGGAGAGAAGAGAAATCATGTGAAGTCCGGCGGCAGCCGACATCTTATGTATGAAGGCAGTTGAGGCGGCGATGCCAAGTTCACGGCACTTGCGCAATCCGCCGAGAAGCCATAGGAAAGTTTGGACCGTTTCCAAGAATGATTAAGGTAAGATCGCTCGGAAGAGTCGTGGAGGAGATATCCGGTGCGTGTCAGAAGCCGGGTTTTGCTGGGACGGACAAGCGTTGGATCAAACGAGTTGTCGACGGGAAGTCCAGCCCCAGGGACTGTGGGATGTCTCCATGGCAGGGGCAGAGTCTCTTCGGATGAGCGAAGCGACGGAATGCCGGTATAGGATTTGAATTTAGATCTTGGTAGGAAAATTTTAAACTGCCGACGTGGATCTCCAGAGTAAACGCTGAGTTCGGCCGTCTACATGCAATTTTCCGACGGTGTCTCTTTCCCAGGGCGCAAAATGTTTTCCAAGCATGTTGTGAGCCGAAGGTGGGGAGATCTAAGGCATGAAGCCAGTGTGTGATCCGGCTTCATGTACGTCCGAACCATCAAGAATGACGGTGAAGACACCAAGACGACGGAAACAAACTGCATCAGGGTGTGAACCTTGCACGGCGGAAGATTGAAGTCCAAGACCCAAATAACCTTACTTGATGGGGCTTATGGCAGCTTCGTTGATAGGAAGATACGATGCTGATGGGTGGTATGGGGACGAACATGACCCTGGAAGCTGACGAGGCTGTTGGGGTCGCCAAGTCGGCAGACGGATCTTCCATCTTTCTTGTTCCTTCAACAGCCAGAGCGGACGGGTCTACATCAAGATCGACAACCAGGAGACTGAGGAACAGGCGCTTCCGTGGTTCAGCGAGAGTAGGGAAAGGAGGCATGATGGGCCTAAGAAAACGCGAGAGGCTCGGAGTCGATATTAGGATTTGCTCCTTTCCCTCGAGCCCTAACACACGGCGTTTCACAGAGGCGATGTTGCCGCCAGCAGCCGGCGTATCCCACTCCCCATATGGAAGATCGACTTAAATCGCCATGTAAAGTGAGAGGGAAACAACGGAAGCTTAGGATCTCTTCGTCTCACTTTTAACTTACGAATTGTTACTTTGCAGCTCATAGCTCATGTCTAGTGCATCAATGACCGATAGGGCTATCAAGATCAGTGGCCAAAATGCGCCTTGCACCGTAAAGCTGAACGCAGCCATATGCCAAGCAGCCGAAATTTAGTCGAAATGAGCAAGCAGTGTGATCTATGTTGATAGGTGACGCGATAGCGGATGGCGAAGACGTAGGAATAAGGTGAAAGACAACCTTAGCACTCGGCAAGGTCATCCCGGCCAAGATGCCGGGATCAGATGAAGATGAGGTGCCTGGAGTGCCATCCAAAGATTCGTGTGTGAAAACACACTTCAATGGCCATATCAGACGACGCTGAAAAAAGGATAGTTCAGCGTGATGTTCCGTGACAGTCGCAGATGGGATGAAGTAACCTTGACGCTCCTGCAGAGGTGTTACATCGTCTTGGTAGACCGCCCAGCCGGCGTGCCGGCGTTGAAAGACTCAAGCTGACCAGACGACACGACAGCCTGTCAATGCAGCCTTGGTGTTATAGAGCAGGTAGATGCGATGATTGGACCATGAGGTGTCATTCACCTGAGAGATGGATGACAGGAGGAAGAGACGTCAGAGCGGCTCAACTAAGGTTTAGTGGCGGTTTAAACTCGCCAAGTGGGCCCGGCCTGTCAAGCTCCTTTACATGGACCCCAAAACGGCCCCTGCATCGGTTCCCAGCCCCGCCATTGGTCCCGCGACCCCCGCATCCCGTCTCCGTCCCCCAGCGGCCCGGGCGCAGGTTGCAACGGTCTGGCACCGGGATCTCCTCTCCCAGACCGTCGATGAGGCATCTGCCATCCAGCGCATTAAGCCATTGATAATAGCGCGGCTGGCCAACGTCACCGTCCATTCAGTCCCCTTCTTTTGTGTCATCGCATCTTGATGGCTCGGATGTTGGGCGATTCCGTGGACTGGCGCACTTCGGTACCAAACTTCGGCGGTCACTGGTGGGTGACAAACGAAAAGATTTCAGACGACGCAAGGCGGTGTTGGCCTAAAGACATTTCTCGCAATTTTTCATGGCGTTTGTCGTGGGATAATCACATTCAACTGAAGTTGAGCTCAGCTAAGGACCCCTTCTCAGCTGTTTATGTACATAGGCTGAGAAAATGCGAAGTGGAAAATAGTGGTTGGTCCACTAATAGGCATGTGGAAGATTAAGAGCCGTGTCCAGAAACTGCTGGTGATGGGAGATAGATGGCAGCAGTTATGAAGACAGGAGAGAAGACAAAGACCGAGGTATACAGAGGAGACGAAGTGAAGGACCGATGTCAACGAACACCTCTCACAAGGTTGAGTCCCCTGAGACTGCATTTCCAGTGTGTCATTCTGTCATTTTCTGCGCACGTGCGACTTGTCAATTTTGCGGTGCACATTAGCATAAGCTTAAAAAATCACATCGGCGCCAAGAATCTGGTTCCATGACCAGGATACCCTGACTGAAACAACGAACCGTCCAAAGATCAGCAGAATGAGACAGGTTGGCAGCCAGACTGAGACGTCAATGTAATAATATTTTGACAGATGCATGTTTTTACAAAACCAATTAAGTACATGCTAACCCTTGTCTCCCAGGACAGCCTTTAGCTTTGCGCCGCGACCCAGACCCGTATCCCATGAGAAACCCCTTTTTCACTCCCACACCAGCCAAGCCGTCTCCAGCACGATCCGGAGGCTGCAGCGGAGACTCCGAGGGCTCAATGCTCAGTAGTCATGCGGCGCTGGTGTCCTCGCATCCCGCACGCAGGAAGCGACGCTGGGAGTATGCTCATTTCCCCGTCGGATTGTAGGCAGATTCTCTGCAAGTCTTCTAGAACTCGATCACAAGTGTCTATTTACAACTTGCCACCCATGCCGATCTGGATGCCGCTGACAACGATGCCCTGCTGCATGAGACCGACGAGCTGGACAGGGTTGACAAGACCGACGGAAGTGAGCTGAGCGAGCTGCTGGAGCTGGGCGAGCATGATGAGCTGCTGCTGGGCTTGGAGCTGAGCGAGAGCGTTGACGTTGACGACGTTGCCGAGACCCATGGAGGCCAGGAGAAGCTGGACGATCTGGAGAAGCTGGGCGTTGTCGTTGTTGTTGTTGTTGCGGTTGTTGCCGTTGCGGTTGTTCCTGTTGCCGTCGCGGTCGCGGTTGCGCTGGTTCTTCTGGTACTCCTCGGCCTTCTTCGCGGCATCCCTGGCAGCCTCCTTGCGGGCCTTGTCGGCCTCCTCCTTGGCCTTGTCGGCCTCCTTCGCAGCATCTTCCTGCTGCTTCTTCTCCTCCTCGGCCTTCTTGGCAGCCTCCTCAGCAGCCTTCTTAGCGGCTTCTTCTTGCGCCTTCTTGGCAGCCTCCTCCTCGGCCTTCTTCTTCTCCTCTTCGGCCGCGGCGTCACCGCCCGCGGCGGGGGGAGCAGCAGCTGGGGGAGCAGCCTCGGCAGGCGGAGCGGCGGCGGGAGGGGCGGCAGCAGGAGGAGCAGCGGCAGGAGGAGCAGCGGCAGGAGGAGCAGCAGCGGGCGCCTCAGCAACAGGTGCAGCAGGCGCGGCGGGGGCAGCAGCCTCCTGGCGGAGGGTAAGCTCCTCGCGAGCACCCAACTGCTTGGGGATGCTCAGACCCGACACCAGGCCGGTGGCAATGAGAAGAATCATGGAGGACCTCATTTTGAAAGGACTGTTGAGAATCGAAAAACTGAAACTTCTGATCTGTTAGAATATGACCGCTGAGAATGAGAGGAGGGTGGTCTTACGGTGGGTATCAAGGAATGACAAGAGAAGCGTAGAAAGAATGAAAACAGAGCACAGCTGCTTCTAGTTAGTTACTGATGTCCAAAGGGAGGAAACGACTTTCTTACCTCTTGAGAATAGAATTGAAAGATGGGGTAAAGACACTGTCCTGAAGAGAAGGGATGCAGATCAAAACACTGTCTGGATCGGGATCACGAAGACTATTTAACCTCCGGACGTTCTGGCCAAGACATTAAGCATAAGTCCTCGCGTGGACCTTGCCCGTTGTTGGGCAACCGTCCCAAGACCAAACATCACCCTTCAGATGGCATCTATCAGGCCCATGAGACAGATACCATCCGGGATCAGTCGCCTGTGTGACATGCCAACGGGTGTGTGGCGTCTAGCCTCCCAACCCGCAAAGCAGTCATCCGTCCCCACATCGTAGCCCGGCAGAGGAAGGGTTCACGAGAGCCGGTCTCAGCGGTCCCCGTCGAGAAACAGATGGCACCCGTCAACCCAACTCTGAGCCGCGGAGGCGCAGGCGTCCCAGCTCCAGCGGTTCGTCATGATTCGCTCCTCGGCTGTTTCGACTGATGTGAGCCGTGCTTGGCGGCTAGGAGATCAGACCGCTCGCCGCCCCAGCGATATTTCTCCGCGAGACGATGAGCTAAAGTGAACCTTGATCGTGATTGTGGTGCGCGGATGCCCTGGTTGTCGGTTCCCGTCCGTAGTATGAATGAGAATTCAACCTCCCGGACGCCAAGGCGTGCATCAGGGGCATCCTGCCTCAAAATTTGTTAGCAGGTGTTAGTCGTCGCAGCGGGGACACGCTGCGACTCTTAGCAGCACAGATCGCCACCCGAGTCCCTTCAGACGTCTCATACTCCACGATCGCCCGGACGCTGAACGGAACACAGTCGTGCCGCGAAGAATTGCGCCTCATGGTCTTGGAAAACTGCTATAGCATTATTATTCCATAGGATTCCTCAAGAGCTTCCGTGAAGATCCTACGTAATTTCAGACGCACGGCACTTGGGGATCGTGACTGAAGATGAAAGCAAGAAGAAACAGAATCCTGGGAGACTCTCAGCGATCATAACACATCTTCACCATATTGGAAGAGGCGATGAATGTAGAGGGAGTGAAATCTTTCCAACCAGCCGAGTAATCAGATTCTGATCTCAATTTTGGGTTTGCGACCCGTCCGACTGGGGCGCCCAGAACCGCAAGGATAAAGCCGTTGCGACTCTGTTGCAAGGGCGGACTGCACCTACGTTTCAGCAACGGCTTGTCGAAAAATAACCTTGATTTTAGAGCAAGTGCTTATTTGGACTTGGCGGGCCCTGACCAACGGCTCCCGAGGGGAGCGGTCGACGAATAAAGCAACTGTTACATGATCCTGGTTGCAGATAGTGCTGTAGATGAAAGAATTGCCCGTGGACTTCAGGAGCTACGGGATAAACGGAGGTGGATAGCGAGTCGCAAGGGCATATGTAGAAAACAACATCAACCGAGGAACAAAAATTCAAACAAATAGGAAACGATCCAACCAACCTGGTCAAATATCTTTGAGAATTGACTTTCGAGAAAATATCAAGACTGATGCTTCGCGGAGTGGAGGTGACATACCGCTACAACCCCGGCTTCACCCGATCGCGCATTTGCTATGAACGGATATCCGGATCTCAACCACAACTTCGAAGTTGAACAACCCTACCTCAAAGACAGAAAATGGCGGCAAATCAAGGTTGAGAGAAAACCGAACAGGATCCAAGAAGGGTCAGAATCGGGCTTGCTGCCGTAGCATTTTATTGATTTGCATGAACCGCCAGTAAAACGGACGATGACTGTCCTGTCATATCAGCCCAACATCCCCATGGCTGGCCGATGCTGCAAGCGGCTTCTACGCCGTGAGCAAATCCGTAGGTCTCCTGACGGCTGCTCCAGGTCGCGCTCGTTGCGTTGTAGATTTTCGCAGCTGCTCTGGTGCGGCATCCACCCGCGTTCGCAGCAGTCGTTGTCCAGAATGATCACGGGTCCCAAGTCGTCAAGTCGTACCACAGAAAGAAAAAAGGTATCTTGAATTGTACAGTTGTCATATGTGTCGTCACCAGTCGATTCTTCCCCTTATGCTTTACTCGGCCCATGGAATCCCAGCCACTCTCCCAGTATGCCACCCGGCTTCGGTACCGGACACTCCCTCTTTAACCTCTCTTCTCTCGCTCGTAATGTCTCCTCGTCGCCGACTTGATCGAAGTTGACGATGCCGTCCTTGATCTCCGGGGTCTCGCGGCGCTTCCGCCTCCTCCGTCGACCGTCCTCCCCTACGACAATATCTCCATCGGCGTATGTGACTCTTGGTGCCGGGCAGGGCAGGAGATGTGGCAGGCCAACAACGAAAAAGCTGGCGACGACGGTGGTTGCGAAGAGCGATGAGGTCATTCGCGACCGCGGGTGGAGGGGATGCGGTGGCATGATCGCGTCTTTTTTTGGTTCGGAAAGGAGGGCCGCTGATTTTGTCTGGTGCAATTGAGCGTCAGCGAACTCGATACAGCCATGTAAAAACCAATCGGACAAGCCTTCTCACCTATGACCGTGACATGCTCGCACAAGTGGGTGGAGGGTCCGAATTGAGTCCTCTGGAGAAGGCCGCGATGCACGTCGATGAGTGCCAACAGGCGAATTTCTCGCAAACCGGAAGTGAAGCTTAATGGCTGGATTGCTATTCAGCCCATCTGATTGGATTCCACTGTCCCGGAGTGGAGCCGAAAGGGTAGCATGACATTCGGCAGCGCCTGCCTGAGGATCTTGCCGTCGGGGACGCGCAAAAACTGTAGCTCCGAAGCAAAATCCCGTCATCCACAGCAGCTGCGGGCGGGTGACAAGGGTCCCGTGCATTCCCAGTGACCCACGTTCTCGCAGATCCACCAGGCCGGTCGGGCCTGCGCTTGCTGATAACTGATAAGACCCGGCAATTTAGCGTGGTTGGGGGTTCGGAGCAGCTGCCAACGCCAAACGGTAAGGCAGTATGCACGTCTTTTCCATTGACGCCATGCTGAATTTGCCTTGATCGTAACGCATGTGCTCTTCTACACCGACCGGACGAAAAAGACGCGTTTGAATCGCGTTGAAATCAGCTTCATCTCAATTTTGCGACATAGTGTGAAGCGTCGACTTTTGTGCTCTTCTATCGACGACCGCGACTCGCCGGCTTCGCGCGCCTCGACATAGACCAGGGAGCCCCTCCCCGATCATCGCCATGAGCGACCTCGACAGGTGAGCCTCTTTGAGCCGAAGATGGGTCTGATTTTAGTCAGATGCTAACACATATCATAGAGCCATCGCGCAATTGCGCGCCTGCCGTCCGATTCCCGAAGCGCAAGTCCGAGAGCTCTGCCACAAGGCACGCGAACTGCTCATTGAGGAAGGCAATGTCGTCACAGTTACAGCTCCTGTAACGGTATGCCTCGGCCGAATGCGACGGATACTCTAGACGGGAACTGATGGCGTATGCAGATATGCGGTGATATACACGGCCAATTCCACGACTTGATGGAGCTTTTCCGTGTCGGCGGTGACGTGCCCGACACAAACTACCTCTTCATGGGTATGCTGCGATACTGCTCCGTTCCTGCGATGGGCGCATACTGACTATCGCGTCCAGGCGACTTCGTCGATCGTGGCTTCTACTCTCTCGAATCATTCCTCCTTCTTCTCTGTCTCAAAGTCCGCTATCCCGACCGCATGACCCTCATCCGAGGCAACCACGAGTCCCGCCAAATTACCACCGTGTACGGCTTCTACGACGAGTGCCTGCGCAAATACGGATCAGCAAACGTATGGCGCTACTGCTGCGACGTCTTCGACTATCTCGCACTGGGCGCCATCGTCCTCGGCGCATCACATACCTTTAATTCCAGCCCCGGCCAAGAGCCCATCGACGACGAGGTCGAGATCGAGGTCTGCGACCAGAGCGGCCAGACCATGAGCCGCTTCCCCCGCCAGAGGCGACCTCAGAGACAGCCGACCCCCGGCAGCCCGAATGGTGCACCTTCATCTTCCGGCGGCGACAAGACCGGCCCCCCTGGCACCGGCGCGTCAGGGAGCTCATCGGGTTCCCTCGGCAACCCAGCAGGTGCCATTCTTTGCGTTCACGGAGGTCTCTCTCCGCTGATCGACAGCGTCGACAAGATCAGGCTCCTAGACAGGAAACAAGAGGTTCCGCACGAAGGAGCCATGTGCGACCTCCTCTGGTCCGATCCGGACGACATTGACGGCTGGGGTCTCTCGCCACGTGGCGCAGGATTCTTGTTCGGTGCAGATATAGTGCGCGACTTCAACCACAAGAACGACCTATCGCTCATCGCTCGTGCCCATCAGCTGGTCATGGAGGGATTCAAAGAGATGTTTGACGCGAGCATCGTTACCGTTTGGTCGGCGCCCAATTACTGCTACCGATGCGGTAACGTGGCGGCAATCCTCGAACTCGCCGAGGACGATTCTGGAACCGGCGTCTTTGCGCGCAGCAACGGCGACGTGGGCCGTAGCGACGGCGGTATAAAGGGCACCGACGACTACGTGCTCCTGCCCGGGCCGGCGAGGAGGTACCGGGTGTTCCAGGCTGCACCGCAAGACTCCAGAGGAATGCCGGCCAAGAAGCCCGTCGCCGACTATTTCCTGTAGCCGCGGCCGGGAAGCCTCGATAGCGGCTGTGCTATCAGACGAACAGAAATAAAAGACACAAAAAGAAAGGCAAATTCTTAGCGACAAGCACTATGGGCCACGGCACTCGGGCGAGTGTGTTCCGTTTTTATATGTATGTGTATGGGGCTTGACGGAGAAGCAACGGAGTTTAAGGACTTCACATCAAACAAACACAATTCCCATATTCGCAAATCCCATCAGTGCCCCTATTCCCGAATGCTAACACACAGATCTCACACCTCCCCGCTCCAATGTCTCCCGAATCCTCGCCCCTGGTAAGAACCCTTCGGAACCTGGCTGGCCCTCTCCCCAAACTCCAGCTCCTCAGCAAAGTTCTCTCGCGCATTCCTGATCCAGTCGGCGAACACGCCCGCCGTCTCCTCCCCGCCAACGAAGACCTTAGCGGCGAACTGCACTTGCCAATCCAGCGTCTCGTAAAGCTCGGCCACCGACGCCGCCGCGCCCGCCAGCGCGGCCTCCTTCTCTGCCTCTTCTGCCCTGTTCCTCGGCCTGGCGCGGTTTGTGGTGTCGATGTACCTACGAAGCTCCTCCATCCCGAGCCGCGTGTCGGCAACGTCGAAATATTCGACGTGAATGGCGTTGAGCGCGTCCAGGAGGGTTTGTATGCGTTGTCGCGAGCTTCCTTGGCGCGGGCGGTGGTCGTCTGGGTGTAGGCGGTGCGGTGACGAGTCGAAGAGCGCGATGAGGTCTCCGAGGGCGTCTCGGGTTGCTTTTGCATGATGGTCTGAGGGGTGGAAATCTGTTCGTAGGGCTGATATGCGGATTCGTCCTTGCTCGGGATCTTGGTGGGCGCGGACTTGGGGTGTTGTTGAGTGAGGATTGATGATGTGGTCGTTTGCCACGGTGTACGTCGGCTGATCCTCGACTTTGGAGGGGAACGGGTTGATTATCTTCAAGAGGTTTTTGAAGCCCCAACCCCCTTCTCCTTGGTTTTGTCCGCCCCAGAGACCCGTCGGGACAGACTCTTCGTTTACATGCGGCTTCTTGTTCGGCGTGTCTTGGAGCTCGTCGCGGGGTCTCTTGCGTGGGTTATCGGGTATGTCAGGGGCGAATTTGTCCTCGCCTATCTGGGCTTTCCATCCCGCAACCTTCTCTGCCTCGATTTTGTTTTCTTGCTCGTCGGTTTGTCGCCCGATGTGCGCGGCGCCGGACATGTCTCCGGGTAGACGAGGTGAAGAGCCGTGTTGCCCCTGGAATGTGATAGGTTCCAGCGCGGGTGCGGCGTAGTTCGGGTCGGCCGTCGGCCATGGTTCATACTTGCTCGAATCACGTGGGGGAGACAGAAGAGAAATAATGCCATCATTGGCCGGTCTTGGGGTTTGGATGTGGTTCCCAGAAACGGTCAGGGTGTCGAGAAGAGCATCTCGGTCCGGAGGTGTTTGAGGGGAAAGTGGCACCCTCGGCGGGGGCTGGTTCGGGGATGAACCGCCGGGCGGCGGAGTCGGCACGGCGCCGAACGAGTAGGCAATCTGCTCTTCGACGTCTTCAAGCTGCGTGGTGATGAGCACGAGCTGCTGCGTCAACGTGTTCTCCAGCGTATCCCGCGTGCGGCCTCCGTGGTCATCGTCCGGCACGCGCAAGCTCGCCAGGTCGGCGCTCGCATCCTGTATCGTCTGGCCGAGCCGTTGGAAGCAGTCGCGCGCGTCGTGGAGCTGGCCCCTCTGTGCCCTGATCTCGGAGAGGTGCCTCTCGATTTCGACGCCGTGCGATATCGCCAGGATGTTCAGGAGGTCTATTCTCTGTTCTGGGTATTGGGATGGTGGTGCTGTGTTTGGCCTTTTTTGAAACATTTTTGCGATCCGCGCTTGTGTGTTTGTGGATGAGCGAGCTCTCAACGTCTTTTGCAAAAGGATCACAACTGTTTGAGGACGGGGAGAAACAACAGCAAACAGAACGGGTGGAATCATGCTTCCTTTAAAGAACAGTAAGAAACGTTGTATTGTGACTTTGGTATAGTTCTTGTACCATTGGGTCGTTTGCAAGAAAACACCCCCTCCTCGAATAGCATCCTCTACAATGCTGCAATGTGACAAAGAAAATTCGTGAGTTCGTAGGTGATGGGGCCAGGTCGTCTAAAGAAACATCTGTTTTCGGTCGATGCCGAAAGAAATGGAGTGTCGGTGAGCGTTGTGTTACCTTTGTCGCTTGCTTCCAACTCAGGGAAGACGCAAGACAAAGTCTCATGTCCTTCTTCCACAAAGAATCCAAAACTCATCACAGTCGTTGCTTGACCATTGAGAGTTGTGCCATGCTGACCTCCACGGGGATGAGTGGATTTTGTTCCATTGTGACCGTTCCGAGCCCAGGCCTGAGTTTAATTGAGGTGTCGCTGATGGTTGAGAGGCCTTGAGCCACTTTCCGTCGAGGGAGGATGCAGCGCCCATGCTCTAGGATCAGCATTTACTCCAGTTGATCCAGCAAAAGCTGCCATGTTCTGTCTTTGGTATTCGTCCGAAATGTGTGCCTGTTCGGTCTGTTGATCCTCGTTGCTTGAGTCTGAATCATAGACAGAGGCGGGATCAGAATGGCCAGCACTTCCGGTTGCAAAGTGAGACGGAATATACGTCGGAATCTGATGCATTGTGTCGTATCCAGCACCTTGAAGCACGGTGTGCGTGCCGCTGTTTGGTGACAGAGAGTTCGTAGCATCTGTTCCCGGGAACGAGGAGTGAAAGTCGAGCGCCTGGTTCGCTCCATAGCCTTGCATATTCATGGATAGACCGTCAGTTGGCGAGACTGGGTTTCCCGGCGGCCATATCGAAGCTTGTAAGTTATTGCCATGACCTGGAAGACGTTGGCTCCCCGGCTGGATGTAGGCCGAAGTGGGGAAGCTCATCGAAGTTGCGGAGTTCACTCCGTAAGGTGGCTGCGGGGCATTGCTGGATATCGAGCCGAAACTTTCCGCCGAGGAGTCTGACAGTCTATCGTATGGAAGAGTCGGGCGGGTCTTTTTTTGTTGATCCCGTGGCCGAAACGTCTTGGAGAGGTCAAGACAATCTGGTCTCGTTGAGACCATGACGTTGTCCAACGCGGTTCTTGGTCTGCTTATTGTCGTAGCTTGACTCTGCCCATCGGGACTCAGACGCTGGTCGATCTGAGCATCACTTAGACCGTAATCGCCACCAAGAATTTGACGAAGTTTGTGGTTCTCATCCGCGACTCGACGTGCTGCTTGCTGAACCTCTGAAGAGGCCTCAATGCCCTTCAGTTGACACTCTCGGAGGCGGTTCTCGAGATCCGCCACATATGCCTTCTTACGAGCCCTGGACCGGCGTTGGTTGTCTCTGATGCGGTTCCTCTCCTTTTCCTGTCATCATAGAGTTGGTAAGTGGTTTTTGGGAACAGAACAAACGCATGCCCTTATGGGTCTTTGTTCAAAGTCAAGAAACTGAAGTACTGACCGACTCCATTGGCCTTCGGCTGCCTCAGCAACGCAGTAGCAAAACGGTCTTGGAGAAAATAGAGGGATGATGCTCAAGTCCAAGAGATTGCAACCGGGAAAGTCCCTTCCAAATGGGCACAAACGAAAGCCAACCAGATGCCTGGAGATATTGGGCATCTACTGGATGCAGAAGGTAGTGGGGTTGGAAAGCCTTAGCTCGCATCTGTCTCAGCCGTCGAAACGTGAGGACGGAGCAGCAATATTAACTAATGAGCAATGCGAGAGCCAAGAACCTTAAAGTAATGTATACTGCCGCAAGCAAAAGCAAGCATGAAGAGCCGGCAAATCATTGTAGTCTGAAGAGATTTACAACACGAATGAAGGGCCTGCCTAACATGGCCGAGGCTGGTCCGACAGAGGGGGACAAGGATGCTAGGGTTTGGTAGGGGCACCTCCAAGGAAGATGCGAGACTAGAACAAACCCGTGCCGCTAGGCAGAAATAGGAGGCGAGGTGGCCGACCACAGAGGAGGCCCGGAGACCGGGACTCATGCGTCGTCAGGTCAAACTTCTGACTTGATCGCTCTCGCCGGCCGGGTTGTTTGAGTTACATCTCGAAGGTGAAGAGCTGAAACGGTCCGAGAGAAGACATGGACGAATGCAACATGGAGGAGTTGACAAAGAAGCGGCTGGCGTTGAGGCGAATGAGAGGCTTTGTGACGAAGAAGAGATGAGGCAAGGAAGATGGGAACCTCGGGTCTGACGTTGACTCCGCATATGCGTGTTGGAGAGCACTCGCCTCTCTGTGGAGCTGGTATGAAGTCCCAGCTGAAGGTCGAGTAATCCGAGGCGAAGGCCGTGATGTAGTGACCAGTTTTCGTCATCTAAGCTGAATCCAAGATGAATGCTGGAAGAAACGTTACTCTCAAAAAGAGGTAGATGAGGCTATCTCGGTCGCGAATCTGACACTTCACACCTGTAGGGCCTCGGTACCGCTCTGAGCCTGAGCAGAAATAGGAGTCGGGGATGAATTTTTCGACACAGCCCCGCCGCCTTGGCCTGTGGTTGGAAGATTTTGAACAGCGGCAACACCGACGCAGCGGCGTGAGCGGAGTATCGTGCTTTTTTGAAATTGAACAGCAGTGACGTAAGAGTAGACGAAACTCCTCGGGCTCTCATTTCTTATCCTGCGCCTGCCGAAGAATCTGTCTTGACCTGATGACGAGGTCGAGGCCAGGTTTGAATGTAAGGTCGAAGTTTTCTTGAGTACTTCTAGGTGAGATAGATGCCCTGTAAATACATCTGGTGAGTGAGGCGACAAGGCTTCGAGGGGCGCGGAAGAGCATGGGTTTGTCCTGGGGAAACGAGCCCTGTCAAGCCGTAGATCTTGAAACCCAGGTAATTGGATTGGAACGACGCTTCCGGTTCGTTCTGTATAAGCCTAGTGCCCATTCTGCTGCGAGAAATCGTTCGCCATGCGATTCAAGAAAGGCAAACAGGTCGATGATCTGTACTTGGTGGAGACGTAGTGACAAACTCGATAGGCGAGTTTGTAGAAGGGAGGAGGTATCCCAATGAGAGAAACACTAGGCTTCCGAGTCCCGAACTGGGTTCTGCAGCTCTCTTGTTCCCATCCCGTCACTGGAGGGAAATGAGAAGCTTGACAGTGGCAGATAGAGGAACGAATGGCTGTTGGAGATCTCTGGTGCCAGTCAAAGAATTCGTGGAGCCCCTGGTGGATTGGAGGAATCGTTCCCTGTCGGGTTGGTGTCATGATGCAACGGTGTGTCCGCTCATGACGACGAGAGGTGCCAAATGTGGATTCACGGGTGATCCGAGAAGAAAAGATATGTGGCGGCAGCGCCGTTGAGTACGAAACGACATTTCTTTGTCTGAACCGTCGTACTGGTGGTTGGGGGCGGCCGAGAGGGTTGGCAGCTTTGCCGGGAAGTCCCTCCAGGGGCAGTGTAATTCCCAAGAGAAGGGTTCCATTCTCGTCGTATCTACCCTGGGGTAGTGTTGATGGTCGACGGCCGGAAGGACGAGGACGGGATGAATTGGGGTTGCTTTGCAGTGGGCCAAGCCGACAATGTGAAGCAAGGCAACGAAGGCGGTAAGGTAGCGGGCGGATAGAGCACTGAGACATGGAGACGGACTTACAGTGATGACCTGAGAAGTACATGACGGGACGCAGACGCGTGTTGAAGGCGTGGTGGACGGGATGAACGGAGACAGGTTCTATTCTCAGTCGGAGGCAGCCACATGCCACACGGGACACTCACCCGTGATGCTGCCCAGGTGGGATTTGAAGACCCCACGATCGGTGGAAGAGTGGATGGAAGACGAGAAAGTACCTTTGAGATGCTGGACTCTGGAGGAGGTGTACTTTAACGGACGCAGCGTCAACCCTTGAACCCGGACCCTGCTTCGCGCTAACAATTACTTCCGGGACCCATTATCTATTCCCAGCTCCACCACCGGTGACCCGGCCGGCCCATCACAGCAGCTTTCTTTCCTTGTCAACTCGTCTGTTGACGCACTACCTATGCAATCCCTCCGACACCTCTTCCGCCACACAATTATCACGCACATTTGACGACGCTCCTTGACTCCGTTTCTGTCTGCCAACCATAGCGCACGTAACGGAAACACGCCAGGTCCACTCATTCGGGTCGACGAGTCTTACTTGCCTCGAAGCACCGTAGCCTCAGCAGCACAAGGAAGCCCGTGGGGATGCCAACAGCAAATGACGGCTTAAAGATGTGATTCTCATTTCACTTCGCCTCTTGCCTCTCTCTTGCATCTACCACTCGACCAACAAAAATACAACTCATCGACCTAAGTCTCCTTAATTACTCACACATTCTATTTGTGTTTTGCTGGTTGGTGCCGCAACCTCTTGGCCGACCTCACAACTTTCTGGATGCGTCCCGCTGCCACAACACATGTAGCGAACCGGCCATCACACGCCATCTGCAGCCTGACGGCACCTGATCATCTCGGATAGGATTGAAAAGCACGCTGTGGCGTTTCCGGCCTACCCATCCCCTGAGGAACTGCAGCTTCGACCGCTGCTAGTCTGCGATCAGTCATCAATCACACTCAACGTACGGATACGGATACCACATACTACCCATAGACTTCAGCTTGGGGCCAGACTTTTGCAAACACAACATCTCAAAGATAGCATCTGTTGCAGTCTTGAGAGGCCTCATGTCGATGCCAATTTCCGGGACCTGGTCACGAGCACCCGGCTACAGGCCAACAGCATGTGATCCAGCATGTTGCTCTCGAAGGAGCCGTTGAAAAAGAAAAGAGACCCCTTCGAAGAAGCCTGTCGGCAACATCCATGGCTGAGACGATGCACAGGATACGCGCAATCCATGGCCGTTTACACTGCGTGTCTTAACACCCGCCGCCTGTCCAATAGCCGGTCATGGTGGCTGACGGAGCAGCTCCGTTGGTCCGCAGCGAAATCTTGTCCTCGGTACTCAGTCGCTCAACTGCAGTTACCCGGCGGACCTTCGTCCGACGCCTATTACCAGCAAGTCAACCACTCATGGGAAACTTTGATGTGATATTCATCAACCATGACATTTTCCAAGTCAGCCTTTCTCTGCATCAGGAGCCTGCCGTCAGAGGCGCTGTTGGTTTCGAGAAATCGGTTTCTTGCTTGTACGAACCGGCGCTTGCAAGCCTCAAACCGCGTCTTGGCCGTCTTTCTCAGGGCTTCTCTATAACATCCTTGACAGAGCTCCGGGATCTTACCTCCTTCTGGGATGGTTGTAGGAATGAGGACGATCCCTTCCCTTGTGATTTGGCGTAAAAGTATCAAATGCCCGCACTTCCCGTGCACAAGCTCCAGGCGGCAAAACGGACAAGTGTCGTGGTCACTCAACCATGTCAATAGACATTGACTACCCGCCACATGCCCACAAGGCATGATCACGGGGAAACTGTCGCGACTTACTCCTCCTCTCCGCACCTCCTTGGCTATTGGGAAGACAAGTCGACTCTCTTGACAAATCTGGCAGATTAAATCGTCCGGTTCATCGATCAGGAATGTGACCTTGGGGCTGGGGAAGAAACATCTACCGGCCTCGGGGGCTTCTCCAGAACCGTGGGGCCTGATCCAGCTGCTAATCAGGGGCAAGAACGTCTTGTTGAACCACGAGTCCTCTTCACTTTCGCGTGCTCTAGCTCGTCTTGTCGAGAGATATCTCATTTGGACCTTTCCAAATCCGGGGAAGGCCACCATTTTGATAGACGAATTTGGTGCTTCGTATGTCGATTGAATCGATATCGTTGGTGTCGTTCAGCGAAGATCGGAACTGTGTGGCAGAAAGTTATGCCTACCGAAAAGTCCAGTTAAAACGCCCCTATTTTTAAGCAGCGGTGGACAGGCTTCCGAGGCAGCACAATAACGTTGTCTCCGAGCTTAAGTTCGCTGTTTTTCACACAGAAACAAGGCTTCAAAGGCAATCACAATAGCTCGAGTTTTGTTCGACGTTAACAAAATTACGACTTCCTCGGGTTCGATGCTCCCGGACCTCTTTGTCCATACGCAGGTCCATCTTTTGTCCTAAACCAGGGCTCATCAAACAGAGGGTACGACAAAGCAGTAATCACCAGATGGTCACTCGCCAATCTTTCATCCGTTTTGAACGGGAAAACTATCTGGCGCTTAAGGAACGGCTGCAGCGGTAGTCTTACGCAACGGTCCGCCCTGCAAAGCGGATGTGTCACAGAGCGGCGGGGACCATTAAATGCTCGTCCTGTTAGAAGATCGACGTTCTCAACATTACATTACACTAGGTTCACTATCAACCAAGGTCGCATTGCGCGGCTTGATCTTCAGGGACCTGTCCTGGAGCCATTCACGAGTCACGGGCTCTCATTGCCATATATACTCCACAAAACCGCGGCCTCGGGCTCGATCTCCGATCTTTGGTTAGCACTGGAATCAAAGAGAGGTCCGAGTTGTGTTGATCAAATTTCCAAGAACCCCTAAAACCCACAGTAACCATCGTGGGGATAACGCGTGGGCCATGCTCCAGACGTACGATGATGCCTCTAGTGTGGGAAATGCCAGGCCATCAATACTATATATATCAATGTAAGCTTGAGAGTGTACTGACGGTCATAGCCAATCTTAGTCTGGGGCCTCTGTCTACACAGCCGAGCGAAGGATTACTCTCCGGCTACCAGGGGCATCGTAGCAGCGTACCATCTTCCACACGTTCCGTAGAACTGTGGATAACACCCATACAAAACAGGGACTTCTGAATTCTCACTTTGGCTGACAGAACTCGGGGTCTCACACCCGTCACTCCCTGTTCAAGTCCAGGCAACAGCTCTCCTAGGGTCAATATGGTCTCAATCTAACGCCAATTTCAACCCCTGAGGCCGTCATTGACTTCACCGCAGCATACTAATGAGCGTAGCCATCCTATAACATAGATGTATCATTCGCCAGATTCAGGTTCAAGTGCATGAGGAGAGATATTTCACCGATCTCAGCGTCTGACTTTACCAATCCGGGTCGGTGTGAGGAAGGGCAAGACATTGTAACGCTGTACACCACCGCTAACGCAGTGACAGCAAGAAATCGGCTGAGATTTGCATGGCTTCTGAACGCCGTCCTTGCCTGCACCCTGGTGTTGAGGGGGTGGTTATGCGGGTAGGCCCGACGTCCGTTGAGATGAAAGGGGACGGCAGCCAGGGGCGGTCCCTTGCGGTCAAGACTGATCGGACTAATCTACAACGGTGTTGTAGCATACAAAGGGTAGCATTTCATGAGGAAGTGTGGTTTCTTCTGCTTTTGGGGTTGGGTTATCTACGGACGGCTGCGAACGGGGTCCGTCGTCCGCGCCAGTTTCAATATCATCCCTGTTTTCCTGTAGTCATAGGTGCAGTAAGGAGTCCACGCCTGCCTGAAGGGCTTCTGCTGATGCCACAAGATGACACTCCAGTTGATTGGACCTTTGGAGAGACCTACTGTCGAGGGCCTCGTTCTGTTGCCAGTTCGAGGCCTTGCTTGGACTGTGGCAACTAAGGCGGAAGGTCAGCGGACAATCGTCGAGAGATCTAGACCCTCCCCCAGTCGTCGAGCGGTCGCCAGTTGGATCAAAGTTGGCGGCGAAAATACTGGTGTCAGACTCCGCAGAATGTCGCCCCGTTGTCTTCTTTTGAGCATCTGGACCCCTTATCTGGATCTTGTCAGCCATCGATGGCCAGAGCAGCCCGATTGTCTGCGAAACGCAACGATCTGATTTCACAAGATTGCGAACGAGAGTAAAGAAGTCGATTGCCTGTGTCACTTGCGCGCGACCTTGCATTAGCCTTTATATATGCTGCCTGACTTTGCCTTCCGTCACATTCCACATTTGCGGACGAGTTACACAATGATGATGGCACTGAACCTGGATTCGCCACTCGGCGCTTATGTCGTTACCAAAGGACTGGAAGGAATGATATATCACCACTGCATACTGATTTCGAAAATCGTCTTGAAAGCTTGCTGCTGCTGACTGCTGTTAGTGGAAGAAGACGGAACATATAATTCAAGGACTGATTGGAGACGGGACCACCTAAGCCCGCCATGACCAAGCGCAAAATAGTGTCCGGCTCAACAGAGACGGTCAGATGTACTGTGCAGGATAATCTTTCTTCATAAGTGCATCGCGCTCGTCCTTCTTTCCTGACTTCAACACTTTAGGTGTTATCCTCCTGATACTGGTGAGACCAACTTTTCCGATGCTGAATTCGGAACTCAACAGTTATGACTTCTCGAGACCCAAGTTGTTCTCACAATTAGGGTTAGAATTGGGTGTATACTCTCGAACAAAGCCATTCCATTCAAGTCTTGCGAAGGATGAAGTTGAACGGTTTGGTCTGAGCGCCAACGCTCGAGACGAAACGGGAAATTTGAAGCCATCACCAGCCACACAGCCACCAGTAAGAAGCGCGGGAAAGGAGATACTTCGGCAAGTTGGGGCCGCCCGGTTCTTCCCCCACAGCGTTACCTACCAGTACGAGCAACGGTCAGCGTGCTGAGTCTTCCCGAGGTCAGCCGTAACGCCCCGCCCTCTCCACTTACCGTTAATTCGGCACCTACAAGTATCGCCGGCGCAGCGGCGGGCAATAGCGTCATTTTTTCCAGGGACTGCTGGGCAACTAACTGTTTTTGTCGCTTACACACACGCGATCATTCTCTTTCATGTGTTTCCGTCAAGCCACTGCACAAAGCGCGCGCATCGCGTAACATGTCTTTTTGCGCTTCAATACCCCTAGATCTTGATTTCTGTTGATCTCTCTCCAGCCCACCATGCGCGGTGTCGCTGTTGCTGCTTCCTCCTCCCTTCCCCTCCGCCGACTGTGCCTCTCGCCGGTCGCCCGAAGCCTCCCGAGGCAAACCGCCCTCCGTCGATCCGTCTGCACCTCCTGCCTCGCGAACAGGAGAACCGCCACCGGTACCAGAGCGACGATCACGCAACGTATTCCAGCGCAATACTCCAGGAATGTCGAGCAGAGGAGGACAGCGTCGGCGGTAGCGGCGGCAACAGAGGGGAATAGTGGTGGGTTAAAGAAACAACAAAAACAATGGCGCCGAGGCTAAAGCAGGGGCAGTCACAAGCGACAATTTTGGTCCGATCCAAGAGTACGACCGCCGAGTAGACAATGGCATCCTGCGCAACGACGAACATCAGCGAGGTAAGGGCATTCGCCGCGGGTCGGGAGGACTAGGGTCACATGCTAATGCGACGTGGGGTAATAGGCATCATCCAGAGCCTCCAACACCTCCACGATGAGTTGGTGAACTACCACGCGCCAAAGGTCGTACGCCCGACCCTCGAGTCCTTGAAACCGGCGAAGTCGATGTTTGGGTCTTGGTTTGGCGGAGGGAAGTCTCAAGCCGCGATCGGCGCCATCCCGGCAAACTTGCCCCGCGGGCTGTATCTCTTCGGCGATGTTGGCAGTGGCAAGACGATGCTTATGGATCTGTTCTACGACACCTTGCCGAGCTCCGTCAAGTCCAAGACAAGAATCCACTTCCACAACTTCATGCAAGACGTCCACAAGCGCTTGCACAAGATGAAGATGCAATACGGCAACGATGTCGACGCCGTCCCCTTCGTCGCGGCCGATATCGCAGAGAAGGGCAACGTCCTCTGCTTCGACGAGTTTCAGTGTACGGACGTGGCAGATGCGATGATTCTGAGAAGGTAGGTTGGCAGTGCGCTGAGGCTGATGGCGTCGCAACTGACACGGCAGTAGACTGCTCGAATCGCTCATGTCGCACGGCGTCGTCTTGGTCACCACCTCCAACAGACATCCCGACGAACTCTACAAGAACGGCATCCAGCGCGAGTCGTTCGTCCCGGCGATCAAGCTTCTCAAGAACAGGCTCCACGTCATCAACCTCGACTCTCCGACAGATTACCGCAAGATCCCGAGACCGCCCTCCGGAGTCTACCACACCCCGCTCGATGCGCACGCGGCTTCCCACGCCGAGAAGTGGTTCCGCTTCCTCGGCGACCCCGACTACCCCGAGCCGCATCCGGAGGTGCAGAAGGTATGGGGTCGTGAGATCCACGTCCCACGCGTGAGCGGTCGCTGCGCGTGGTTCACCTTCGACGAGCTCATCGGGAGACCGACGTCCGCCGCCGACTACTTGGAGCTGGTTCGCAGTTACGACGCCTTCGTCGTCACCGATGTGCCCGGCATGACATATCGCCAGCGCGACTTGGCGCGTCGCTTCATCACCTTCATCGACGCCGTGTACGAGTCCCACGCCAAGCTTGTCCTGACGACGGAGAAGCCCCTGACGGAACTCTTCGTCTCGCGCGCCGAGTTGGAGGAATCGCTGAGCAAGCAAGGCAAGGATGGCAAGGCCGAGGTCGCGCAGGACAACGGCGCGAGCCACTTGCTGGAGGACTTGGATCAGAACATCGATTCCATCAAGAACATGTCCGGCCTGTTCTCTGGCGATGAGGAGGCTTTCGCATTTGCCCGTGCGCTTTCACGTCTCAGCCATATGGGCAGCCGTGAGTGGGTTGAACGAGGCATGGGCTTGGAGCAACAGGGTGGCAAGAAGGAGCGCGACGACTGGGCCAAGGTCAGGAGTCGCCAGATGGAAGACAGCATGTGAGCGAGCACATATACGGAGGGAAGCATATGCCCGCTGGGTCGCGGGTTGGGCAGCATTTCTGGCATTTTCGCGGGTTTGTCCCCGTTTCAAATTTTGTCCTCTTCATGGTGCATAGGGTTGATGATTTGGTTGTATAACAGCGAGTCCGCATCTGCAGGATACTCACATACCCCGGTTGAGAAGATGAGCTCGATATAGATGCCATTTTATGAGGATTTTTCATGAAGCATTACACTACCTTGCTGTATACACACGTTATCTTCAGACGGATGGGCAGTTGCCTCCATCACTCGCCAGAACGCATCTCGGGGCTCAGTAAATACCCGGGATCATCGCCCACTTCACATCCTTCTTGAACTGCGACCACTGCTCGCCATACCGCTTCGCGCAGTAATCATCCAACACCGGCACACCGCGCACAACGAAGTCGAGAGCCTGGAACATCCCCATACTCAGCCCGGCAACCCAGCCGGACGCAGCCAGCCAGTAGCCGGCGTGCCAGATCACATGCGCGCCGTAGTTGATGTGACGCGCCCAGTCCCAGGGGCCCTCGCGACAAACCTTGTCCTCGTTCTCGGGCTTCGCCTTGAATCTCTTGCGCTGCACCTCGGAAGCGCTCTCCAGGGCCATGCCGAGGATGGAAAGAGCGGCGCCCAGGATGACCTGGTACGGCAGCGCGGTGCCGGGGAAGTGGTAGACCGGAGAGCTCAGAGAGGATGTCGAGGCGGCGAGGAAGAGGAGCGAGCTGAGGCTGTTGCAGACCGTGTTGAAGGTGCTCACGTGCAGGGCGGCGCCGGGCTCGAACTTTTCGGCGCAGAGGTTCGTTACCCAGTAGGACTGCTTGGCGGCGCTGGCGAAAGATAAACCGAGGAGGATGAGGTGAGGCGGGATGCCGCTCGTTGAGAGTGCGCTCACGGGGCCGATGGTCTTGACGCCGAGTCTGGCGAGGATGGAGGTGCCCCAGCCGCCGGCGAGGAGCTTGTATTGTAGGAAGGGGTCGAGGCCGCGGAGGCCGATGAAGGTGAGGATCCCGGGTACGCTGGGCTCTTTGACGCCGCGCTGGACGAGGTCGAATTCGGTCAGGTTGGTCAGGTCGCGCCTGTTTATGGGCTTGGGGTCTGCCATATTGTCCGGTGCCGGTTGACTATGTCACCGGAAGGGCTGGATGTTATCACGGACAGATTTTCGCGGACTTGATTGATGAGGGGAATCGGAGCCGTTTCGTTTGTTGGTTCGGCCGTGCATGAGAACCCCTGACGAAGTCCATGTTGACAAGGGGCTTCATAGGTACGGATATGATGGCGATGATCCGGGTGGAGAACTTGCCCTTAGGACTTGTTGTCTCGTTTCGACTGTGTGTTGGGCCTTCTGTCTTGACATGGCCGAGTGGGAGCGCTGCATGGTTTTACAACACACAAATCGTAATCGTAGATTGTCGGTATTAATCAGATATTAAAATAGCCATCTGCTTACCATATAGCTAAATGCCCGAAATGACGGAAAGTTGTTTCTTCGTTGATTACGCACCCTCTCCAACGCCCCCTGTCCTCCTACACGCCTGCCATTGGCTTGTTGGTTGCGAGCGTTGGTTGCGAGCCGCATACTAATATTCCAGGTTCCAAGGAGAGGGGCCCTCTTAGCGACCACAAAGTGCAATCGGAGACCCCCGCCGATACAACACCTCATTTTGTTTCTCTCATCTTCATGAAATATATATTAAGCCAGTACAGCGCTGCGACGTAAATTGTCACGGCTGACGCGATGACCGGGTATCCTTCAGATCGGAGCCCTCACCGAGGCCCCATACCAGTCGATAGCCCCGGTGTGATTGTTGCTGACGAGGTGAGTCCGGCATTTGAAGACTTCAGAGACTCATGGCTGACCGCGAATGTTTCCGTTGCTTAGGCGTTTGACGACAGCAGTTCAGACCTTGGAAGTGTAAGCAACCCGCCTTTTTCTCATGTGCCTGTAACAGCCATAGTAATAAACTCCCTTGGATTAGAGCATCGCACCATCAAATTCCAGTCTAACGGAGTCAATGCTCCAATTTCGTTACGAGAATGGCCGGACGTACCACATATACAAAGACGGAAGTGAGTACTGCACTCTCGCTGAGATTGTCTGACATGTCTCACACAGCTAGAGTATACGCTTCCAAACGATGATGAGGAGAACAAACGACTAAGTACGGACGTGGAAAAAGCAATCCGCAAGCTCGCCTCCAGTATAAACTAACGGAACACGAAGACATGCAGCACCACCTGTTCCTTCGGACCCTGGACGACGCCCTGGGCCTGGCACCGCCCAACTACGACAACTCCAGATTGAAGCGCGTGCTTGACGTTGGGACTGGCACCGGAATCTGGGCAATCGATTTCGCGGACGACCACCCAGAAGCGGAGGTAGTCATGCTATGTCTTCCCCCTAAAATCTCAGTGCTAACATATTCGTAGGTTATTGGCGTCGACTTGTCGCCGTCAGCGCCAGAGTTGTAAGCATGCACCAACCCATTGGCTTCCGATAGGAAGTTGAGATGGAGCTGACTGAAACTTTCAAGCATTCCTCCTAACGTTAAGTTCGAGATCGACGACATCGAGGAGGACTGGACGTGGTCACGGCCTTTCGATTACATCCACAGCCGTTTCATGAACTCGTCAATCTCTGATTGGAGGGCATATATTCAAAAGGCATACAAGTGAGTTATTAAGACACTGCGTCTGATTTCACACGAGTCCTAATCGTTTCCTAGTCACCTCACACCTGGCGGATATTTCGAACTTCAGGAAGTCGACCTCAACCCTCGATCAGACGACGGCACGCTCAGGCCAGATTCTGCACTCAGCAGATGCATTGCATTCATGGGAGAGGCCTCGCTGAAACTTGGGCACTCGTATCAAGAGGTTCAGGCTCTTGTTCCGATGCTCGAGGAAATCGGCTTTGTTGATGTCAGGCTTTATCTGTTCAAATGGCCGATGAATCCCTGGCCGAAGCTTCCGAAGTACAAGGAGTTGGGACAGTTGAACCATGAGAATACCATGATTGCCATTGAAGCTTTGACGATGGCTCCGTTTACAAGAGGTCTTGGTTGGACAAAAGAGCAGGTTGAGGACTTTCTGGTGTACGTCAGGAGAGACTTGAGCAACCCTCAAATCCACTCATATTGGGCAATGTAAGTCAAGATTCTGTTCGAGGGGTTGGCCAAGCTGACAAGCGCAGTTACGACCTTTGCGCGAGAAAGCCAACAGAGGCGGAGTTGAGAGCGCGGGGATGGTGAGGCAGACGCAACGGGCATGTGACAAACATCACCCGTCTTTTGTCAACGTAATGTTTTATATGCGATGGAGGGCGTTTCTGAACCGACGAATAGTAGTAGTGACGTTGGAGACGACCGGAAAATGTCCGGCATTTAATGAAGTTATCTGCGACTGTCGAAGCCATCTGCCGTCGGAGGTTGAGCAGGCAAAGGCCATTGGTTCGTCCGGAGTTGGCGCTAAGTCATCTGCAGCTGCGCGCGTGAGAGGTGTCTCACGTTGCTGGTTTCCTTTTCGGGCGTCATCTTGGTGTCCTTGAACGATATCATCAGTGAATGTGTCGGAATCGCGAACACTGTGGCGATTTGATGTCGTGACATTTTGACTTTCAGCGGTGCGAAGTCCTTCTTTCGACACTTACCAGTCTGCTCTTGTGATGCGTCGTAGATGTTGGGAAGCGATCGCATAAATGACGTGATGTTTCGCGGACATCCGAGGCACGTCTTATCGGACCCTGGTAGCTGATAAGGACATCGTCTCCAGGCAACGACACCGCGGCATGCCGCGAGTGTGGATACTTCTTCACCGGATACTGTCCGTGATTGGTCCATAATCCGGCGGTACCTGTCGCAAGACAACAAGGGAGCTAGGGTCCTGCGTAAGCTATTGCTGTGGCGTACCTTACCTTCCGCTCCGTGCTTCTAGGTATCCGTATCACCTATTAAAGCAACCAACGACGTGTGACGACCATCTTTCATCTATCATCCTCCACCCGCCCACCTCCCGCATCATCCCCAGATTCCTAGTTCCACCTGAAATTCGCATACCTTACACGCACTACAACATGAAGGTCGCCAAAGCTACCCTCCTCGCCGTCTTGGCGCACTCTGCTGCTGCCCGCTTCGTCGGAGAGGACGAGATCAACCGGGTCCAGCTCTATCCCGCTGGCTCCGAGCCCGAGAAGTACCTGATCGAGCTCTCCCCAGGTGACACCCGCTGGGTTACCGAGGAGGAGAAGTGGGAGCTTCGCCGGGTAAGACCTCCATCGAATTCGTAGTCTTGGTAGTCATCTAATTCGTAACCTCTGCAGAACGGCAACCGTTTCTTCGATATCACCGACCACAAGGACTTCGGAGCTGCCCGTCTCCACACCAAGACCAAGTCCAAGGCTGTCTTTCCCCAGAAGTGCCAGCTCCAGGACACCGTGAACCCGCTCATCAAGAAGCTCGACAAGACCGAGATCCAGAAGAACCTCGAGAAGTTCACCAGCTTCCACACCCGATACTACAAGTCCGACTACGGCCGCCAGTCGTCCGAGTGGCTCCTCGGAAAGATCAACGACATCATCAAGGATGCCGGTGCCGACAAGAATGTCTTCGCGGAGCACTTCCCCCACACGTGGCAACAAAGCTCCATCATTGTCACCATCCCGGGCAAGTCCAACCGCACCGTCGTCATTGGTGCCCACCAGGACTCGATCAACCTGTGGCTGCCCTCTATCCTGGCCGCACCCGGCGCCGATGACGACGGCAGTGGCTCCATGACCATTCTCGAGGTCCTGCGCACTCTGTTGAAGTCCAAGGACATCGTCGATGGCAAGGCCGACAACACCATCGAGTTCCACTGGTACAGCGCCGAGGAGGGTGGCCTGCTCGGCAGCCAGGCCATCTTCAAGTCGTACGAGCAGGAGAAGCGTGACGTCAAGGCCATGCTTCAGCAGGACATGACCGGCTTCGTGCAAAGGACTCTCGATGCCGGCAAGCCTGAGAGCGTCGGCGTCATCACTGACTTCGTCGACCCCGGACTGACTGACTTCATCAAGAAGGTCATCGTCGAGGTAAGTCCCGCAACCCACACATGACTCGTGTCGTGTCATGCTAACAATAGTTTCAGTACTGCAAAATCCCCTTCACCGAGACCAAGTGCGGCTACGCCTGCTCTGACCACGCTTCCGCCAGCAAGGCCGGCTACCCTTCGGCGTTCGTCATTGAGTCTGCGTTCGAGGACTCCGACAACCACATCCACAGCGTGGATGATCTCATCAAGTACTTGTCGTTCGACCACATGCTCGAGCACGCCAAGATGACACTTGGTCTCGTGTATGAGCTCGGCTTCACCGACTTCCCGGCCCTCGAGAAGAAGGGCGAGACTTTCTCCGAGGAGCTGTAGGAAGCTTGATGGAATAGACCTGCGCAACTTAGTCATGATGCCATAGATACATAAACGAATGATGCTTGAACGTAATGATCTTCTAGTCGCCTTATCTTGATTGTTTAGTCGTGATATTGACATCACAACCAGGGAAGAGCCTTCAGCCTAAACCAGAAACATGTTTACAGGCTGGTTTTAGATATACGCAACTAGGAAACACAATAGCGACACCAGATCGGAAGAGAATTGCTGCAAGCGCCAAGCTTCTAGCCGCGGACTGACAAGAGGCGCCCATGTCAACAAATTTGAAGCACAAGAATTTTGCCTGTTGTGGAATCCCATAAAGTTCTGATGATTTTTCTCTTTGAACTAAATTTCCGAAATTTCTCCTTGTCCACCCTCTTGTCCGCATGCGCTAGTAAGGTAGTGATTTCCGTCTTTGGAGGCTACCTTGGTTTAAGTAAGGTACCTGGAAGAGAACCACTGCAGCTTCAGCAAATAGGTAATACACCTATCACAGTATCCAGGTACTTTTTCCTATTTTCATTCTGCATGTACTCTAATATTTTGAGAGGGGAAAAAGAAAGGAACGACGTTAAATTAAGCCGCAGGGGCACCCAAGCTCGGGTGCCTGCCTCAGCTGCAGATCCCACGTGCCTGGACTGGCTGGAGGCCCCACCACAGCAGTGCGGCGCCTACCTTCCATAGGTTCGAGGGGTGCAGAGTGACTTTCCCTCTCCACCTCCAACCTCACCTCTTGCTTCACCATACAAACATCTCGGCGACGACAATTGCCAGCACCTAGCACCGTTACTCCTCACACGAGTAACTCACTCCGTACGGAGATATCAAGATACTTCCCACGACTTTTCGGAACGAATCATTATCTCAACGCCCCATCGAGAGGCCAACATAATGCCGGAGCAAATGACCGAGGGCGTTTCCTCAGCTGTCCGCGCAGCTCCATACAGCCACAGACCACCCAGTCCACCCTACATCCCGATTCCCATGACGCTTCCTAGAAGCAACGAGTCCGCCAGTCTGAAGCCTTCTTACGACAACGTGGATTCAATGAGGTTGACCAGCGAGGATCTCGGCATCATCACTCGCAATGTGAAACAAGCAATCACCGATAGATCAACTAATTGGAACTACAAAGCTCGTCGCAAAGCGCAGCCGATTCTCGACTTTCTCTACCTGGGCCCGCTTTCTGTCGCCCGTGACGCAGAATGGCTCGCCAAGGAAGGCATCACCATGATCATTGCCGCCCGGCATTCTCGAGTCGCCCAAGCCCGGTTGATGAGCGTCGACAATGTCGCGAGACAACTTGGCATTCTGGTCGAGTATCTTGACGTTTCCGACAACGGAGAGCTCATCAGAAATTTTCCCGAGGTTGTCAGAAAGATCAATGATCACCTTCTCCAAGTTTATCGCTCCCAGGCCTTGGCCATGCAGCAAGGTCAAATTGTCATTGATGCGGCAAATTTCAAGCCCGGGAAGGTCCTTATCGTATGCGAGACGGGCAACGATCGTTCAGCTTTTGTCGTCGCCGCGTACGTCATGACCGTGTACGGAAAGGACATGGTCTCCAGTGTTCAGTTCGTTTCTTTACAGCGATTCTCAGTCAACTTCGATGAGGATGGCAAGAGAATGCTGCAGGCTTATGAAGACATTCTCAGTGCTCAAAAGCACGTCTCTTACGCGACGAGAGACGTTCCACGAGCCGGGCAACTCGATGGGCGTACGGGGGGAGGCAAGCGACGTATCGAAGCAACTCTTGATGAGGACGACAGGCAAGAAGGCGACGGCTACGACGCGTTTGTTGTCGACCGCGCTCGGTACGAGGACAGGGCCAAGTTTGTACCTTTCATTGATGGTGGAGGTAACGAGTAGTACGCATCGACTTATTGTGGCATCGATTTCAGGACGAGCCACGGATACATGGCGTTGGAGGCAGGGTGATCATCGGTTTCTTTGGGGTGGAGGTCTTTATAGTCGTGGAAGTATCGGGGATTCGGTTTGGCTTGGCAGCATGGTAGGCGTTGGGGTTCAGCATACCCTTTCTAGTCGGCAGCGTCTCATTGTCAGATATAGATGTTCATCACTGTACTACTACCCAGGGAAAAGAACACACAGCACGTAGTCAACAGACTGTTCAGACGGCTCGGCATCATCTACATTGTCTTCTGTCGGCGTCCGGCGTGCCCCCATGTCGGACTCGGCCATCCGAAGCTCGTAAAGAACTTGTGTTCCTCCGCCAGTCGAGCAACGGCGGTTCAGGTGCACTCTTCAAGTTGACTTGAGGAAGCTTCGTGTGTCCGAAAGTCGGCCCCGAGCGTATTGGTATTCTAATACTCGCCCAGAAACGTTGCAAGACGAGGACGACGACAACGACGATGAGTACGAGAAGTCGGGTAATCGTGATGAGTATGGGGTAAACTCCAAGCTACAGGCTACAACATCAGGCCGTCACAGCGTTCTCGAAGTTTTGTTGGCTTTCAATGGGGTTGTCATTGGATGTTGTCTCCAGCGTGCTAAAATATTCTTGAAGTTCGAAGGAAGGAGCGACCACCACCACCACCCACCCACCCGCTCTTGCCTTCTCTCTCCTCGGTTTTCAAAGTAAACAAACCCACCACCTCTGGGATTTTCTCCAGCGGCCTTCCACCTCGACACCTCTCCCTCCTCACCCCCCATCCCTGGCTTGTGCCAACTCACAACACAGGTACCTTGGCTTTGCTTCAACCCCATCATCATCCTTATTCGCTTGTTGGTGATGAGGGCAGACATACTTATCACTCGAAATATTTTTTGAGCATCGAAGTATTTTGCGCGCACTGCTAACATCACGATGGAGGAGGCTGAGTCTGATCCCGGTGTTTCGGGTAGACGGCTGCGACGTTCAACTCTTTCACACCAGCCTGGTCGCTACGCTGAGATGCTGGTGGCTGGTGTTGAGAAACCAGCTTTCACACTCCCTGATCCCATCTTTGATCCGGAGCCCTCGCGCCACTGTGCTTTTCCGACCATCGAGCTCGACGAGTACCCCGGCCCCAGCGAGCTTTTCCTGGAAGCCAGGGCCAGGGGCGAAACGGGAACTGGTGCTCATATGCACAGACAGTCTCCTTTTGCTGAAGATGGTAAGTTATTATCCATTCATGTCTTTGTTTTCTTTTTCATTGTTCTGACATACACCAGGCTTGCGAGATGAACAGGGTGCCCGCCCGGCTTTGGTGGCCCATCTGCCCCCTTATGAGAGTCAAGCCATTGACGATGACGAAGAAGATGGTGATCCCTTCATTGAGGATAATCATCAGTCTTCATCTCCCCCGCGCGACCTCATTAGAGGCGAAAGCTTCAAAGACTTCAACTTGGCTGTCACACAGGGTCTTGACTGGGGATCCCCTGAGCCTGAGCCTGAGCCTGAGCCTGAGCCCCAGCTCCCTGGCATCTATGGCTTCGACCGAGAAAACATCTTCCATCCTGAAGTCGAGGCTCCCCCTGATGACTGGTCTAAAATCGGAGTGGGAGTACAATGGGTGATTATTGCAACCCTCTGTCAGGCGTACCCATTCTCCGTGGCAGTCCAGAAGTTGCAACTCACGACTCGGCAAATCACCACTTTCGTCCAGACTTACATCCGATGCAACGAGAAGATTATTGAGTGGTGCGATAAGATCGATCGAACCCCGGTCTCTGATCTCATCCGAAGCGCAGAAGAGCGTTCCATGTCTGTGGATTACTACATGCAATTGGCACGACCTGAGCTCCCAACAGACATCATGTTCCGTTTTCAACTCGAGCAAGCCCGCGGCTTCTTGCGCAAGATCCGTCACGGCGCACTTGTCGAGATTCTGGGCAGATGGCGTGGCACCTCCACCAGCTTCGTGGAGCTACCCATCCACCCTGATATTCTGGACACTTGCCGCTCCATGTTGTACAGAGAGAGACCAATCAATCTGCAGGACTTTCGTCCCATCAAAGAACGCTTGCCGACTCCTTGGCTCGAGCGCCTTCACGACACGACGGACTTCCACAACGGTCTCGCCCATTTCCACGACTACTATATGGGACCTTATGCAGCAAACCCTTTTGCAGACCCCTTTGCATTGGATCCCAATGTCGTCGACACGACTGATCCGCAGAATGTCACGCAGCCCGAGGCGTCTTCGAGTGACCCGTCCATGGGATCAACTCAAGAGAGCAACGAGATACCATCCAGACCAAAGACCAGTCAACTGGGCCAGTCTGGTCGTGCCCAAAGCCATGCTTCTTCTTGGAACGCGGATGAGGCCAACTCTTTCCAGCTTGACCAGCAACCCGCCCCCGAGCTGCAGTTCACCTACAACCAAGCAAGCGTTCAAGATCCCCATGTTGCTGAGTCTCTTCGCAAGAATCCTTTCAAGCGTCCTGCGGATCACCACAAGAATGGCACGGATCATCCTGACCCTTTCCCTACATCCGATGATCCTTTGCAGCCCGCCAATGAAATGGGACCTTCGCAGGTTGCCTCCATGATGATCTCTCGACAGCAACGCAAAGATACACCTCGCCCTGGTCGGAGCTTGCAAGGTCCTGCGAAACACGGTGCCCCCAAGGTGAAATTCCAGGGCTTTGCTAGAACAGTCTCTTCGCATGGTCCCAAGCCATTCAAGGACTCTGCTTCCGGACTTGGCAGCTACATGTCCTTGAATGCCAACCGCGGAAGTGCAAGTTACACTTCGCCGTACCTGTTCAACACTCCTCCTAAGGAGTCGGTGCACTCTGCGCAGTTGGAGCCTCGTTTCGAGCTCAAGATGCCCGAGGCAGCGCGGCCTAGTGCGGAGCAATGCAGCTTTGGCGAGAACGTCCCTGGAGGCAATGGTAGGGGCACAGAACACGGCATGGACTCTTTCGTGAACGACATTGTCACTGAAGGTAGCAATGAGGTGCTCCCCGCGCAGCCACAAGACAGTGTCCCCACACAGCGATCTCGCAAGCGGGCTGCGGAGGACAGCGAGGAAGAGTATTACGAGCAGGACGACGACAAAGACGATGACTGGGTCCAGCCGCGCAAGAGACCTCGCAAGTCGAATGCCACAGAGCCGAGTACTCGGAACAACAAGAAGACAGGCGCGGCTAAGTCCAAGGCAACCAAAAACAAGAAGAAGGCGCCTGAGATAGGTCCGGACGGACAGCCTATAAAGCGTCCTCGAGGACGCCCCAGAAAGCACCCGAGGCCTGAGGACGTTCGCAATCAGTCTTCTAGCAACGTTGGCCTGGCAGGTGTTGCCGCGACTGGTCTCGAGAGCTCATCAAAGAAGGCTGCCTCAGAGAGGCAGGACAGCAGTCAGTCTTTGGCGAATGATGTACATCAGACGGCCGAGTCAACGGGCACTGAGGCTTCAGGAACGCACGCCTCCTCGATGTCTGAGTCTCTTGCGCCCACTACAAAGGCCCACGAGACTAAGAAGAAGACTCCGATCAAGCTGAAGTTGTTGAACTCAAACCGTCAATCATCCACTGCGCGTGCCCCGACGACAACTGCCGAAGCTTCATACGACCGCCAATCTCACTCGCAGCTGGCAGGATCGGGACTGGCTCCTTGGCAATCGTCAAACTCCCCACCTCAGTTTGGAGAGAATCTTGCTTCTACCGCTGGAGGTTTCCAGATGCCTACCGAAACTCGCGCCCCGGGTGAAGTTCGCCAAAATCAAAGCATAAGTCAGACTGAGGCAAGTACATATAGCCACTCACGCAATACACAGTACGCTAACTATCAGGAGTTCTGGAATGACTATGAGAACGGCAAGAAGATGTTCCACGAGGCCGCAATGCGCGGTCTGATGGCCGACAGGATGATGATGCGCCATAACGCTCATCACGCTCATCACGCTCATCGCGCCGCCACTACCAGCATCACCAATGTCCAGAGCAAACCTCAGATGTCTTCGGCACCTACTACGTCGGCCGGAAAGAAAACCCAGAAGCCACCCACTCGAGCCCAAAGAGCAGCACAAGTTAGCAGAATGTCTGGCCCGCAGATTCGACAAGCTCCCCCGCAGGAGCATGCTCAGAGCTGGGCTGAGAGTCTCGTGCTTAGAGCTCCAGTCACTGCCGTCACTGGTCGCCAGAGCCAGCAGGCCGTTTCTCAAGACCCCAACCAGAGCTCGGCTGAGACTAGCATGCTCGGAGCTCCTGTAGCCCCCAGTTCCAGTCCGCAAAGCCAGCAAGCTCGTCCTCAAGGCCCTACATACAGCTTGGCTGAGACTACCGTGCTCAGGACTCCTGCGACCACTGGTCCCTGTCCGCAAGGCCAACAAACTCCTGCACAGGCTCATGTTCAGCTTTCTGATGAAGCTCCTGCTCAAGATCCCACACACTGCTGGGTGGAGACTGGTATGCACGAAACTCCCATTACCACTGGCTTCAGTTTGCAAAGCCAGCAAGCTCCTACCCAGGGCTTTGCTCAGGTTCCTGCTGAGGTTCCTGCTGAGACTCCAATTCAAGATCTTGCTCGAGATCCTACACCTCTCTGGGCTAAGACTTTCGTGTTCGACAATCGTGTCAACGTTGGCCCCGAGGCAGCATCTCCTGCAAACACAGTCGGCTGGTCGGAGTATGGATCTACGTCTACTCAGCCTCCCCATGCCCCTGATGCGACCGAGCAGCAGACCATCGACCCAAACGCCTCCCTAGCCAGCGATATCGATCCGGAACTGATGGGAAGAATGATGTGGCTCAGGGACACTTTGGCTAACGAAGATTGAGCAGCTTTTGCAACAATGCAAGCTTGCTGAATGTGTGACACAACATACTTTAGCACGAAAAGACAGCTCGACAGCCGGTCAACAATTCGCTGCAGACTGCATTCATTTGCTCGGAGGAAGTTCAGAGGGCTAGGAGAAAAGAATCCCTCCACCAATACTTTGCTTATTCTTGGAAGGATTGTCCACTTGGATGCGGGCGGCGGATTTCTTTGGAGGATTGTGGATAACCACTCTTCATGCACTCCTCTAAGGAGGACCTGAGCATGGATTGGTTGGCTGCGGACACTCGCTTGGAATTCGATCTTGGCCTCCATCTTCTGGACAGATGCCTTTTCATGATGTTGAGATACCCCAAAAGAATTGACATAGCTTGTAGAGTAGAAACAAAATGAACTCAGGTACTTGAATCCCGCGTGCTTTGATTCATCACATGGGATGTCCAAAGATGAGTCGTTGGGGCGACTGACCCCTTTTGATCCTTTCTTTGTCCGGGGAGCGGACTTGAGAGGGATGGCTTCAATAGAAGAAGTTTTAAACCTTTTGATAAAACACTGGATATGAAAGCCCAAAGAATATCTCGGGGACAACACCACAGCACCGTGTGCCATGTTGAGGTGAAGGAGATGGCAGGTCACGATGTAGTTGCTGATGCATGGGCTCTTCGTATTAGGTAATCAGCCGATGAGCTAAGCTGGCAGGGTACCCCGGACGACGATTGCGGGTCGAGCTTGCATCACCGAGCTTCACAGGACATTACGCCCAGTCAAGTCAAGGCACAGAAGCACCGCCTCCCACTTCGAGAACCACACCCCGATTACCCCAATCCACGTCCTAAGCCAAGCTTCCCACGCGGCCCTGCTCCCGAACTGACGACGATCCACCAACCCAACGACGACAGCACCGGCTGCCACATTTCCATCTCCGACACACACGTCAGTTGCGCCCAATCTGTCTCTCCGCTGGTAGACGACAAACAACCCACCTTCTCCGACGAGGCCCGAGCAAGCCCATCCCTATCCCGCCCACGATTACGCCCTCACGACCGCAGCCAGCCGGATAGAACTTCATCATGGCTCCTCCTCGTATCGAAGCGCAAGAGATTGAAACGTACTGGAATATCTTCTCGGCCCGGACGGGCGGGTCGCAGTTCCTGACGGGAGAGCAGGCCGCGCCGGTGCTCAAGAACAGCGGCCTGACGGATAACCAGCTCGAGCGGGTGTGGGATCTCGCCGATGTGGACAACGATGGCAACCTCGACTTTGAGGAGTTTTGCGTCGCGATGAGAGTCATTTTCGACATTCTGAACGGGGTGAGTTGCTGCGCCGGCGTTCCCTGAGACGGTTCCTCGGGTTTTTGGCTAACGGGGTTGGGTACCAAACTGTAGGAATACGCAGACGTCCCCACGACACTGCCCGATTGGCTCGTGCCCGAGTCCAAAGCACACCTCGTCCAGGCGAATCGCGCACTCACGGGGAAGCAAGTGGCATTTGAACAGGTCGAGGAAGATCCAGACTCCCCAGGCTTGAAGGACGGCTTCGACTGGTACATGACCCCCCAGGACAAGTCCAAATACGAGTCGATATACCAGGAGAACCGCGATGCGCGGGGAGAAGTCGCATGTACGTCCAACCACGAACGAACATGATCCCGGGAACATCAATGTACTAACCTGGTGATGCATTGCAGTCTCCGCCCTAGAAGACCTTTACGAGTCCCTCGACGTTCCCGACACCGACATCCGTTCCGCCTGGAACCTCATCAACCCATCAGCCGGCCCCTCCATCAACAAGGACGCCTGCCTCGCCTTCCTCCACATCCTCAACAACCGCCACGAGGGCTTCCGCATCCCCCGCACCGTACCCGCCTCGCTCCGCGCCTCGTTCGAGCGTAACAAGATCGACTACCAGCTCGACAACAACACCCCGGCCGACTCCCGCTGGGCCACAAAGGCCGACGAGTCCACCGCGACGGGCCGCAAGGCCAAGTTCGGCGACCAGTACCTCACCCGCCTGGGCCGCAGCGGCTTCAAGTCCAGCGGCACCGACTTCTCCACCTCCAAGACGGACGACTGGGAGGAGGTCCGCCTCAAGAAGCAGCTGCAGGAGCTCGACGACAAGGTCGCGCGCATCGAGGCCGACGTCGAGCGCAAGAAGGGCGGCAAGCGCGACTCCAAGCCCGCCCTCGTCAAGCGCGAGCTCGAGCAGCTGCTCGACTACAAGCGCAAAGAGCTGAGGGAGCTCGAGGAGGGCTCCGGCAAGGCTAAGGGCGGCGCCAGCCTCAAGAGCGTGTCCGAGGACCTGCAGACGGTGAGGGAGCAGGTCGAGGGTCTCGAGTCGCACCTGTCGTCGCGGCAGCAGGTGCTAGAGCAGCTGCGGAGGGAGATTGAGGACGAGAAGCTCAGCAGATGAGAGGGAGGAGACTACCACCAAAAACAAAAAAAAGAAAGCAACTCATGGCGGTTCTCATCACGGACGGACGGGTGCGGCACTTCGTTTCTGGAGCTGGCTGGTGCGGCTGGAATTCTTGACGTCACAATTCACGCGGGAGTTTTTATTTTCCACAACTTTTTTTTTCTGTACTCAATCTTGTGCACACGCGTGCATGTAGGACTATAATGTTCATCATCATCATCATCGCTGTCGCCCACGAGGGGCCACTAAAAGACCGGCGAGTGAGTTGGGAAAGGACTGCACTAGATAGATGGCCGGAGTAGTAAATACAGTCTGAGAAGAGATCTACTCCGCAAACGACTGTTGGAATAAGGTGTTGTCTGATTAAGAGGTTGTAAAATGTAGTAGGTACACAGGGAAAAAGACAGGCATACAAGAAGAAACTATGAAGTCGTGATCTTTTTTTTCGGCATTCGCTTTCTACCAGCGCCAAAAGCTCACCACTGCGAGCCGTTGACGTACTTTGGCGTCCAGTCCGTCCCGAGAGTCCGGCCCTTGACGGCCCAGACGAAGAGGGACGGCACCTTGACCCAGCCGACGCGGCCGGCGCCGCGGCTACGGCCCGTGGAGCACACGAAGATGTCGACCGGCATGCCCTTGACGGCCTGCTGGTCCTTGCCCTTGATCGCAAGCTCAATGTTCTTGACGACACCCTGGGCCTGTGTACTGTGTTAGTCTTCAAAGCTTATGGGATGAGATCGGGGGTAACTCACCTGCTTATCCGTAACCATGAAGCCCGCGCGCGGCTTGGAAACCAAGTCGCCGCAGGCCCAGATGTTGTCTGTGCCCTTGACGCGCATGCAGTCGTCGACGCTGACGTATTTGCGGTCGGTGAGCAGGCTGGGGTCGAGGAACTCAGAGTTGGGAACGAGGCCCATGGTCGGGAGGTACAGGTCCGTCTTGAGCGTCTCGCCGTTCATGAGCGTCACCTCGGTGCGTCCGTCGGGGAGGGGCCGGGAGTTGGCGACGCGGGCGTTGCGCTTGATTTGGACGCCGAGCCTGACGATCTCGTTCTCGATGCCCTTGCAAGCCGTGTCGGCGCCGAGGATCTCGTCGTCGCCGCTGAGCAGGAGGACCTCCTTGTCCTTGTACTCGAAGCGGATCTCGGCGGCGGTCTCGACGCCGGTGGGGCCGGCGCCGGCGACGATGACGTGCTTGGCGGCCTTGACCTTGTCGGCGGTGCGGTGCAGCAGGCTGAGCGTCTTCTCGTGGGTGTCGGCGCTCTTCCACGGCATGTCCGGGCTCGCGGAGCGGGCGCCGGTGGCCAGGACGAGGTAGTCGTAGGGCAGGGATCTCGGGCCGGTGGAGGTGGAGACGAGGGCCGACTTGCGGGTGATGTCGAGGCCCGTGGCGGTGCCGAGGACGAACTCGAAACTCTCCTTGGGGTACTGGGCGAAACCGGGCTCAATGGGCTGGAAAACGGTCTCGTCTTTCAACACGCCCGGCACGATGGCGCGGACTGAGGCCATGTTCCAGTAAAAATGGGTTGTCTGCCATGCCGTCAGCCTCTGGTTCGGATTTCATCTTTTTTTCCCTTGGCGCGAGAATCGGTTCGCTCGTTATCGGTGTAAGTCACTTTTCCTCCGACGCACGGGATCACAGCGGAGCGCTTGCGAGTACGGCGGTGACCCCCCACGGGTGTCCGAAGCGTACAGTAGCGTCATCTCCGGTTCCTGCGAGGGTCGTCCGATTTCCCACTGGCATGCCAATCATATGTTTTGATTGAATTGTCTTACCTTTGAAACGAGAATCACTCTCAGGTCCTGCTCATGCTGGCGTGTGTACTTGAGCAACCGGTGAGCGACTGCCAGGCCGCCGTAGGCAGCACCGAGGATCACGACTGTCTTGACCATCTTGACTGCAGCTCGAAGATCGAAGCTTGGGCCGGGCTTATAGAAGAAGATTTGGCTGTTGAGATGTTCGACTCTCTGAGCTTTGTAAAGATGTTACCCTTCTGGGAGTCGACTCGATGTTCAATGGGTTAGCAGTAAGTATACAGAAGATTCGTCAAGTCGTCGAAGTATTGAAGATCAGGAGCAAATGCGTTGAAGGACTCGGGGTTGCGTCTGGTCTTTATTCACTCCCGCAGCCTGCGAGGTCCGAGACTCGCAGTGAGCGGCATGGATCTCACCCGTCCACCCATTCAGTCCGGATACGCGTCCTCGCGCAAAGTTGAGCTAACCAACGACGCGGATGGCTCATTAGCATTCTGGACAGGTTTCAGTGTCCAAGTCCGTGCCGTTGGTGATGCAACATAGGTGTGGTAGGTCAGCCCAAAGCTGCTGTCGGCCCCTAGTGTGGAAGGGTGTCGATCCCCCGGTGTCCGTCCGGGATTTCCCCACACAGGGGGCATGATTTGACCGGCCGTCAAGTGACGGCGGGAGGCAGTATGAGGGACGAGACGGAATTCCAGTGTGTACTCGATTCAGCAAACCGGTGTAAGTCGGAGGCTGAATGTAGTATTGTTGAAATTATCCGCGTTTCTTAATGGGCTGATGTCAGTTGGTTTGACACGTCAGCCTCTCTGAAGACTAGTGAGGAGCTCCTGGAGGCCTGCGCGGAGCCGATTCAAGAAGCCATCCGATTCTATGGGTTAAACGGCGGGAAAGCATTGCGCACAACCTACCTCAGCTCATGGCTATTATCATCTTCGCAGCAACCGTACCGTACCTGAATACACAGGCGCTTGCCTATGGTAATGGACTTCAATATCCCAGCCAAAGCGTGCCTCGGGTGTGACCAACCACTTGGTTTTCCAGGATGAGGAGCGAGCGCCTGGCGGCATATCGTAGAGAGAAGCAGTCCCGGTACAGCAAGCCTTGTTGCCATGTAGTCTTTGAGTAAACAGAGCCAACAGCGGGCAATGAAGGCACAGACAAAGTGCGGTTGTGAGTGTGAGGTTCCTCGACGTCAAGACAAGGTACTCGGTGTCGATCATAGACTGAGTGATATCAACCAAGACCAGGGAATCTCGCGCTTGATTGACTTCGGGCTCTTTGCTCCTCCTTGTCTGCTTCTGTGACGAGGAACTCGAATCAAGGCCTGTCGACATTGATGGTGCATGTATCAGAAGAATTTTAAGAAATGATGCTCGTGAACGGCTGCAATGCAAGCCATCGGTAGGGCGCACAGCATACCGTACTGCTGGGAGCTGCGGGAATCAACATGAACTCGTTCCCGCAAGAAAAGTCGGGGAGCGAGATGCATCGTCGAAGCCGAGGTCACTGTGAGGTCACGCTGGTCCCTCGAAATCCCGTTGAGGTTTAGGCGACTCCACAAGTGCTGGAGGACGACCTGAGGGACACCGCTCTGGTCCCCAGTCCAGTCCGTTCCTCCCCAAGCTCCGCCGAAGCTCTTGCAGCAAGGACCTGCACCTGTTCCTGAACTGTGCTGGTAGGACCCCGACCTGCAGCTGGAAGATTCCAGCCTGTGACATCCATTGGCAGATGGGAGTTGGGTACGGGCAAGTTTGCTCCCCTTGCCCCTGTGGCAGCTTGTGGCGGTGCAACAAATCAGCAGGACAGCAGCCCAACCTAAATGACAGCATCAGCTGCCCCGCGCGCATATGATGAAGCCCGGGCGTAGGCGTGGGCGAGGGTGGACCTCCCAGTCTTAACCCCGCCAAAAGGTGCCAACCCTTTCCTCCGCCTCCCAACACTGATCAACCTTCTCCACGAAACGCTCAACAATCCCGTCTTTGCGAATATCCTCGAGACCTCGACCTCCAGAATCTTAGACTTAGATCTTTCTGCCTTCTCAAGACCAATACACAACACACAGTCATCATGTCTGCCCCTCAGTCCGAAGCTTTCAAGCAGGCTGTCATCGACAGCAAGAAGCTTACCCAAAAGCCCAGCAATGACGAGCTTCTCGAGCTCTACGGTGCGCTCTACCCTCCCTTCTTTCCGCGGCCCTGAGGACTCAAACTGATGCTTTGCGTTTGATGATGCAGCCCTGTACAAGACTGGCACTGGCGAGAAGTTCGCCGATGCCCCCAAGCCCGGCATGTTCGACCTGAAGGTGTGTACCGATTACCCGCGACTTCGTGAATGCCTCACGTGCGGAGCTAATGAACCATGCGCTACAGGGCAAGGCCAAGTACAACGCGTGGCAGAAGGTCACCGACGAGGGCAAGACCGTCGAGCAGGCTCAGGAGGAGTACATCGCCCTCGTCAACAAGCTCAAGGAGTCCTACGGCTTCGACGCCAACAAGGAGCCCGAGGCTGTTGGCAACTAAGTGCTCGCGAGCGTTCGAACAATTCCCATGAGAAACGACACGGTTTGAACCGGTATGACGAGCCCCGCGGTGGACGAATAACGAGAAAGAACCAAGGGTCAATATAATGATACCATATCCATGGATGTCTCTTGACAAGATGCTGTATCATGCATCAGCATGTGAAATTGTGCTGCGCCGCAAGCCTACTCGACGCCCCAAACTCTACCCAGCCTGTCCGGCTCTGCGTGAACCAGCGAGGCGACCCAGGGTATCTCGTCCTTGCTGTAATGCTGAAGCGGGAGGTCGTACGGTATCCTCAATCCAACCACGGGATTGCTGTCCGAAGTGTCTTTGGGTGGTATGTCCGTCTCGAAAGTGCCCACCATCCTCGCGTTTTCAGCGATGAGCGATGGCCAAACGAGTACTCCAATTTCCCACGATGCGATCCTGACTTCTTGCGACGCACTAGCCGCTTCACCCCATGCCTGCTTCGATATATTGGCCGACGTGACGAGGGCCCAATCGATCGAGTTCTCTCCGTATCGGATGTAAGTCTTGATATGCGGCGCCGCTCTCTTCCTGCCAGCCTCTTGCACTGTCGCTGTCTCGGGCAATGCTGTGGTCCTGTCAGTCGAATTATCACTCAAAACTCACGCCAGTCCATCACATACCCTTCCCATTGGGAGCGTCATTTGCCCAGTGGCAAAAGATGGGCTGCAGGTAGGCTAGTTGTTTCGCTTGCTGTTGGGATTGGATCTTGGTATGAATCGACCCACCCGACGCATAACCATCCAGGCTTCGTCTGATTTCATCCGCCGTAGGAAAAACCACTTTGAATGTCGGTTTGGGCGTATTGAGCGACTTGTTGCTGGACTCGGACAGAGGCTCGAAGAGGCATTTTTTAAGCCAATTATCAGTTGCGCCCAAGGTGGCGATGGATGAGATTTGGACCACGACTTCTGACTTGCCCTCTTGTACAGGGACGTTGCGTAACGCACGCTTAAGAGCTGTCCAGCCCCATGCCGTTTGAGAAGTGTCGTGGGCTGAGTGTCGTCCAGGAACGCTTGCAACAAGCGCAGCACGAATGCTCGAGAAGTCGTATTGTCCCAGTTGGTCGACCAGATCCCGAAGAATGGGCTTTCGGACATTGTACGCCCGCAGGTAGCTCAGAAGGTCATGTTTGAATCTCTGGCCTGTTCCAATCGGGTGGTCTATCGTCGGGATATCTTTCTCCTTAAGAAGTGGAAGCATCGGGGATGTCCAGACAGCGTTGGTCATGTTGGTCCAGTCCTTGGCAATCATGTTTGCAGTGTGAATGATAACTTGAGCCGAGTCATCGTGTCGAATCAAGATCATCATCTTCGAGTGATGAGTTCCGAACATTTCGGGCATGAAAGCCCCGTGAAGCTCAACATTGCTGTAGGATGCAGCTTCTTCCTGTGTCGACGATGAGTGACCGTTTGTTTGTGGGTTGTTGACGTCTGCCACTTACCTGAAGAGCCAGGCGGTTGGGGTCTTCCTTCTTCCAAAAGCCGTGCACAACATGGACTTTGACGAGGTTCTTGGTGTCGTCGTCGAAGTGGCTCATCAGAAAGTGTATGTCGTGCAGAAAGTTGAACTCCCAGCATTCCGCGATTAAAGGGTCTCCAAGGATATCCTTGAGTGAGACTGCGTCCCGATTTGCCGCTTCTGGAAGGTCTCGGATCCAGGTGAGTTGGAAGGGAGATCTAATGCGTCGAGCTTCCCGGTTCCTCTTTCTTGGAGGACTGATCGGTTTCGTGAAAGATCGTGGTCCTTCGGAGGGAGTTGACGTTTCTGACTCCTCGACATCGTCAGACACGCGCACCCGCTTGGCAGGTCGCTCCATGTTAGTCGGTAGTCTCACGGCAGTTTGTGCTGGACGCTGTAGCGTTGGTGACAGCAGCCGTAGGTATTGAAGGTAAAGAAAAGACTATAGAGGTTTTGCAGGAAGCGTTGGCCTTGAGAGGATCAATTTCAATGACAGGGGGGCAGGAGGCAGGCGCTTCGCTGATGTTGCTTGCTTCTTGAGAATGGAAAGTAAGAGGAGGTTCCGGGATTCTGTGGAGAGCGTTAGCTTAGGTGCCTGGGCCACCTACCTACCTCAACGCCCTGTTCGTAGGCACGTTGAATTTGCTTCCCTTCAGCTACTTAATAACCAACCTACGGCCTCGGTCAGACCAAGCCGCGCAACATCGTAGCTGGTCAACAAGACAAACCGAATTTGGAAATATGTGGTCAAGTCATGATCTCGATTGACTGTTCCTTTGCTCTTCTTATAATCTGATTTCAATCCTCGTCCCTTCCCCTCTCACTTCTCCTTGTCCTTCGCTTGGCTGGGAGAGGCATAGCGAGACACCCAGAAGAACCCCGTTGACTGCTGAGCAATATCATTCTGTCGCGAGATGGTCTGAATTACGTGCTGAGTGGCTTTCTGGTGGATGCATACATGAGATTGTTCAAGAACGTCGGCCGGTTGGAAAGGCGCATGTGAGGAGTTGCCCTTTCAGTCAACTCGACTTACATAATCTGGGGTCTTTGAGTTAAGCACCCTGGATTCCTGATTTCTGGGTTGACGATCCGCAGTTGCCGGGAGGCAAGACTCCAGAGATTTTCCCAGTCTTTGAACTCCTTTCCCAGGTGGCAATCTGAGATGGATAAGCAACCGTTGCTATTCTTATCACTTGTGGATCTTCGAATGCGAGGTTGAGGTTTGCTGAGCTTTGAGTGGTGGAATGGAGGGCCATCACAAAGTGTGCAGCTGGCACCAAGCGTCGAAACAAGCTCTGGCTGGCTTCCATCTACCGGCCTTGGTCTGGCCAGACACATAGAAAGGCACTGGCAGAAAGGAGAGTGGGAGCTCACGTAATAACCGGAATTGCCTCATCTCTCAGGCAGCCCCTTCCCTGTTTGGCGCGCAGCGCAACGCAACGGCGGCGAGACTGAGGGAGGTGCTGAAGGAGAAAGCTGGACCTGGACCACGCTACAGAATCTTGACACACGGCCTTCTCCTGACCTGCCACTGCCAGTCCTGTCACTCGCTTTGTTGGTACCTACTTCCTTTTCGCTTGGCTCCCCCTTTGCCAAAGCACCACCACTACACTACCCTTTTTTTTCTTCCTTCGACGCCGCTGGACGAATTCGGGAGGCTTAGGCCAATGACGAACCCAAACGAAGCCTGATAGAATCGTCTCTCTTCGTCCTTATCCTCCCATGTATCCGACAACTACTCAATAGGTTTACCTAGACCCTTTGTGACCCCTCGACATCACGACACGATCCGATCGATCCACACCTAATCTGCCGCCGCATTCTCCCACACTCCACGTCCTGTCCTCGACGACGCTTGCGCGACAAGGCGCATCTTCAGTCGATCGCGTCCTCCCATCCGATCCGCCATCGTCATTGCGATATCCCTCCCGTTACTCCTCCTCTCCCGAAACCCTTCGCACCCTCGCGGTGCAACCTCGCCGCCGCCATGAGGTTATCTCCTTTATTCCTATTCCTCGGCTCGACCTTGCTTTCGGGCGTGCAAGCAGCAGCAAAAGAGGATGAGCGGGAAAACACCTACTTCAATTCCATCAAGGTTCCCCCAATACTCGAGCTGACACCCGACACTTTCGACAACGAGGTGAAGTCGTCGCAGTTTATGCTTATCAAGCACTACAGGTATGCCTTCGGCCCCTGGTGTCCTCGCCTGCTCGTCGCGCCGTAGCTAACTGTCAAACTCCTAGCCCTTACTGCCCGCACTGCATAGATTACGCGCCGATTTTCCAGACGCTGTACGAGTTTTACTACACTTCTAAGCCCGAGAAGGAGGACAAGTCCTTCACGGAGTTCTACGGCTTCAAGTTTGCCACGGTCAATTGCGTGGCATACTTTGATCTTTGCGCTTCTCACAATGTTCAATCATACCCTAGCACCATCCTCTACAAGAACGGCGAGGTCGCCGAATTGATCAAGGGCGTCAAGGAGATCGACCAAGTCAGCCCTATCCTGGAAAAGCACCTGGAAGCCGCCAAGCCCGGATCGAGACCTCGGAGCCTGGCGCTTCCCGAGGCTGGTGATAAATACTCCCCCGACAAGGATCCCGCCAAGGCCGAAGAACTCAAGAAGAAGGCTGCCGACGATAAGACCGACGCGAAAGCGGACGCGAAGACGGATGCCAAGGCCGACGAGAAGGCTGATGCGAAGACGCCGCTCAAGAACGAGCCCAACACCCCGCCCAAGGCCCCTCCCGCGGCTCCTCCCGCAAAGGACGAGAAGGCCACCGAGGTCAAGGGTGACGCAAAGGCTGCCCCCAAGGCTGATACCAAGCCTGATGCTGTCAAGGAGGACACCAAGGCAAGCACTACTTCCGAGAAGGCTGTCGCGACCCCTACCAAGGCCATCGTCAAGAAGCCGACCGTCACCCCCAACAAGGAGGGTATCTCGGTGCCCCTTACTGCTGAGAAGTTCCAGACTCTGGTCACCATGACCCAGGATCCCTGGTTCGTCAAGTTCTACGCACCCTGGTGCCATCATTGCCAGGCCATGGCGCCTAACTGGCAGCAACTGGCCAAGGAGATGAAGGGCAAGCTGAACGTCGGAGAAGTGAACTGCGATATCGAGTCTAGACTCTGCAAGGATGTCCGTCTCCGCGGCTACCCCACCATTCTGTTCTTCAAGGGCGGCGAGCGCGTCGAGTACGATGGTCTCAGAGGCCTCGGCGACTTTGTCCACTATGCCGAGAAGGCTATCGACATCTGCGACGGAGTGCAGGACGTGGATGCCGAATCCCTGAAGGTTTTGGAGGAGAAGGAGGAAGTCATCTTCATCTACTTCTACGACCATGCTACTACCAGCGAGGATTTCATGGCTCTCGAGCGCCTGCCCCTCAGCTTGATCGGCAAGGCCAAACTTGTGAAGACCAAGGACCCCGTCCTTTACGCTCGTTACAAGATCACTACTTGGCCTCGCCTGCTTGTGTCCAGGGAGGGACGCCCCACGTACTACCAGCCGCTCACACCCAAAGAGATGCGTGACGTTCGAGGCGTCTTGAACTGGATGAAGTCCGTTTGGCTGCCGATTGTGCCCGAAATGACGGCTTCCAACGCACGGGAGATTATGGACGGCAAGATCGTTGTTCTCGGCATTGTCAATAGAGAGGACCAAGAAGGCTTCCTGAGAGCCAAGCGTGAGCTGAAGAGCGCCGCCAACGAGTGGATGGATAAGCAGATTATCCAATTTCAGCATGAGCGGCAAGAACTGCGTGATGCCAAGCAGCTCCGTATTGATGAGGCTGAGGACCGCGGCGACCAACGCGCCCTCCGACAAGCCAAGGCTATCCGCATTAACATGGACAAGTCCGACCGCAAGCAGGTTGGTTTCGCTTGGGTCGACGCTGTTTTCTGGCAGAGATGGATTCGTACCACTTACGGCATCGACACCAAGGATGGAGATCGCGTTATCATCAACGATGAGGATGTAAGTTTACAAGTCCGCCTCTCAACTCACAGACGAACTAACGCAGCCATAGAACCGCCGTTACTGGGACACCACCATCACTGGTAACAACATTCTTCTGTCACGGACGTCGATCTTGGAGACCATTAACAAGGTCACAACATCGCCGCCCAAGATCAAGCCCAAGCTCACCATTTCGAGCTTTGAGAAGATCTTCTTCGACATCCGCGTCACCTTTGTCGAGCACCCGTACCTCAGCATGGGCTGCATCCTCGGTTTGGCCGTTGGTGCCATCTCCTGGCTCCGCGGCCGCACCCGCAGGGGCCGTGGTGGCCACTTCCGCCTGGAAGAGTCCTGGGGCAACAAGGAGCTGATGAAGGAGGGCCTGCTGGGACCTAATGGCAACGGCAAGGTGGACTAGAGCTCCGGCGCGCACGAGGAAGAGCTGAAGAGGGCGGAAGAGTCTCAGAATCTCCCCACGCGGGAGTATCTTCGAAAGTTGGACTAACGGAAGGCCATGAATGAGGCTACGACTATTTTGGGGTCCGACTTGGGCGTGTTTGTGTGTTCGGTTACGGGGAGAAGATGAAGAAAACAAAAACCTGAAAGCATTGCGATGCCTACTCACGGAGTTGATGGGGACAATTTCATGTGGTTTTCTCTTTCCTTATTTTCCTCTTTTTGTCCGACGAAACATGGGTGCAGGGCAAGAGGTCTGTATAATACTCTTTTGTTTGGTGGAAAATGCAACGCCCTGCACACCATTTGACAGATTATACATTGTTTATTCGAGTTTCCAACATGTTCTCCATGATGCGGCGTAGTTGTGAAGTATGATCAGGCTTCAACTATGGGATCAGTACGACGTGTGCTGTTCAGGTACGGGCTTGAAAAACATACCCAGCTTCACTTGAACACCGTTGTTTCGAAGCCCACTCTCCGTCGTGAGATTCGCAAATGTCGACCATCAGCATCTTGATCTGAAAACCCAAGGTACGTCAAGAAAGTGATGGTTGTAGACTCCTAAGGTTTGTAATCAGACTTGGTTGCACAAAAGTAAAGAGCACTTTTCTCCCATTTATTTCTACTGAAGGACTGGCGCACTCAAATCCGTTTGCCGAAGCCAAAAGTCCGACCGCTTCAGATCCAGCCCTAGGAAGACAGACGTAGCTTACTAGCTTTAGAGTCTTGTTTACTGTGTTTCTGTTCCCAAAATATCAGGGTTCCTCCCTCCCAAGCTGCTTGTTTCTTATCCTGTTCTCGTTTTATCGTGGCAATCTTATGTGTAGAGCTCGTCGGTGAAGCTGTTGAGAGACAGACCCTCCTTGGCAATGTCGTCAACGTCGACGAGGAAGTCGAGGGGCATCTCGACAATGTTTCCGCGCACGCGGTTCAGCCAGTCCTTGACCTCGCGCACGCCGCCGGGGAACTCCTCCCTGACGACGTGGCCGTACTCGACCTTGCCGGACCTGTCCTCCTCGCCGCCCTCATCGCCCTCCTTCTTGGCGGCGCCGGGGATGATGAAGTGGCGCGAGAAGAACTCGTCGTAGTCCTTCCACGTGCGCACGTGGTCGTTGGGCACGTTGTGGAAGACCTTGGAGAAGACCTCGGTGTTGGTGCGGGCGGTGCCCTCCCACAGGTTCCAGAACTCGCGCGACATGGGGTCCCGGACGAGGCGGTCGGCGGGGGAGTCCCAGTCGTAGACGTTGGGGCCGCGCTCGACCGAGGTCCAGTTGTCGTCGGGGCGGTCGCAGGGCTGGTCGGGCAGGAGGCCGAGGTGCTTGCGGAAGATCTGGCGGCGGAGGGAGGCGGCGAAGCGGGAGGCGGTGTAGGGGCGGCCGGCCATCTCGGAGTCGACGGGGGTGGGGTCCTCGATTACGACGGCGATCTCGGAGTCGTGGGTGCCGAGCTGGGAGCGGTCGTTGAGGTTGGCGGAGCCGACGATGACGAGGTTGTCGTCGGCGATGAGGAGCTTGGAGTGGATGTAGAGCTCCTCGCTGACGAAGGCGTCCATCTCGGCCTCCGGGTCGCCGTGCCAGGGGACGCTGTGCAGGTCCGGGCCGGCGTCCATGTAGCACGCCGAGACGGTGTCCCAGGTGTGGTCGGAGACGCGGGAGGCGGCCTGCTGGTAGCGGTCGTACTGGGAGGTGTTGCGGCCGTCCCAGTTGGCGCCGGTGCCCTCGCCGCGGGGGTAGTAGCCGGAGCCGACGGCGTCGTCGTGCTCGCGGCGGGCGTCCTCGTAGTTGACGCCGCTCTGGCGCTCGGCGTCGGACATGGTGGAGGAGACGTTGATGCGGTCGTAGTTGCGGAGGTTGTAGAAGCGGATGTAGCGGCCCGGGTCGTCGATCTGGCCCTCGTTGCGGAGGGACTCGATGATGCTGTGGCCGCCGCGGGAGATCGAGTTGTACTGGAACTCCATGATGGCGCGGGTGCCGAGGGCGTCGTCGGCCTTGAGGTCGCCGGCGAAGGCGGGCACGGCGGGCATGTTGACGATGACCTTGAAGTCTTCGCCGTTGCGGTGGGCGCGGAGGATGCGGTCGACGATGGCGCGGCCGATCTTGTTGGTCACGGGGTGCTGCTTGTCGCTGGTGGCGGTGATGAAGAACTGGGCGGTGTTAGACATGTGAGTGGGTTACTCGAAATAGGGGCAGGCGGGGACCGACCTGGTTCTCCATGTAGACGAAGTGCTGGGCCCTGGTGATGGCGTCAATGTAGGCGTTGGCGATGGAGTGCTCGGTGGGGTGACCGGAGGACCACTTCGTGCAGCTGTCATATCGTGAGTGAGTGTACATCGAAAGAGAAGGGGGGTTTCGGTCTTACCTTCGAGTGAGCTGGATGTTAGCTGAGCGGCCGTTGCGGTCCTGGCCCAGGGGTCTGCCGTCGTTCTCGGGCTGGTCATCGCTGACCATCAAACGGCTCATGCCGCGGTTTATCTTGTCTCCAAGGCCTCCAAAGAGGTGGCTGGTCTGGTGACCGGCACCGCCGAAGAAACCACCGCCCTGGCCTTCCTCTGCGATTCTGCCAGACTCTTGGCCGAAGCCATCGATTCTGCCGTACTTGCCGGGGTTCTTCTTGGTGTACTTGTCGTCGAAGATGAAGTTCCTTGTTCATAGTTAGTGCTCCGAGACATTGTGTTGTGTTCGTCAGTGGACAAACCATCTGTCAACAAAGTGCTCCGAGAGGCTCTGGACAATCGGGCCGCTCAAGCTGATGGCGACATCTGACCATCCCATGCGAGAGCTCTTGGTGCGGTCGACTAGAAGCAGTATGAGTCCGTCATTGCTATATCTAATGAAGGAGGTTCACTTACGCTTGTTCTGCTCCCAGTTATCAACATCGGCGAAGTCGTAGACACGAGCGTTGTTGTAGTCCTGGCCGGGGAAGATGACGGCATCCAGGTTGCCAGGATGAGCGTCCGCAATGGGATGGCCTGTGATCACACGTCAACTCCGCTCCTTGTGGTACTATCCCATGCAACTCGGACTTACTGTTGGTATCCCATCGTCCAAAGCCTTTGTCTCACAGTCAGCTGTGCCCTTCTCAACTAAGACTCGTCACTTACACATATCGAGACCACCCATGAAAGCAATCTTGCCGTCGATGAGGCAGAGCTTTTCGTGGTGGGCCCAGAACAGAACGACACCATCTGTGGCGGTACCGTAGATGGTCTTCAGCGCATCACCGGAGAAGGTGGACAACTTGAAGGTGTTCAAGGACAGGTTTGAGAAGTTCTCGCCAATCTCGCTGTGGAGGTCATATCCTGTGGGAACATGGTCAGGGTGTCGAAACACGCCAATGTTGGGATGAAGGCTTTCCAGGTAGGTCCTTGTGTGCTGAATGAGATGTCAGCATGAGTCAAGCGTTGGGTGTGTTGACGGGTGAAGGTGGTGTTGAGATGAGTGTGCTTACAGATGACTTCACTATAGTTCAGGATGTGTCAGCTTGATGATGAGAAGCGGCTCACTAACAGGAAAACTTACGGGTCAATGCAGCCTCGACTTCCTTGTAGACAATGATATTGACCTTGATACCTCTCTCGGCGGCGGCCTTGAGCAGGTTGTCGAGACGGTAGCGCTCGTTGGCAGAGGGAGGGCGACGCAGGTAGAGCTCCGGGCTCAGCCACCAGTCCAGGATGTAAATGCTCTCGCGGGCCTCTGCATAGTCACACGGTCAGAGGCAGTCAACGGGGATGCCAAGGTGATTCTCACGCTCAATGGCCTCGGAGACGGCCCAGAAGTAGGAGCATCCGTCGACATACCACTTGGCATCGCCGGTGGTCTGGGGAGCAAAGGACTGGAATCTGTTTCCGGAGTGGGCTTCGGAATGATGCTCGTCGCATGCAGAACCGGCGTGAGTGTGCGCGTGACGCTCTTCCCCAAAGAGGGCTTCGACGCCCCGCTCTACCTTGCGGAAGATCTCATCCATGGTGGCGGGGAGCTGCTGCAGTGAGGCGAGATGAGGTCGAAATGTCGGAGATTGGAAGATTCAGTTATGAGATTGTGGTACAGAAAGAGCGCACGGGAGAGACGATGGCCAAGGTGAAGTACGGTTGTTGTCGTTGGCTAAGCTTTTGAGGAGGGGAACCGGGGAGGTGAGGTTGGCGATGAAACAGGGTCTAAAATCGACGTCAGAGGGGTAGCTCTTAATTAAGCTACATGGCATGTGAGGCAACCTACGTTAGCTTCGTCGGGTGGTTAGCAGATGCGGTAAGGTAAGGTATCCGTAGTGTACATCGGATTTCCCTCAGTTTGTTGCGGTGAAGGAGGTGAGACGACAGCTCCCGGAGGGTCCGTGTGTCCGGCCTCCCGCAAGTGGACTGGGAACGGGATTGTCCCATTGCGCCGAGTTGTGATAGCCTATGGGAAAGGCCATCTTCGAGAGGGTTGCTTGGGTTGCAAGGGTGAGGTGGGCAAACCTGATTTGTTTGTAACATGTGTCCTTCAGCAGTTTGACGGCAGGGGAAGGGGGGAAATATACGGGAGCCACTTGGGTGGATAGAGGACGGTATGCGGTGGGAGCTGTCTACCTAGGAGTACCTACGTATAAGTAAGTTGTTTATTCCTGTTAATATGCATAATACAAATAAGCATCCGGAATTCCAAACGACTTTTCGATGCATACTTGCTTGGGTGCGTTTCTTTAGCCGTGTCGTGTTCCACTTCCAAGACAAACTGCGGGATCGCTTCGGGGATACAGATGCGCCATGCAGTCAGGATCACTCACTAGGTGCCTCATCTCTGCCAAGCCTTGCAGCTACCCGGGTCAATGTGCACTCAGATCTGGACTGTGACAACCCGAGTTTATGATCTAGAAAGGCCGAATTGAAGAACGGTTCTATGCTAAGGCCCGATGCGCTGCCGCAAGGTTCCAATACCTCATGTCAGGGACCGTAGCGAGTTGCCGGTTAATATCACGGCAAACCTCCAGCGGCTACAGGCCGTAGATGCAGCTGTGATCAACTGTCACTTCCTTCGATGCGGGGGACGGGCTCCAAGACGAAGACCCTGCCCCCTTGCACCGGGAATTCCTTCGCAGCGGGCAGCGGGCAGGCTTGGGGCCAGGACACGGCAACAGCAGACTTGCGCTAAGTTCAGCCTTAAAGACCGTCGAACGGCGGTCCTAAAGGGTTGGTGGTCTCGCGACTTGGACGACGCTCGTCTGCCATGTACCTTGACTTTTATGTTCAGGATTGGCTTCAACAGACAGAGCTACATTTCAATCTCCTGTTCCTCGAGAGAACGCAGCAATTCGCATTCCTCTCCTGCTGCCAACAACACCAAAGTCCCTTCCAGAACCCCAAAAGACCCCGTCCAACACCTGCCACTTTCAATTACATCAATTGACTCAGACAAGGTCTCCCCCACACAAACGATTTGTCGCACCTTCCCATCTCGTGCTCTATTGCAAGACACAGGCTGAGGTGAGCTTCTGAATTTTCCCCTCAATCGCTCATCTCCCTCCCCTCGTCTTTCCAACCTCAATAGCCAATACATGTGGCCTTCCATTGTCCTCACCTGACTTCAACTCGAATCTACTCTCGGACAAATACGAGCAGTATCTTAACCAATGATTGATATATCTAGCCAGCAGGCCGTTTCAATACCTAAATCCACTTAAGGTTTGGTGGATGCCCAGTTCCCCAACTCGACACCGGGGTCAGAACACTTACCCTCGTACCGTACCTGCGTTGTCGATCTCTGTCAGCTCTCGCATGCTCCTCTCCCGTTGCACAACAACTGCTTCAAGACTGTCGAATTAAACCTCTGCGTTGTGCTCTCGTCTTTCGCGCAGAGAGACAACAAGCAAACACCCAGAAAGCGCCCCCTCGGACACGGAGAAAACCCTGCCAACATGTCTGAAAGCTCAGGGACCCCGTACATCTTCTCACCGGCGGATCACAGCCATCTGATCCCGTATCTGGCGGCCCTGCACGCATCCTGCATTAGCCACGATCGGACGCTCGCAACCTTCCTACCACCTTTGTCTCACGAGAAACTATTGGGATGGTGGAAGGAGCGCATAGCAGAGGTCACCGGCGGCACTCGTATGATGCTGATCTTGTTGGATGAGTCAGAGCCTGGAACCAAGGCCAGAGGAACGGAGCTCATGGGAGTCGTCATGTTGTATATGCCATACTCCGAGACTGGTCCTTTCCGCGGTTACGTCGAGAAGCTTCTCGTCAGTCCCAAGTTTCGTAGGCGCGGTGCTGCCAGAGTGTTGATGAGTGCGCTGGAGGGCGAGTCCATCAGGATGGGACGGACGCTGCTGGTACGAAGCATCGAGCCCAAATCTTTTGGAAAAAGCTGCTGATCAATCACCCAGATGCTGGACACTGAGGCCGACAGCCCGGCCGAGAATGTGTACAGAAAGTTCGGATATATCGAGGTCGGCAGGGTCCCCAATTTCGGCATCAGCCCCGCGGTTCCACGACAGCTGAAGGACGAGGTCTTCTTTTACAAGCAGCTCCAGAATTAGGGGGCACCTCCTGTTTCTGCCGGTGGCGTTGACGGGGCTAGGGGAGTTATTCTAGACATTCGGCATGGGTGAGGCGACTCACTTTGTCATAATTCCGTGGAGTTGACAGACGGGGTTTGAAAATCAAGTGGTGGTCGTGCCACAAGTTCACGTCGCTTACTTGTCGAGATCCCGACCGCATGAATCACGGCGTCTGTCTGCAGACCGCGGCCCGGCCGAGATGTTCGGCGGCATCTCCTCGGGATGACGAGTCTTTTACGTCTGAATAAGCGTGCCGGCGCCGAAATGCAACTTTGACGTTTTTTTTCCATGGCGAGATCTTGGCTAAACTCTCCGCAATGCCGGTGACAGCTTGTCCGTGTTCTGTAACGCCGATCGGCGACGTCGAGAACCCCACCCCGAAGCTGAGCATTTGGAGAGCACTTCACCTTTCCCAGCCGGGACTGAACTGGCCTCGGGAATGCGGAGACGCCGAAGCTCGTTGGCTGAGCATATCTGGAAGAGACAGAAGCCGAGATCACGCAATCCATCCACAATCAGATACCACCAGTTCTCGGTGGTATCTTACACGCTGTACGTGGGGGATAGTCTGTGATGAACAGGACGCCTCGGCGGAGAGGGGAAAGCTGGGTACAAAGGGGGATATCTAACACAGGATCTCCCACTCCTGACATTGCCGAGACACCTCCCATCTAAATATCACTCATCTTCCTCTGACATATCATTCTGCTCTCATTATCTTTGCTCTACCTGTCCAAATCATCATCATCATCATCATGTCTGCCATTCAGAAGAACGTCGAGTCCGCTTCAGAGAGCTACTCCGCTAGCTTCACCAAGGGCCACTTGGCACTCCCTCCGGCGAAGAAGTACCTCGTCTTGACTTGCATGGACGCCAGAATTGACCCGGCACGGGCTTTTGGCATCGAGTTGGGCGATGCGCATGTCATCCGCAACGTAAGTGTGAGCCAACCGTGAGATATGAACGGCTGGCTGATTCTGGATGTTCAGGCTGGCGGCTCAGCAGTAGACGCGCTCCGCAGCATCGTCATCTCTCAACAACTCCTCGGCACGCACGAGATCGTGCTGGTCAAGCATACCGGCTGCGGCATGCTCATTTTCAAGAACGAGGACGCGGAGGCTCTCGTCGACAAGAATCTGGGGTAAGTTCACACGATTCTGCGCGCATACCATGCCATGGGTGACCTGCTCTTACACGAGCTGCAGTGCCGACGCTTCCGCCGAGCTCAAGTCTCGCAAACTGGACTTTTTGACAATCACGGACCTGGAGGATGCCGTCAAGAAGGATATCGACTTCATCAAGGAGACCAAGCTGGTCCCGGAGAGCGTGACGGTCAGCGGCTGGATCTACGAGGTTGAGACGGGCAAGACGAGGCGCGTTGTTTGAAGCTAGGCAAGCGAGCGGGGAGGCGGTGTGTTTTGGCGGCGGGAGGGCGCGGTTGGGTGTTCCGGAGTGTTTGTGAGGGTGCGATATTGATAATGTGTGTGGTTATGTTTCTGTTGGACAAGTTTAGAGAGAGTGATATCGATAATTGTGACCCGAAATGAGTCTGCTTGTTGACATGATTCCAAGGTGCAATTGGCTGAATATGCAGGTGCACAGGTGAGGTGTCAGTGACTGCCCTGTCAAATAGAAGAAGGTTTCGGCAGGTGCGCCTGCAGTGCTGCCCTGCCCGGGCGTTTGGTCGTTGTGGATTTTTGCTGAGGCCGCGGGCGTTTCCCCGCTGTCCACGTCTCTGGCTACGTAGCTGGGCGCTTACCGTTTTGGTCGGGATTACCTTAGGTAAGGTACCTAGGTAGCCTGAGGCAGTAAACAAAAGGAGACGCCTCAAGCGGGGCCCCAAACGCGGTCCAGTCAGAAAAGTCCAGGTCGCGACTTCCCAATGTTTACGCCGGGGCAAACATCAACATCCAGGGTTGCTACCAACAACAAACAGCCCATCACGCACACTTCCTTTCTACACCCTCCTTGCACGCATGTAAAAAAAGGGACCTCGTCGTCGTCGAGCTGGCCCCCTCGCGATACTCCCCCCTCTTTTTTCTATCACGATCTCTCGTGCCAATTGCGCGCCTGGTCCGCCCAGCTAGCCGTGTAGCAAATCCCATTGTCCGCTCTTTCTGTAGCCCACGATCGACTTTTCGACCTCCGTCGCCCTTCATTGCACCGACGTACCCTCCTACTGCCCTACGCCCGTTATCGTGCTCCTCCCCGCGCTTCGGGGAGCGCCAATTGTACAAGATGAGCTCAGACGATGAGTCTGTGTTCAACCTGAGCGAGGAGTCGGACTTTGCGCCGGTAGGTTTTGCTTCTTCTAGGCTCTAAAATTCCTCCTTCAGCTGTAGATACCCACCACCACCTCGAGCCCAGTCGTTTCTTCGTTCGCAGCTTGGGAAGGAGCCCTCGTCTCTGACGCGCCTTCCTCGGGATACTTTTTGCCTCAAGAAAAAAGCTTGCGCACGACCTTTTCAAAATACCCAAAATACTTCCAAGCTCCCAATCAGCACCCCGCGTCGCAAATCCTTCGCGACAACTTTCTCTTCGCTGAATAACCTCTACTCTCTTCCTCTTGCACCATCTTGTCTCCTTCTAACTCTTTCTTCCCCGTATTCCTGTACTCCTCCATGATCTTTGCGCTGCCTTACCGACACCATGTCTCCGCCGCCGCCCGCCGAAACGGCGTCGCAGCCAGTGCCATCCTCAACGGCCACCCTCGAGACCGCAGTCAATCCAGCTACTAATCCGTCGCAGAAGCCCAAGGCCAAGGCTCCCGCCAAAAAGGCGGCGCCAGCGAAGAAGTTGACGCAAACCACCCTCAAAACGAAGCCCGCCCCCAAGAAGCGAGCGAAGCCCGAAAGCGACGATGAAGACGGAGCGTCCTTCTCAAACACCCCTCCAAGCGCTAAGAAGCAAAAGAAGGCTCCTGCTGCCAAGAAGTCTAGCGGGAACCCCCTGGCAGAGATCGAGAACGACAGCATGGCCATCGACGACGATGACGAGCCCGTGGCCTCAGCGCCCAAGTCAAAAAAGAATGCCACGGACACATACCAGAAGCTCACCCAACTCGAGCACATCATCAAACGTCCCGACACCTACATTGGTTCGGTTGAGCCTACGGAGCAGCCAATGTGGGTGTTCAACCAGGAGACGAAACTGATGGAGTACCGCAAGGTCACCTTCGTCCCGGGTCTGTACAAGATTTTCGACGAAATTCTAGTCAACGCCGCCGACAACAAGCAGCGCGATCCCACCATGACTGCCATGAAGGTTACTGTCGATCGTGAGAACGGAGAGATTTCTGTCGAGAACAACGGAAAGGGTATTCCTGTCGAGATCCACGGAAAGGAGAAGATCTATATCCCCGAGATGATCTTCGGTCACCTCCTGACCGGTTCCAACTACGACGATGACGAGAAGAGGACCGTCGGTGGTCGCAACGGTTATGGTGCAAAGCTTTGCAACGTCTTCAGTGAACAATTCACTCTGGAGTGCCAGGACTCGAGCAACGGAAAGAGATACAAGCAGGTCTGGACCGACAACATGAGCAAGTGTGGCAAGGCGAAGATCACGAGCAGCAAGACTAGTGACTTCGTTCGTGTCACGTTCAAGCCCGACTTCAAGCGCTTCAGCATGACCGGCATCGACGATGATCTCGACGCGTTGATCCAGCGCCGTGTCTACGATATGGCTGGCACTATCCGCGGCATCAAGGTCTACCTCAACGGCACCCACATCAAGCTCGGGTTCAAGGGCTACTGCGAATTGTACGCCAAGGCTATCGCGAAGGAACGTGGCGCCGAAGAGGGCGTGGAGCCCAAGGTCGTCGTCGAGGTTGAAAAGAACGAGAGGAATGAGCGCTGGGAAGTTGCCTTTACAGTCTCAGACGGCTCCTTCCAGCAGGTCTCCTTCGTCAACTCTATCGCGACCACTTCCGGCGGCACTCATGTAAACTACATCGCCGACCAAATCACCGGGTCACTGCTCAAGACCCTCGACAAGAAGAAGAAGGGCCACGCTCTCAAGCAGAACCACATCCGCAACCACATCTTCATCTTTGTCAACTGTTTTATCGACAACCCCGCATTCACTTCCCAAACGAAGGAGCAGATGACCACCAAGGTCAGCCAGTTTGGTAGCAAGTGTCCCCTGTCTGAGGAATTCCTAAAGAAGATCGCCAAATCGGACGCCATCCAGAACATCATCGACTTTGCCGAGAAGAAGGCCGACAAGATGATGGCCAAGAGCGACGGCAACAAGCGATCCCGCATCAGCAACTCGAAACTGGTTGATGCTAACTTGGCTGGCACCCGGCACGGCCATGAGTGTACCCTGATTCTTACTGAAGGTGACTCCGCCAAGAGTTTGGCTGTTGCCGGTCGCGCCATCCTGGATCCCGACCGTATCGGAGTCTTCCCTCTCCGAGGTAAAATGCTGAACGTCCGTGACGCGTCCATCGACCAGATCACAAAGAACCAGGAAATCCAAAACATCAAGCAGTTCCTCGGTCTCAAGCACAAGGCCGTCTACAACGACACGAAGGGTCTTCGGTACGGTCACCTGATGATCATGGCTGATCAGGATCACGACGGTTCTCACATCAAGGGTCTCCTCATCAACTTCTTGCAAGTTCAATATCCATCCTTGCTTCAAATTCCAGACTTTTTCCGAGAGTTTATTACTCCCATTGTCAAGGTCTGGCAAGGTCCTAACCCCAAGAAGCCTCAGCGACTCAAGTCTTTCTTCACCCAGCCTCAGTACGAGGAGTGGAAGGAGTCTCATAGCAATGAGCTCTCCCGATGGCACTACAAGTACTTCAAGGGTCTGGGTACCAGTTCAAACGAAGACGCCCAAGTTTACTTCACCAACCTCGATGACCATTTGAAGGAGTTCACCACGATGAAGCCCGATGAAGCCGATCTTTTCGAGCTTGCCTTCTCCAAGAAGAAGGCCGACGCGAGAAAGGAGTGGCTCGGCAACTTCGTTCCCGGCACATACCTCGACCACTCGACCAAGTCCATCACCTACACCGACTTCGTCAACAGGGAGCTCATTCTCTTCAGTATGGCCGACAACATGCGTTCGATTCCATCTGTTGTTGACGGATTGAAGCCCGGTCAGCGCAAGGTCATGTACGCTTGTTTCAAGAGGAACTTGGTGAAGGACCAGAAGGTCATTGAATTGGCTGGTTACGTCTCCGAGCAGACTTCATACCACCACGGTGAAGCCTCCCTCCAGCAGACAATTATCGGTCTTGCTCAAAACTTTGTTGGCTCCAACAACATCAACTGCCTTGAACCCAGTGGTAACTTCGGTTCTCGTCTTGCCGGTGGTTCAGATGCTGCCAGTCCTCGTTACATTCACACGAGACTGTCGCCTTTCGCGAGAAAGATCTTCTCCACTCTCGACGAACCCAACTTGGAGCCCCAGTTTGAGGACGGAAAGCGCATCGAGCCTAAGGCCTACGCCCCGGTTATTCCCATGATTCTCTGCAACGGCGCTGACGGTATCGGTACCGGTTGGAGTACCTCAATTCCCAACTACCACCCGATACAGATTGTCGAAAACCTGAAGAGGCGCATGGGTCGCCTTGACCCTGAAAACACCGAGGATGCCCCATTCGAGCCTATGATGCCGTGGTTCCGTGGCTGGAAGGGTACACCCGAGGTCGCCGACAAGGACAGGTACAAGTTCAACGGTATCTGCGAAATCGATGAGAAGACCGGCGAGGTCGTCATTACCGAGTTACCCATTCGCATGTGGACAGACGACTTCAAGGCCAAGTTGGAGGAGGTCATCAGTGGTACCAAGGGCCCAAGCTGGATCAAGGACTACAAGGAATTCAACGACCACAAGAACGTCCACTTCGTCATCCAGATGGACGACAAATTTTCCAGAGATGTCATGGCCGATGGCCTTATGGAACGCTTCAAGCTCGCCAAGCAGGTCGCCACTTCTAACTTGGTTGCCTTTGACACTCGCGGCCAGATCCGCAAGTACGAAAAGGTTGAAGATATTCTCGAGGAGTTCTACACCTACCGCCTGGATATGTACGCCGAGCGCAAGAAGCACTGGCTCGGTGTTTACCACGCCGATTTCAGAAAGCTCTCCGAGCAAGCCCGTTTCATCAGGGAGATCATCGACGGAAAACTGGTCATCGCCAGAAAGAAGAAGGCGGTATTGGTTGAGGAGCTCGCTAAGCGCAAGTACGAGCCGTTCCCCAGAGGCAAAGACAAGCAGACCAAGAAGAAGAACACCGACGAGGAGATGGAGGGCGACGAGGAGGAAGAGGAGGATGGCGACGGTCAAGGAAACGCCTACGACTACCTTCTTTCTGTTTGTAACCCTGACTCGCGCAGACTGATTCTCACAGCTAACCTTTGACAGATGCCCCTTTGGTCTCTTACTCAAGAGCGCCTCGATAGGCTGCAGAGACAGATCGAGGCCAAGCAGGCTGAGCACGATTCTCTCCTCGCATTGAGCGAGAAGGATCTCTGGTGCAACGACCTTGATGAATTTGTCGCCGAATGGGAGACCCAGATGGCGCTTGACGCTGAGATTCAAACCTCCATCCGCAGACTTGGTCGCCGCGTATCCAAGAAGATAGGAGCTGGCAAGGGTCGCAAGGCCAAGAAGGATGATGATGCTTATGAACCCGGCGAAAAGAAGAGAGCCGGCGCGAAGCTCAAGGCTGCCGCTGCCCCCAAGGTCACTGAGAAGGCTGCTGAGAGGTTCGCCGCCATGTTCGAAAAGCAAAAGACCAAGGCCAAGAAGGAGGAGTCTGACGGGTTCTCGGACGACGACTTCGCTTCACTCGGCAAGAAGGGTGCTGCTAAACCTGCGGAGAAGCCGGCAAGGGCTGCAGCGACGAAGAAGAAGCCGGTCTACACGTTGTCCGACTCTGACGACGACGACGACTTTGCGAGCTTGGGCAAGACCAGTGCTGCCGTCCCGGTCGAGTCTACTGAGGACGTCTCGTCCCAGAGCCAGAAGTCAGCGGGAGCCAAGAAGCCTTCGCCCCCGGTCATGGAGTTGGACGATAGTGAAGACGACTTTGCCGACTTGGGGAAGAAGAGCTCCAGTGAGAAGCCTGCGGCGGCGCCTGCCAGCAAGACCAACGGCTCTCGCACTCAACGCTCTGCTCCCGTTAAGAAGTACGTTATTGACGACTTGTCTGACGATGACGACGAATTCGCCAGCGCCGCCGAGGAGAGTGCTTCTGTCGAGAAGAGCGCGTCCATCGAAAAGAGTGCCTCAGCTGAACCCGCCCCTGCCAAGTCTAGCACCGCTACTGGACGGGGTCCAAGGGCCGCTACGGCGAAGAAGTCGAAATACGTTATCGACGAATCTGACTCAGAGGCGAGCGAGGCTGACGACAACAAAATCGGAGACATTGATGACCTTGTTCGGGGCATTGGCGGGTCTGCAAAGGAGTCTCAAACTGGCCGACTTAGCTTGTTCGCCATGAAGAATTCCGAGGGTCGCAACTCCAATATGCCCAGGATTAAGACCAAACCTTCGAGGACTTTCGATGATGACGAGGTCGATGACACCAACTACGAGCTGCTCGCAAGGTCGTCTCCTCACAAGACCATGACCAAGGAGGACGACATTGACAGCTTCCTGAGCGACGATGGCGCCCCCGCCGCGAAGGCATCCAAGGCGTCAACTGCCAAGGCCAAGGCTGCGCCTGCGGCTGCCGCTCCAGTCAAGAGACGCGGCCGCCCCGCGGGATCGAAGAACAAGGCCAAGGACGATGAGGCCCCGGCCAAGGCCAAGCCGAAGCCGAAAGCTGCTGCCAAGACAAACACACTCTCCCCTGCGGCCAAGGCTTATGCGGCAAAGAAGGCCAAGCGCGTGTTGAGCGATGACGAAGACGATGATGTGGAGATGGAGGAGCCGGAGTCGGAGCCCCGCCCGGCAGCTAGAAGCCGACCTGGGCGAGCCGCCACCAAGAAGGCGAAGCCCACGTATGACTTTGGCGATAGCGATATGGAGGTGGACGAGGACGACCCGTTCGACATGGACGAGAGTGACTAGAAGTCAACCTGAGTGTCGGGGGAGGCATAGTGAAGCGCATGCGTGTACAAGAAGTGTGTATACCGGGAACGGAACGGCGAACGGGGTATGGGCGGTTATATGGAAGCAGCTACACTGCTGCGTTCCAATTTGCATTGCTTTATGATGAAGTATTCTCATGGACTCTGGGAACCTCTCCTGCTTTCATTACACGGGCTAGACTGCCCACTTGCTAGTATTATATCGTACCTAAGGAAAGCAAGACAATATTCGACGACTGTTCGTACACCTTTCTGTTTTTGACGTTGTGAATCTCGTGATTCGTCCGGTGGAAGAGAAACCAGATGCCCCAGGCTGTGTGTGATACGAGCGCCTTCCCCCCCTCGACTTACACGGTATTTCTTGATAAACTTCATCGAGGCTTGCGATTCAGTACTGACGCCTCTGGCTCTCGTGGACCGTGAAGCTACATAGTTCTCTCTTGCCAGCTTGACAAGTAATCTCGGCCCCGGCCCGGGCTGCCAAATACAAAAGGTTATGGTAATGGTTCGAGGGTCTCCCAGCCCCCGTCTTCAACGATCATCACCTCTCGGCTGATAATTCAGATGATGTAGAAATAACATGGTCTGTGGAAGGATGGATGCAGTTGATGCGTCTGCCAAGTGGCGCGTCCGTCTGGGAAACTCTCCCGTCTTGCTGAATCCACAGTTCCTCGACAAATCAGTGGGATGATGGACACCTCGACATGGGATCAGATCGGGTCAAGTACGCGGGTGAGCCGAAGTGCGATGAGTTGTTACTCCCACGTCGAGCCAAAGTTGGAGTACTGTCTAGTAAAGACTCGGCCGCACTGTTGCGGATCGAAGAGTTTAAATTTTGCCTTCTTTTGAGATAAGTACTGCTTTAGTTTGTAATGTGCGCGGGTTTGAAGTCGGCAACTCCGTCACGATGATCATGCAAGCACCGTCTATCTGGCGTGCTCGCGACCTGCCGTGACTGAGGCTGCTGTTCAGAGACGTCGGAAGTTGGTGTACATGGGAGTCATGGGTACGGTCGACACCCAACGGCTCGTCCTCTGAGTTTCACCACACGAACAGATGCATCACAAGTTAAAATGACTAGTCTCATTGCTTCCCCTAGACAATCTGATGATCCCCCTTTCGCCAAGCCGTGTGCCATGAAAAGAGAACCGAAAAGCCAATACACTACACGCGTACACGATAATTCGTTTCACGCCCTAGTCCCCCGTGTCCACTCGGAGCGACTACCTGATATTATCCTTTTGTTGCTCAATATGTGCAACCAACTCCTGCCCAAACCGACCGCAAAGCCTTACCACGCCAAAGATGTCGTAGAGAGAAAGTGGTGGTGCGTAATCTCATTCATGTTCGTCATGAGTCGTTCCGTTGTCGCCAGACCAGTGGCATACGTCGTATCCGCTAGCCTGTGTACACTCAGAAAACCAATTCGAATGAGAGGACGCTTAGGAGGCGACCATGGGAGTCTCCTTCTCGGGAACGACGGGCTCGTCGTTCTCGAGCTCGGTGCTGGGAGCGGCGGGGAAGTCCTTCTCCTCGACCTTGGGGGCAGCAGGGGCGGGCTTGGGGACAGCCTCGGGAGAAGCGGAACGGCGGCCGATCATCTGCTGGGCCTTGGCGGTGTAGTCGCCCATGTACTGCTTGGTGATGTCGGCGGCCTGGGCAGTGTGCTTGCTGGCAACGGTGCGGAGCTGGCTCGTCTGCTGGTTGATGACCTCGCCGGCCTTGTTAAGCTGGGCGTCGATGAGCTCCTGGTTGGAGGTGTAGATCAGAGGAACACCGAAGAGCGCGGTGGTGCCGATCAGGGCAAGGCCCCAGAGAGGGACGATCTTGACGAGGTAGTAGGCGAAGAAGGCGCTGATGAAGGCCTGTTGCGAAGATTGGCGTTAGTTCGGTGATGATGTCAATAATTGTGGAGTGGGTCACGCGAGCAACTTACAGCAACAGACGCAGTGACGTTCTCGGCAAAAAGGATGCGCTGGGCCTCAATCACGAAGAAGTTGATGAGCTCGTGGACGTCTCCTATCATCGCATCGAGCGTATCTCTGGGGATAACGTAGTATCGGCGGGGGCGCAGCTGAGAAGCCAGACCGTTATTCAGGACGAGCTTGCCGGCGACCTCGGCGAGGACCGTGGTGCCAAGCACCATCCAGGTAAGCTTCAAGCTGTAACGCATAACATCGAGGTAGCGAGCAGCGAAGATGAGGGTGACGATAGAGGCATAGGCAATGGCCGAGGCACCTGCGGGTAGCTAGCTGTCAGTCGGAGTCGGGTTGTAGGCGGAGCCCGAAGATCACGTACGAGGGTTGTTCCACGAGATAAGCTCGAAGAAGAAAGAGTGGTAGTGAGTCAAAGGCTGGCCGGTGGCAGCGGGGTTGGCAGGAGTTCTGCGAGAGGCAGCGAGGTTGCTGAACTCGGTAGAGGCCTTTGCGGACTGGTCTCTGACATTCTGGGCGACGGGGCCTGGAAGAGAGGAATGTCAGTTCAGGGCTCGCTAGATGCGCCGCGAATACGTCATGCGTGGCAGGAACCGAAAAAACATACCGTTGGCGATCTGGCTGTAGGCAGCAGCAGCGTCTGGAAGGTATTTGTTAGCTTATCGGCGTCGATGGGCATGAAGATAAAGCTTGAAACACTAATCGCCCAAGTTAGCCGAATATTCCTCAGAAGACGTGATGCCACGGGAGTCGCGGGACGACTGGAGCTGAGCTGGAGCTGCGCGGCGGCGACGTACCTTACTGTCCTTGGTGGCTTGCACGTAGGAGTTGCCGTTGGCAGAGGGAGCCGTAGTCGGGGCGTCCGGGAAGTCGGCCATTGCGATCAGATCACGAGGGTGTTGGTTGCGATGTGATTTGTGTGGTGTTGTGGTTTGGAAGAGTCGGGTTGGGTGGTCGTGTGAGGCCGGGATCTGCTTTAAAAAGCTACGGCACGAGCAGCGGGCAGCGTTTCAAGAAATCGGAGCTTGCGTTGGTGTGTGAGGAGGGAGAGCAGAGCAGGACAGGACAGCTGAGTATAGCAGGTCTGATGAAGATAAAGGGCGGAGGTAAGGCCAGGTGGTAGGTTGGATTTTGTTTGGATTGTGATGATGTGGAGGAAGGTCTGGAAATCCAGGCAGATAAAGCAGAAACCAGAGAGGTGTGTGGTGTGTGGGAAGACGGAAGGGAAGGGGAGGGGAGGACGAAAAAAAAAAGACTTTGTGTGTAAAGTAGCGCCCTGGGTGACAGTGATGCAAATGAAGATGGAAAAGAAAGGAGCACGCAGAGTCCACAGGGGCCGTCCGTGCCAACGCCAGCCCAGGCCAGCATCCAGCTCCAGCAGCATTCAAGCAAGGGCTGCCAGCAGCAAGCACCTCACTATCAAACCAAACCCGCTAGGTCAGGTCAGGTTAATTCTCGATTTGGCAGACAAGTGACGCTTTTGCCTCCAAAACAGGTCCCGGTGGCCGGCGAGAGGGCCCACGCCGCAGGCGCAGGCGCAGGAGCTTTCCTTCCTTCCTATGCGGTTCGTTTTATCACCTCTCCCTCTCCCTGAAGTATCTCACATAGGTATTCCACTCCTCTTGACTCTGTACACCCACGGCTGCGTACCTGACCTGTCGCACGTATCGCAACTCATCGCCACACCTGCTTTTTCACCTCTACTCATCAACATTCGCCGTCCAATTGCTCAGGTATCTTATCTCCACCTGCTGTCCCCAAGGACCCGACCCAAAACCCAAGACTGCAAGACGGGCAGAAAGAGAGGGTACTCCCCCCTGGTGTACGGATACCCTGGCTCGGTCGGAGTTGTGGCTAGTGCCCGCTCCAGCTTGGTTTGCCGCAACACCTTGTGATGACGCAAAAGGTGTGCCACAGCAACCAATCGACCATCAGTACTACGCAGTACCCATCGACTACCTCCCGCTGACGGCACTGCGGCGCCCAATGACGAGGTATCGCAGACGTCGTCCCTTTTTTATTGCATATGCGCCTACCGTTGGCCCACGTCTTTGGCGTCATCCCACCGTAGCTGCGTGCTTTCTGGGGGCCGCTAATTATGCAGCCAGCATGTGACGTCCATCGCGTCTTGCCGTGCTGGAAAAAAGTCCAGACCAACAATCCAACCCAGCCAGCCTGCAGCCTGCAGATACCTTGAGGTAGCAGTAACAGACAGACCGCAGCACGTCTGAAGGCGGCTGGACGTACGTACATACATACATACGTATGTCAATCCCTCCCAACCATCTCATCATTGCGACATTTGCAGCTGCCGTGCTGAGCTGAGCTAGCCCGGACACAAAACCAGAAAAACCTGAAACCATGGCATTTCGATATCTGATGTCGTGGCTTCTTTCTTTGCCCTCGTCTCTTCCTACCTACCCGCCACCTTACCTCACGCTGCCGTTAGCCGCCCGTGTTTCTTCAACCTACCACGACCTTCTCTTCTGCCCCTCCATCGATCGCATTTGAATTCGGGGATTCTCCAAAAAGGCAGAGCTGAAGCAGGCATGGCCCTAGCTCCAGAGCTATGCTGTGCCCGTAGCGCGGCGCATTATGTGGCCCCCGCCATCCACTCCAGCCCCTCCTCCTCAGCAACCAAACAACAAAAAACCCCACGATATCACCCTCAATCGCGGTTTTTATCTTGTTGCCAGGACGCCCGACCTCCGAAAAATCTCTTTTCCGTCCGCGATATCACGGTGTTATTGCCAGCTCATCAGAACAGACCCAAGCAAATATCCCAGATTTTACTAAGAACAAGACCCGCCCGCAGGAAAACGATCATCGGGAGGGCAACCAACAGACCGGACCGGACCCAACACACCGCCGCCTTTCCTAATCCCAAGCACTAACCAACCGTCGTTGGAGAAACAAGTCAACGGCAACCGCCAGCTGTCGCGCTTACTTCTTTCTTTCATCCGGGGTTCCACGCCGACCTCCCGCCCGGCGCGGATCCGGCAGACCGGCCTTCTTTCGACACCATGGAGAGCACGTGCCCCAACCCCCAGCACCCACCGACACGTGCCAAACGCCGCCCGGGTGATGGAGATGACAACAACGTTGATTCTACTTGACAGAATGCAGAACGAGAAGAAGAAATAAGAACGACACTCACCGCCTCGTCCGTGCTACTTCTGACACATCGTTCGCCTTCCCCGGTAAGATGCCAAAGAAACCTCCAACGCGAGGGTGCTTTCCGCAATGGCTTCAAACTCAGGGGAGCAACATGGGCATTCGTTTGCGATCAAAACTATTCTTTGGAAAACAAAAACATCTTGATAACATTACAGCCACTCACTTACCTGTACAGTCATGTCAAGTTTCATCAGCGACAATCCAAAAGCGCTCATCCATCACGAGTAGCAGCTTACATTACATGGCGAACCAGTCTACCACCCCTCAGCCAGAGCCCATACTATAGCAAACACCCCAGACATCAAAAACCAAACCCTCCACCATGTTATTAAAGTCACAAGTATTCCGCAAAAATCGCCCGAGAAACAAAATAGCACCTCTTGATAAACACCATCCAAATCCACTTCCACCACAGCAACATAACCAAACCAGCGATATCCCAGTCTCAGCTTCAGGCCTCGCGCCACACACACGCACCCATCACTTTCACATGTAAAACCACCTCAAGCTCGAGCTGGAAAATATATTAACCCAGGGCCAAGGTGGCAAGCTCTCCGCCGTCGCGAAGCGCACCGCCACACAGGGGTCCAAGTCCCCCAAGTCCCCCAAAACCGCAATCGTTGCAACGCTGGCCGCCGGGGCCCGGCCGAGAAGGGTAATCCGCCCCACCACCGGATAGGGGGCGGGGGGAAAGCCCGTCCAACTGAGTATGTTGTGTATCGCACATCGAACGACGAAAGGCTCTCTCTCACAGGGGACCAAGAATACCTTCACAGTGAACGGATTCCGTTGTCGCGTCATGATTCAATTCCTTGTCAACTACAAAACTTCTACTGGGTAAAGTTATACTCTTCTGTATTCTGATGGATCTGATGTCCCATTTTGCTCCGTCCGTCTGCCCCGGAAAAAACAAACAAATGGGGGGGGGGGGGCAGCGGCATAAAAAAACAACAACATCCCTAGTCATAAAGACGAACATCCATCCGTCTGGGGAATTGCGTCTCCCTCAACTCCAATGCTATGTGTAAGAATGGAAGTGGAAAGAACAAGGGCAACAATCTCTAGAATGCAAAAGAAGAAGAAGAAATGTGCTCCCCCAACGTGGAAAAAAAAAACGCTTGCCAGCGTCCCACGGATGCAAAAAGGTGTTCCGTTCCCTTTTCTATGCGATGATGATGAGCAGATGGCAAGACACAGGGGGCCTGGTACCCGTTGCGAATGCCGTCCCGACCAGAATGCAAAATGCTCTAGATGCTCCGAATGCTTCCGTTTTCTGTTCCTCGCGGAACGCCCGATGTAGTCATGATCGATCGCGCTTCCTTCTCTCTATCGTCTCCAGCCCCAGAATCCTCCTCCCGCCGCGGGCGCGGGAGTCGCCGGCGCTGTTGCCGGCGCTGGTGTCGGCGCCGGGCTGGCGGGCTTGACGGGCTCTGTTGACGCGCCCGTGAGCCGGCCGAAGACGCCCATAGCGGCTGTTGCGGCTGCTCCCGCTGCCGTCGGCGCTGGTGTCTCCGCGGCGGTGACCAGGCCGTGCGCCTTGCGCAAGCTCTCGAGCTTCTGCTTCATTTCTTCGGCCTCTTGCCTGGCAATAGCTTCGGCAGTCTTGGCCTGGACGAGCTCCAACAGGAGCGCCTCGGTCTGGTCGTCCACCGGCATCGGTGGCGCAGAAACCGGAGCTGGAACGGGAGCCGTCGGCGGCGGAGGAGTAGAGTCGTGGGGCTTGGACAGTGAAGAAGACCGTTTACTGAATATCGACCCGGCCTGGGATGGCGTCGACTTGCTCCTACCCAGTTTCAGCTCCCTCAGGCCGGTGCCGCTCGCAGAGCTCTTCCGCATGGGCCCGTCTCCGTCGTGATGATTATTACTCTCCGTGTCTGCGGCCGAGGCCCGCGCCCTCATAGTGTGTATCTGCTTCTCGAGTCGTTGCTTATCCTGATGGAGGATGCGTGTATGCGAATGGGATTCCCGGACTTGGTCCTTCAAGGCGGAAATCTCCTGGTCCAAATCGTGTATCTTTCGGTCGTACGTCTGGGACTGCGACACCGCGCTGGCCAGTTGATCCTTGAGTTGCTGCAATTCCTGTTGCATCTGCGACTTGGATCCACCTCGCGATTTCGGGCGCTCATCGCTGCTGTGTCGCCCAAACCTCCCTTCGACGACATCAAGCAGGCTCGACAGCTCCTCAGGGGAGGGTCCATCCAGTCCATCAGTCTTGGCACTGGCCACGTCTCCCTCGCCTCCCTCGCGTGCCTCAGTTGCGGGGTCGTTGTTCGCCTTGACAGTATCGACGCTCGCATCGGTGCTGACAGAGTCGTTGCTGGCCTTCTTGCGCAAGCCGTCAAGCAGCGACCGCACGGCCTGCTTGTCCTCCTCTCGCTGTTCCCGTTCTTGTTGTAGTTCGCTCGCGAGTTGGGCGTGATTGCGCTGCAATTCGGTCAATGCGGCGAGAAGGTCTTCGATTTGCGTATGCAGGTAGTGATCTTGCGTCTTTTTGACACCTGTTCCGTTGATGGATTTGGCGCTGTTGCCGACCGGGGTGGATTCGCGGAGGGAGGCATTGTCGTCGGTGGTGTTTGCTGAATCGCGGGAGACGGTGGTGGCTTCGGTGGACGCAGAGCTAAGAACGCTAACGGAGCTGGCTTCCATCGAATTGAGGGTGGAAGCCAGACTCTGCTTGGAGGTGCTCCTTCGTAACATGCTCAAAGGCCGTGACGGAGCGGTGAGGCCCGGGCTCAGGGTGGAGGAGGACTTCGGGGAGATGATGGTGGAGGAAGCCCAAATGCGGCCCAGGAAGCGGGAGGCTGCAGAGGTCACGTCCGAGGAACGCGCCGCATTCGCACTAGCGATCTGCGCGTCTCGGTACCCCTGTTCCAATTGTGCCAATTTCTCGCGGGTTACAATACCCGATAAACTGACAAAATCCTGGACGAACTCATCTGCGTTGTAGTGGTAACAATCCCACAGACCTCTCGAAAGGAGAAGTTGCATAACGTCCTCGAGCTCGGTGCACGCTAAAATCCGGGCCTGATTCTTCTGCATCAGAGATAGGGCGACCCGCATAAGGGTCTCCGGGGCCCCCTCGGCAAAAATGACATCGTAGATGCGAAACAGCATTGGCAGGGGGCATGTAACGGCAAAAAAGCTGAGGAACCACTGTGAAACGTACGCCGGATCGACCTGCAGTTCTTCCAAATGGTTCGATACTGGCGTCAAGTGCTCGCGCAGAAGCTCTCGAAACTGGTAGATGCGCACATGCAGTCCTGACAGGTCTGGCAGGAAACAGCTTCGCAGATCATAACGTTCCATCAATCTGCCCATCCCAATGTTAGCTTCGACGTTGCATCCCCTAGAAACAAGGTTTCTTCTTTGCCTAGAGCCTCCCTAAAGTTGGGATCAACTCTTTTTTTGACACTTACCGAACCAATACACAGAATGCCTGCTTATCAGGCATGTGCATCAATAGCGGGCCGACGAGGAAGGCCAGTCCTTGGCAGTAGCCAATTTTCGTGTCGTAGAGGCTGAAGCATTTCAGCACCCTGCCCAGCATGCGCTGTCCGTCGCCTTCCGGGTCGCGGAACATGTCGACCCCGGGGAAACTCCGACCCAGATCTTTGCCAATAGTGGCTTCGTAGGGGCTCGTCTCGCCCGAGAATCGCTCGTACTGTTCTTCCAACGCGGTATCCCTGGCGCCCGACATGCTCTGCCACACGACGCCTCGCAGCGGGGGAGGGATGCCTTTGCGGATCTTGTTGGACAGCAGCGTCGGCAGACGGGCGGCGGTCTGCTGGTAATCTTTGACCAGCGCGGCGTAGAACTCGAGGTCGGTCATCGGCGGTGGCGGCAGCATCGAGTATCGCAAGGCCGACGGCGTCGGCCCCGTTACCATGTGCTTTAGTTGTGCCATTGAGGGTGGTCTGGGGCGATTGGAGGCGGCGACTTGTGTAACGGGCTGTGCTTTGATGCTCTTTGGGTTCGTAGCCAATTTATCGTTTTCCTTCTCGAGCATAGCCAGCAACATAGCCGTTGACTGTTGGTGTTGTTAGCATAGCGCGCGGCAGAAGTGACGAGCGGCACACTTACTCTGTCGGTGTCTGCGTCCCTAGGCTCTTCTGCCTCTGTTTTTTGCAATTCGTCCCAGTTCACTTCTTCTTCGTCTTCTGATTCCTCGTCGACGGGTGTTCGGGTCTCTGCCTCGTCAAGTATGCCCCGCGGTGAGACCTTTGTAGGTGATACTCTCGACACCAGCTCTCCAACCTCGTCACTTTCCTCGTCCTCGAAGTCGACAAGCTCGTCCTGGAGACTCCTCGTAGCGCTCGTCGCTGGCAAAGGGGTCGCGGGATCGCTCGGCGGCGTTGCGTCTTCTTCGTCGTCGTCTTCGGCCTCGGGTGTGTCTTTGTTCTCTGCGGCGATGCTCTCTGGAAACGGTGCCTTCTCGATGCGAACTGTGCTAGGTCTCCTCCTGGGTGGCGAGTCGGGGCCGACGTTGGTGTCTATGGTCAGGACGGGCGGCTCAGACAGCCTGACGGTTACCATGGAATCGTGGGCCTCCATTTTGGGCGTCGTGTCCCGGCGGTGGGTGTCGTCGGCGGCGGCGGTAGTTGCTGGTCTCGACTCGGTTTTGGCATGCGTCAGCTCGGTGTTGTTTTCGACTTCATCACTTCGTTGCTGCGGCGCCGGCTCCATTGGCCAGGCGGACTATGCCTCGACGGGTATGTTGTTGGTATTCTGGGGAATAGCGAGTGTGTCGACTGGAATGTGGACTCCGTAGTCGGATGTGCAACTCCCAATGGCGGTAGGAGGGTCAGCGATGAGAGCGCGGCCGCGGACCAGTCACTGGGCGCGGTCATAAAACGCAGACCAATCTCGCTGGACCGGAATCGAGATTCGAGGTTCGAGGTTCGTGGAGTTGGGAGTAGGGGTTTGTTGTGTTTGTCGGCGGGAGTTCGGGAGTCGGGTCAGTCGAGTCCAGTCCGGGCAGTCCAGTTCCTCCCCTCGAATCGGGTGCCCAATGAATGTGCCGAGAAGGGAGCGCGAGCCTCAAAGCCAGGAGAAAGACACACACACACAAGACCACAAGCAATGCGGATCCCGGATGTGCACAAGGTTGGCGGCAGTAACACGACAGACCAGACAGCGGGTTAGGGTGGACTGAATGAGAGCGCGTGAGTGACGGGAGTGAGTGAATGGGTGGAACTTGAACGGCTTGGACTTTTTGGTGGCTGGCTCTCCCCCGAAATATCTCGTCCAACGGTTTCCCGGTTAAAGAGAAGGGGGAAAAAAAGGCAAGGGGGCTTTTCTGTTGGCGAAGCGAGGGAAAATGGAAGCAGAGCCTGGAATCCACACGCGCACACACACACACAGGAGCTCCTTGAAGGGTGATGCTCAGGCTTCGGCGACTCGGTAAGGAGTAAGGTCTGGGTCTGTGAGGAATGAGAAAAGAGGGTTTGGTTGGACGGCAGCAGAGGGGATTGGCCTGTCAGGCGCGGCGGCGGCGACGAGTTGTGACTTGGGGTCGTGAGTGCTTTCTCCCTCTCGCTCTCTCTGGTTGTGTCGTTTCATCGAGGGGCCAAGAACGCTGAAACGCTGGAGGGAGGGGACGGGGGAGGCGAAAAGAATGGTGGTCCCCAGGGTGAATTGAAGGTGGGCTTGATTTGCAGGCGGGTTCCAGTTCCAGTTCCAGTCTGCAGCACCTCACCTCAGTTGCAGCCTGCAATGAGTTTAGGGGGCCGTTCTCCGTTGCAATGTGAGAGCGAAGTCGCCTCCAGGCAACTCCTTATTACTGTGAACAGAAGCCTTTTCCGCGTCGTCAATGTCGGGTGTGCGAGGCAAGACAAGGGCAGTTGAGACTTTGGGAAGGGTGGCTACAGTCTAACGGTTCTCGTCTGAACAGCACCGTCCGAGGTCGAAGACCGGAAGCATCCACACCGGTAAAAGGAGCCGGCGCAAGTCGGTCGTGGTTGCCAAGTGATTCTTAAGATAGGATGCCTAGCCAGCTAGCTTCCCTAGCGCAGGTGGTAAGCAGGCAGGCAGGCAGTAGTAATGAGGAATTCTAGCTAAAAAGTCGAGTTACCTAAGATCACCGTAGGTCGCGTTCCTCACCCGAAGATCGGTATGGTGGGAAAAAAACAACATAAAAAAGAATGCGGGATGTGCACAGGGGCGGGAAGGGAAGAGGAGAGGGGCGGCGATGATCAGCAGATGAGATGGGGTTGCGTTGGCACTGGGGATTCAGCATTGGGGCGATTCGAGACTGGTCTGGAATGGAATTGAAGCGGTCAAGATCGACGACGCACTTCACAAACAAAACGCAGTGCATTGTGGTGCCCTCTGCCAAAACCCCCCATGTCATTCCAACGTGGTGTTACCGTTGTCAGCTCAAAAACACGAGGAAAACGGCCCTGAAGACTGCCCGGATATCATATCAGGAGATCATGCTATCATTATTGCGATGGTGGTTGTGCTGTTTCCGGCATATCTTGGTACGTGTAAACGGATTGGTGGACGGCAGACGGCACCAACAACACTGATGACAGCATCTCATAAAAGCCGAAGAGGGGGATGGGGTCTTCAATTTCCCCAAGGGCCAAACAAATCGCGAAATAGCACGCGTCTATTCGCTCACCTCATAATCGAGTATACGTCCCCCGGAAGTCATATCGATACTGACGCGTCTCGCCCTCTCGTCTCCTATTCCTGGCATCACCAATATCGCCACTACACCAACGGCATGTTACCACCTCGCTCAACTGTTGTCAATCTCCAGCAAACAAGCAAGCACACGTGAGGTGCAGAAAAGCTTGGATGAAGAACCGGAAGCCACTCCATCTGTTCCGTCTGCAAGGTACGAAGTGCTAGCGCGCCAAGTTGACCCAATCCCCCCAAAAACCCAATCACGTCCCGGCCCTGCGCCGAACAAGCTTCCTTCCAGCTTCCGCGCCTGCACCACCGCCCGGGAGCAGTGAAATTGCCCAACGACGGCGGCGGCGGCGGGTCACCGTCAATCCAGTGTCATCAGTCAGTCAATCGATCAATCCAATTGTCATCCTCTGTCCCCTCTCCGCTCGCTCCTCCTTACCATTTTACCGGGTATTACCGAGTGACCCAGCTGGAGCAGCCCAACGGCGGGTCTCGACGAACGACATAACATCATCGCCAAATCTCAGCCTGGTTTGGTATTACACGACGTCTCAGATCTATTATCCATCTCAAACACAACATCATCGACCTCATCTCACCTGATCCACGTCGAATCGACGGCTCACCCTCCACCACCGAAATCCAAATCCTCAAGCTCCCAGGTGCGTGTAATAAAGATAGACAGGGGGCGGCGTCGTGGTCCGTAGCTCACGGCCCGCGGGCTTGAATCTTAACCCACAGACCTTGTCCCCTCCGTTCGGGTCACGTAGTCTCGGCCACGAGTCCAGAGTCAGACGACGATTCCAAGACGAGGGGAGATTGGAAGGCCCTCCTCATACTCTCCGCCAAATTTGCGCCTCCAAATGAAAAGTTCACACCGGATCTCCTGTCCTGAACTCTACCAGTCGGAGTTTGTGTAAGCTTCTCCATCGTACACGTATCTTGCATGAACCCACACCCATCTGCATGTTGTGCAGTGGTGCATATTTGTGGATTTTTATGTCTCCTCGTCTCCCCCGCATCGTCATCTCATCTCCTTCCGGTGGCGGCACTGCAACACACACGTCCGCGGCGCGCAACCCGTGTGCCGCATGGCGTGGCACGGCCGTTGATGAAGCTACGTTGGTATCGCTTTCCCGGCCCGAGTCATCATCACGGGGTTGACCCGGGACGACTCGGGAGATGCCATCACACACTCGGTGCAATTCAGACGGCGAGTTGTACTCAAAATGAAGACGCGTGGATAATCCAAACCTCCGAGGTATATAGCGTAGGCCACCGCCTGTGTAATCAATGCTAGTCTATACAAACTTGGTTGATGGACATGATCCTGCTGTCAATCACCTCTCCCTCACCCAGCACCCGAATGCCGTTCTTGGGCTTCCAGCCAGTGCTGGACGGCATCTGCCTCGAGCATGGCCCTTGAATAGATACCATGTGCTACCGTTTTTCCCACGGTAGAGGGCGGTGTCATCAAGTAGACCCGTGAGGCCTCATCTTCTCCAATTTTACAGGTGGACTCTCCAACTTTATAGGTGGACTCTCCGACTTTACAGGTGGACTCTCCGACTTTACAGGTGGACAGCCGCTCGCAGGTCGATGGCTGGTTTTCTTTCCATCTTTCCAGTCAGAACTTCGAAGCTGCCCATTGAGGTTACCCGGAGCGTCATGGTCCTCTATAAATTGAGCTAGAGGGCTCGAGGGACCTATCTCATGTTTCAAGTAAATGACCGGAACTCTTTGAAAGCGCGGCTGACCACCACGTAAAGTCGGCCAAACTCCATGCAATGAAGGCCAGCCTCTCTATGACGGTGCCATTCCCTGTGCCTGGTGGGCGCCTTGCATATTCTGCATCTGCATGGGACGTTGAGCTTGAGCCATGCCAGGGCTGGCCTGGTGACCCTGTGCTCGCTGCCCTCGTCCCATCCCCGGTTGGCCCGGTTGGCCCGGGTGCTGGCCTTGTGGGCGTGCTGGTGTTTGGAAAGCCGGCTCCTTCTTGGGGTCGACGTTGGGGAAGAGAGCCTGCAGTTTGGTGTAGAGATCTGATAAATAGCTCGATCTTTCCTGGCGATCCGTCATCGGGTCCGGATTATTTTCTGGCACGTCGCCAGGTGGAGTCGATACGCGAACTTTGAGTGCCATGTTTAATGGCGGAGAAGAGAGGTATGCCGGAGACGGTGGGACCTGAACGTTCCCTTTCCTATCCGCGAGTGCAGCCAGATATGCTAGGTTCGCTTGAAGCCTTCGCATGCAACTAGATTTTGTGTCAGTTTGAGATTGTCCTGGCCTCTCGAGGTTCACAAAACACTTACTGGCTGTAATCTTGTTGCATCGCCGCCTCTTCCTGGGACGGTTTCCTCCCCTGGTCGCCCTCCCCTGATGACGCAGCTTCCTTCTTTAACTCAGTCAGGGTATGTTGCAGCTGCATAGACTCGAACAGCAGCTCTTGATTTATCTCCAGCAACAACGAGAACCTTTCCTGCTCCCGCGACTCGCTGCCAGGGCTCAGTGGCGTCGAAACCGTTGAAGTGCCGTTGACGGTCGCGTTCTGGTTATGGGATGGAAAAGTCGGGGTTTGAGGGGTCGTGACAGAGGCCGCCACATGCTGTTGCTGCGGAGCGGATGTCGAGGAGCTGTGTCCATGGGAGGGAGGTTGACTGGCGGAGAACTGAGGTTGTTGCTGCTGAGCATGTTGTTGCTGTTGATGTTGTTGTTGCTGCTGCTGATGTTGCTGTTGCGCGTGTTGCTGGTGTTGCTGTTGTTGCGGATGCGCCTGTTGGCCTTGTTGCTGAGACTGCTGCTGAGGCTGTTGAGGCTGACCCTGCTGGGGCTGGCCTTGTTGTTGCTGCTGGGGGTGATGCGGCTGGTGCTGTTGTTGAGGATGTTGCTGTTGTTGCTGTTGTTGCTGTTGCTGATGCTGCTGTTGTTGTTGCTGCTGCTGATGCTGCATCGCGTTATTCGGCGATCCGTGGCCTCCTTGAGCCGCGCTCATCGGTCTTTGTGGTGTCGAGCCGAGCGGCATGCCGCCCGCGTTTGCCTGCCCTTGCTGCGCCTGCTGCTGCGCCTGTATGCGCTGCTGCTGTTGTTGCATCATGATCTGTTGCTGCTGCTGCGGTGTCATACCCGCGTTCATCGGGAAGCCCTGCATTCCACCAAAGTTGGGATGTTGACCGCCCGGCGCGGGCATGTTACCGCCGTAGGGATTGCCCTGGTAGGGGTTCTGGAAGGACACTGGTAACGACATTGCAGTTAGCAAACGCGTGTCTCCGTTGGCAGATGGTGAAGAGGCGCGGTAGGGGCGCGACTGGATGTCTGAGGGCTGGCGGCGATGGTGATGGGGATGGAGACCCGAGACGAGGTCGACGATGCTGAGCCGCCACAACAGCTGACACGGCGGGCCGTGGGGAAGCACATGCGGCTTCGGGCAGCGTCAGAGGGCGCGACGCATATACGAGCGACTGCTGGATGGATTGGGCGCACAGGAGGAGAGACAGGACAAGGAAGGGGAGAGCTCACTCTGACCATTGGCGGCCATGTGCGGCATGCCGGCGTTCTGCATCATGCCTGCAGGACCAGCACCCGACATCATGGCGGGATTGAAGCCGGGCTGGCCGCCAGGCATGCCAGCGAATTGATTAGGGTTGTACATCATCTGCTGGCCGGGCTGAGTTGGGACAGAGCCTTGCTGCATGTGAGGGTTCTGGTTTGGAGGTGGGGCGGCGTTGTTGAATGTCGGAGGAACATTGGGAACCTGAAAGCCGTAGCCGGGAGCGTACATGGCTGGGACGGGATGGGAGGGATGGGCGCGGAGCTATTATTATTATTATGGTTTTGGGGGGAGGGGGCTTGACGTGACGGGCCCAACGCAAGGAACGAGTCGCAACGGGGGGTGCTCGAAAGGGAACCTAGTCGATAGAGCGTCGCAATAGACTCAGACTCCAGGCTCTCTGGCAAGTCAGACACGACGAGCTGGCTTGCTTGGTTGCTGATCGGGGGGCTGGGCTAAAGCTGGGCGGAGGAATTGAGAGAGAGGGCGCGGCGGCCGCAACGGGCGACGTTTCGATGTATCGGCCGCAACAAGGAAGAGAGCGGCGCGTCGGGAGGAGTGCGTGGAGCAAGCAGAGATGGTCCTGGCCAGTCCGGGCCGCAGGCTGGCGGGATGACTGGCTGGTTTGCTGCTGCTGCTTGACGTGCGTGATGGGCGGTGGAGGTGGAGAGCAGGGGTGCAACCATCAACCAGCCGGGCTATCTCTCAAATAGACAGACCGACAACCAGCAGCTTTCGTCCAGTAAACGGGCGATTCGACGGGACGACGAAGGAAGTATTTCGTATTAAGGTACAACCATGCATACGGTAAGGATTTTGGCTGTCCTTCCCAAAGGTCTCGGGGGTACCTGACTGGACAGTACGGCGCGTGCCTGGGATAGGGCTGGCCGTGTTTGTCTCGGTCTCGTCCGTACTCGTCTGTAAGTACTGCGTGTTTCCGCCTACCTCAAGGCGCGGAACACGGGGGTGTGGAAGAGCAAACCAGAGGAGTGAATGGCCGAGATGGGTACGGTGAGAAAGAAAGGAGGACTAATTCAAGGGATGACGTGGGTAGATGGGGCGTCAGGCGGAAAGGTTGCTGGCGAGAGATGAGGCGTATTTGCTGATGATAATTTGCGCCGTGGAGTAACAGAAAACGCGTCCTGTGAATCGCACAGCGTGAATCCGGTGAGACAGGGCTGAAGCAGAGGTAAACGTAGTCTCTGGGCGGACTGGGACTTGAATCAGGGCCAAGGCCGAGCTTGATAGTACCGTAGGTAAGGCCGGGAGGGCCAGGCAAGTCCCACGGAAAGGTACTTCCAGGAAGGAGACGACAACGAGGGAAAAGAGCGGAGAAGACTGCGGGTGCGATTCGATGCGATGCCGGTCGGTAGGTACGGTGCGAGGCGAAGCGAAGTGAACCCGCAGGAGACCAAAACCAAGAGGCGCGAGCAGAGGCAGGCCGCAGACCCGGCGGAAGGCGGAAGGCAACGCGGTGTGGATGGCGGTCCGCGTGGAGCAGTAGGCGGAGAAATGCCCTCAGACAGTCGGGCCGTGAAGGAGGGCGGGAATGCAATGAGAGACTGGCAGTAATAAGAGGCGGCAAGGTGCTGTAAAGGTGAACAGAACAGGCGGTATCCGTAGTCGGTGACGGATTCGGTGTGAGCGGTGAATGTGAAGTGTGGTCCTTGTGGTCCTGGGCGCGGCGGGCGGGCGCGGCGCGCGTCTAAATGACACGTGGTTCCAGGATGGGAGCAGTGCAGAGAGCAAAGTGCGCCAATTGGTGAGACGAGGGAGCGCGCGTATGAGAGTGTGTGAGTGAGTGAGTGAGTGACTGTAACTGTGACTGAGAGTGTGTGTGAGGTTCGCCGGGTGTGTGGTTGGGTTGAGAGAGAGGTGCCAGCAGGAGGGAAAAAAACACACGGGAAACCGAATTTTTTTTTTTTGGCTTTCCCTTGCGGCGTTCTGGGGATGACACTGTGGACTCTGAGCCACGGGGCCTGAGTGTGTGGAGACCTCACAAGTGTTCCCCCCCGCTCAGGGCAGGATTCGAAGTGGGGTCGCCTCCGAGGCTAAACAAGGGGCATTCGGTATCGAGGCGTCGTTGACTGGCGCAGACCGTTAGGGGCCCATGCAGCGACTCTCTCCGAGATCTCCATCCGGCGAACCAGGGGTGTGCCTGCAGCTACCCAGGGTCAACCTAACTCTGGAAAGGTACTTCTACCTGTCAGTCTTCTTTGAAAGACAATTGACAGCCCGGTTACCTATTGGTTTTGTTGTTGTTGCTGCTACTTGTTCGGGAGCTGGAGTTCATGTCTCGCCGGGTTGGATAATGCTCAGGACGTTGAGAGACCCTCTCCAAAACATATGGGACGTCTTATTCATCAACCGGATGACGTGAGTTGCTGTTGATAGAATTGATGGCTAGCAAGTCCGCTGGGAACTGTCACAGTATCACAAGCCTTCCTGGCTGGTCCTGGCATGCGTCTGAGTCCATGTCTGAGCTCCCTTGAAACAGACCATGGCACGAACCCAAGTCAAACCCTTGGCCATGTCTCTGGCAGACACCATAAAACGAACAGCATCTCCGGACCTTCTCTCCTGTCGTTCTCTCTCTCTAAGACGCATACGTCGTGCCGTATGTCGAGTTCCCATGGACAACATCCACGAAATGCTGGGCAACAATCTCGTCTGCAAACCCCGTGTTAGACAAAGCACCAGCACGCGATTCCCGGACAGAAGCACTTACCTGCGCGCTCCGATGGGTGCAGCTCGTCGTACCACAAGAAGCTCGCCTTCGATTCCGAAGAGTCAACGCAAGCCCGAGTGACCGGGTCGCAGGTTCTGTACACGCCCGTCACGTTCGCGGGAGACGACAGGTACTTGGACGGTTCCGCGTGGACGTCCCGCAGAAGCCTGTGGACGTCGAAGATGGAGAAGCTCGCGCCCGGCCACCGCTTCTTGACGACAAGATGGAAAGGTGCGCCGTAGTCGAACATGGTGTTGACGTTGGTCGTGTACTCGAGCATCTTGTACTGGTACTCCGTCGTGTTGTACGCCGTCTTGTTGGGCCAGAATTGGCTGTCCCCGAAACCCCCTACCCTCGTTGCGGCATACAGAGGCGACTGCTCCAAGGGAGCCAAGTTCAGGAGCACGAAATGGCGTCCGCCCGTCTCGTAGATGTTGTCGAATACCTCCCAGACACAGTCCACGTACGTGGAAATGGTCGTCCCGGGAGCCTGGGAGTCGGTGAGGAAGGCGCCGTAGCCCAGGTCGTTCGTGCCGATCCACAGCGCATACACCGTGTTGTTCGCCCGCCTACTCGGGTAGAGTGCCTCGAACGCGGTGTCGGCCTTGTAAGCGGGGATCTCGTAGTCGAGAACCGAGGGGAACGGCTGCCTGATGGCAGCAAAATCTCTGCTGATTATTTTGTTAGAGCAGGTAGCTCCTGACACCGCGTAGTTGTTATAGTTCGCGCCGGTCGACTTGGCCACGAATCGGCCCCAAGCATATCCGCCGCTCGCTGTCGAGTTGGATTCCCCGAGACGAAGACCCGGAGGCGGTGCGCTGCCATTGTTGTTAATGAAGTAACCCAGACGCGATTCGTCAGTGTAGCTGTCACCAAAAGTGACCAGGTTCTCCAGCTTCCTCAGACCGCATTGGGAGGCTGCGGCCGCGGAGGCGAGGGCAGCAATTGAAAAGAAGCGCATCCCGACTGTCAATTGGAAGGACGGCAAGCGTGAGGGTTGCCACAGAAACCTCTGGGAAAGCCACGAGTGTGGGAGAGAGACCAGAAATCACTAGATTGCTGGGTGACGGATCGGACGGGCAGTCGTCTTCATATGTAAGGCATGCCAACCTCGCTCATCGCGTCACTGCAGTCAATTGGGCCTTTTGTCCGGCAGCCCGGTAATGGGGGGTTGACGGAAGCAGAGACGGGCAGAGAATCACCGCCTATGAGATAGGTTAGATCGTAGCCAGGGCTACACACCTCTCAACGTTTTCCCCGCCGGGGTCATGAACAGTCAGTCGGTAACTGCAGAGTTCGGGTGAGAGAGTAGTTGTTGCGGCAAATCTTCCCCGGATCCGCGACTGGGATTGCGAGGAGGGAAATGAGGGGTAGTTGGAGACGGGCTCGCGAGAAGCCTGCCCGAGAGCTCCATCGCCGTCACATCGGGAAGCACTCGCTTGTTGATGTAGAGCTGCAGGTTGGCGGCAATGGTCGATATGCATTTGACTTTGGACCGTTTGAGGCGGGAAACGCGAGCGGTAGGAACCAGCGGGCGTATGGCCCGACGTAGTGTGGTTCGGTCTGATGTTGCCAAAGCCTGGCAAGAAGCTTGTTTAGACCGTGGTGTGGGCTGCGAGTTGGTGCGGTGGATGGCTAATCAGCCTGAATTCGAAGAGATGATCCGCAACGCTGGCTGGGTGACTAAGCCAACGATTGACTGATTTTTAGTGAAGCTGGGAATCGAGAGGCGGTTTGAGAATATAAAGATGTCGATGTGGATGCTTTCGATGCAGATTAACGAGAAAAACTTGACGTAACTCTCCTGAGAATAAAAGGTTAGCCAAAGTAGCGAATGAGTTGTGATCGACTGGAAAATCCTGTCAACTCAACCTAAACCTGGCTGGCCATTGGTCGGTTGAAGGAAGAAGTATGCCGCAGAATCAGCAGACACACACTCGAAGGAAGCAACTTTGAGTCCCGATTCTCATAATGATAGCGAGGAATAAAGTCTTTGGAAGGTATCGTCAACAGCTTGGCCAACTTTGTCTCGGCTTCGGCTCAAAACGTCACGGATTTCGGTCTCGGCTTCTTTTTCGCAGTGACAAGGATGACTCTTCTGAGTTATCGACCCCACCGGTCTTCGATTGACGTTGCTCAGAAAAATCGGAGCGGGGCAGGCGATGTCGAATTCCATCGCCATGATTGGCCAATGCCGCTGGGTCCTGAAGATTGGATGGCACAGATGCCGTGCCGATGGTCGGGGACAGGACGGGATCCAGATCTCGAATTTGTGATCCGTTGACTCAGCTAGGGTCTGGATGACTTCAAGGTACCAAAGCGACTGCTGGATATAAGGCGACTTCATATCCCGACATACGTTGGACAAATCAGCAATTCCGATCGCATCAAACCACAATGTCCCCCTTCAACCTCGAAAAGTGTGCCCGCCCGAATATTCTGGCCCTCGAGCCTTATCGGTGCGCAAGAGAGTAAAGTCGCACCCCTCCAAACTCACTCTGCGCTTGCATGAGTCTCCTGAACATGAGGCTGATACCCCTGGCAGCGACTACAAGGATGACGGAACCAACGTCCTTCTCGACGCAAACGAGAACGCCTACGGCCCGTCGCTGGAGCCCAGCTTCGAGGCTGGAAACCTGGGCATCGACTTCCTGGGCCTGAACCGCTACCCGGACCCTCACCAGCCGGAGCTCAAGCAGCTGCTCTGCAACCTCCGCAACACCCACACCCACACGACCAAGGACCTCGGCCCCGAGAACGTCTTCGTCGGCGTCGGTAGCGACGAGGCCATCGACGCCCTGCTGAGATGCTTCTGTGCCCCTGGCAAGGACCGCATCCTCACCTGCCCCCCGACCTACGGCATGTACTCCGTCTCGGCCCAGATCAACGACGTGAGCATCGTCAAGGTCCCTCTTAAGCCCGCTCCCGAGTTCGCCATGGACACGGACGCCATCCTCGACACCCTGAGCAAGGAAGAGAACATCAAGCTTGTCTACCTCTGCACGCCGGGCAACCCCACCGGTTCGGTCTTATCCAAGGACGACATTCGCAGAGTGATGGAGCACCCGACATGGAACGGTGTCGTCGTGCTCGACGAGGCCTACATCGACTTCGCCCCCGAAGGCAGCTCGCTGGCCGAATGGGTCCTCGAGTGGCCCAACCTGGTCGTCATGCAGACCCTCTCCAAGGCCTTCGGCATGGCCGGCATCCGCCTTGGTGCCGCCTTCACCTCGCCGCCGATCGCGCGCCTCCTGAACGCCATGAAGGCGCCGTACAACATCTCGAGCCCCACGAGCGCGCTCGCGTGCTACGCCGTCTCCGACAAGGGCCTGGCCGTCATGCGGGACAACCGCGCCAAGATCCTCACGCAGCGGGACCGCATCATCGCGGAGCTGCCCAAGGTTCCGGGCGTCGGCAGGCTGAGGGGCGGCACGGAGAGCAACTTCTTGCTCTACGAGATGCTGAACGTGGAGGGCAAGCCGGATAACGTCACGGCGCTGGCGGTGTACGAGCGGCTGGCCGAGAACAAGGGCGTCGTCGTGAGGTTCCGCGGTAAGGAGCACGGCTGCTTGGGGTGCCTACGCATCACGGTCGGTACGGAGGAGGAGGTTACACGATTCCTTGCTTCTATTGAAAAGACGCTGGCGGAGGTCCGTGGTGTCGGTAGGCAGCCGGACGAGGAGAAGAAGGAGCAGGCGGCGAACGGGGTGGTTGCTTGAGCCACGATTTACGACGACAATGCATTCATAGACGATAGAAAATTCAAGACACATTTCAGGATAGGAGCTGTTTCTTTTGGATTGCTCGGGTTTCAGGGAACGGTGCCCACTGAGGACGTCGAAGTCACGGCGGTTGCTTGCGATATTTCTTTGGGGTACCGATCCTTGAAGACACCGTATGTATGGTCACCAGATTCGCTCTTCCTGTATATGCCATCACTGACGTTCAGGATATGAATCTTTGCTTTGTGGCTATCTCATCTCCCGCAGTCATGTTCGTCGTCTGGCCCCCACTTGGATACGTGCGGCCGACAGTACGTTTCTGGAGTAAGACAATGGCCAATTCAACATCAGCTATTCCACTATCGGTTTGATCTGAAAGCTTGCGTTTCATGCCCGTTATATGCCTAGATCAAACTTCAGCCAACGACGCCCGCCAGATAACACATGCGAACCGGGCCTGCTAGCTGAGGTCACGGTCATCAGGTGCCTTTGATGCATCGAAACTAGTCGACAAGTTTCGCACCAGCTTTGAACACAGGGTATGGATCAACAGCAAATGAACAAATTTCTGCCGGACGCTGCCTCCCTAGGCCCCTTCACGTCAAAGTGCCCGTCAGGCAACTTTGACGACAAATTATTTCTTTACAGAATAGAGATAGGTGAGGACCATTTTACATCTAACACCGCTAATGAATGCAAGCGGCGTTGAGAACAGTAATCAAACAGACGCACACGTATTAGACGGAACAAGCCAAAATAGAAGACTTCAATATAGGCCATTTTGAGAATGGCGGGCCTCAAAATGGCGGACAGGGCACACTCGAAGTTTAGCTAGTCCTCAATCTACGTCTGGTCCTTTCAATATGTCTGTGACAAGACGGCTCTGGTGTTGAGTGACCGTTCATGTCCAAAGGCTCCAAAATACATGATGAAACTGGTTGAATCCCGGATTAAGCGCTTTCCATGCTTTGACCTCGTCAAAACTGGACGACGTTACCAGTTTTGCCTCAACTACAGCCAGTACCCAAACACCCAGGCCAATTATAGTTTCCAGTCCTATTGCTACAGCAACAGGCTTCCATTTGTTTACCAAATGACCTCCTTCCCATAATGCTGTTTCCTCGTCTGACTGATTTCCGCATTTGATCTGAAGAAGCGGCGCACCGAAAAGTATGAACGGTATGACGACAAGTAGCATCCGATACAGCCAGGTGAACAGAGAAGTTACAGTGGCGTGTTCTATGAAAGAACTTCCACAAGAGAAGAGAAGAATCAAGAAGATTACCGAGTGAATCATGATGGCGTTGGAAGCATCGAACATCCAGGCGTTTGAGGTGTGTATGATTGGGCAATAGGTACTGTCCACGTCTGAGGCAAATTCGCTGATCATCCACTCCTGCAGCTCAAGGTTGCTTGAATCCGGATGGCTATCTTTCCCGTCATCGTCTTCGTTTCCAAAGGCGTCATCGTAAAATTGTAGTGCTATCGCCGGGCTATTACTGGCATCTCGTCGATTGCCAGTGTCTCCAATCATCCAGTCGTAAGGCTGAATCATGATAACCAATGTTGCAATCATTACACCTGTGCCACATACAGCATAGACACCAGTTAAATGATCGAGAATCAGATTTCCACTGTCAAGCATTGTAGCCCTTTGGCCGTATATTATGCTTGCCGCGATTCCCTGGTAGACGCCTAGCAACAGCATCAAAATACGCGCCACGAACAGCACACGGCTGAAAGAGCCGGTTTTGTATTTGTTGCATCGAGAGACGTGTGAGGGTATCATAAGCGATAATTTGAGAGAGCTGGTTGGCGGCTCGCGCTCATCGCACTGGATACAGTGAACATCCAAGGCGCCGGCGACATAAAACCAACGTCCTTCTTCACTCTCCATCCTGTCGAAGGTACTTCTTGATTCGCACTGATGATAAAGAAGGAGCAAGTTCAAAGAGATTTGACAAAAGTAGAGCGCCGGAAAAAACGAAAATAGGAGCGGCATTATATAGTTCTGGCGATATGAAGCGGGTCTGCCAACGACAATGCCTAAATGGCAGTAGGCTAGAACAGCAAATAGCCAGGCGTGCGTAAAAGATGAAATAACATTTTTCATGTCCCTTTCATCGTCCATGCTGAAAGTTGTTTGTAGTGATAGTCGTTTGAATCGGTTTCACGAGATCACCTATAGATAGGCCATATGTGTACGTTAGGCCTCGCATGCGGATTTATACGGAGAATCAGAAGTAATTAAGGCACCCAGAACAGCAGCGGACCCGAATTTTGGTTGATATGGGCGAAAGGTATGACAACCGGCTTATCGACGCCTTCAGCCCACAAGTCTGCCTTGAACCAAATCGCAAATTGCCATTGGCTGGGTCTTCCACTGTTGGTAAGCGGCATGCAGTACGATGCAGCTGGCGTTACTTCGCTAGCCCGAATGTCCGCCCAGGCAGGAGGACCCTAACGCCCGCAGTCATACTTATTGAGCGTGGTACATAACGGAGTTTCTCGGCCTGCTCTCTACACCCCATTAGAATGCCTCGTCACCGAGGCCTTCGAACAGCTCGGCTGTTCTCTTCGAACTATTTCTGCGGGGGCCAATGTCGAGCGCGTATCCTATCTCCCTCAATATGAGCGCTTGATGGAATGGGCGTACGGTTTCCTCGAGACGGACGGCTGGTAGGTAGGTAGGAAGAAACAACTCTTTTTATTCTTAAATATGCTGCCATTTGACTAATCACAAGGCACTGGTAGCGTCTACAAGCATACTAAAAAAAAGTTGTTGGCGGTAATTGAGCCAGGAGTGAAATCCCAACAGCGCTGATGGAATCGAACTCATCCCAACCGGTCTCGGCTTAAGGGGTCCATGGCGGGGACAGGGAAGGCACCAGAAAAATAGGTAGTTGAACGTTGTTGCGGGGGGCTGTAGCGCCTGGGCGGAATAAACCACTTCATTCTTCCCATCTCGCGACATCGAGGCATTTCATGACCGTGGATCCTTCCATCAACGTCTTGCCTGTCTCTGACGCTTTGTCGACTCGATTGGAAGCAAACCGACTCGAACCGCTACATGCCTTACTTAACATGACGAACCAAGATATGTCGCACGGCATCACCACGTTTCGAGTGTCCCGGCCCCATCGGATCGCCCGCAACCGACCAACCGTTTCTTGCTCCTCCTGTCGAGCTCGGAAGTTGAAATGCGATAGGCAGCAGCCTTGCGGCGCATGCCAGAAACGAGGCAACGAGGACTCATGTCGCTTCGAGCCTGCCCCAAAGCAGCAGCTCACCTCTTCTTCCATCGGCGGCAGTCAGAATCGAATCAGAATCGAGCTGAGGCAGATGGAACATGTGCTTCAAGGTCTTCTCAACCAATCTGGTCAAACCCAAGCCCAAAGCCAAGTGGAGATTCCTTGCCGTCAGTTGATAGAGAGTATCAATCGCATTCAGAAGACGTTGGAAGACGACGGCCGCCCCAGAGCCCCAACTACTGCCCTGGACGAACAACATACTCCGGACCTGGTGTTTGCATCCTTTAGTAAAGCTACTCTGAGAGATATCATGGAAGCCTTGCCGTCCCGTCAAGTTGTCGACAGAACGATATCTGCCTACTTCAACGCCAAGCATGCGACCGTTTCTTTCATCCACACGCATCAATTCAGAAGACAATATGAAGCCTTTTGGAGTGAACCCGCCGCTGTGAACCTCCTGTGGGTCAGCATACTCTTCTCAGGTCTGGCCATTGGGGCTGTCGTCCTAGGTGCAAAGGCAGCATCTACCTCTAATCTACATCACCCTTCGGCCTACGTTACCATGTCAGCACGGTGTCTCGTCGCAGGCCAGTACCAGAAAGCTGGGGAGTTCTCGGTTGAAGCCTTGGTCATGCATCTTCACGCGCGGTCTTTCCAAAGGAGCAACAAAGACGCCGACAAGTCTCAACTGCAAGCATTGGCTCTCCGATTGGCACAACGGCGATGCTATCACCGAGACGTAGACGAGCTACTACTGACTGTCACGCCTTTCGAAGCAGAGATGAGACGCCGCGTGTGGTATGTGATCCAATACTACGATGTGCTGTTCTCCCTCGAGCAGGGGCTGCCACCACTTATTCACGAGGATACATTTTCTACCCGTCATCCGACAAATATCACCGACGATGACTTTGACGAATATGTCGACTACTTGACGCCTCGACCGATAGAAGAAGCTCAGCCCACGCTCTTCTGTGTCTATGTCTCTCATCTACTACCGATACTACGACACATAGTCCGCCATGCTCTGGGTTTCAAGACATGCACCTACTCAGACGCCATGTCTCTCGAAGCCGAACTGAAGACGTGGTACATATCGATCCCGCCTTGCTTGCGCATACGCGCCATCAAAGACACTTCGTTCACGGACCCGAACCACACTGTCATGCAACGTATCATGCTCGAACTCATCTATATCATGGGGACCGTCCTCTTGTACCGCCCGTTCCTCGACCTGATGAATTTGAAGAACCACGAGTGCCAAGTGGCGCTCAACGTCTGTCGGAGGCTGGCTGTGAGATCTGTCGGGGTCTATGTCGAAGTTGGTCGTGAGATGCAGGAAGGCGGAAGACTACACGAGGATCAGCCCATCGCCTCGGGCTTGTCGGTGAATGACTTCTTGATAACGACGATAGTGGCACCCCTCGAGTTCTTCGACTGTCCAGATCTACCGTAGGTGAAACACCCGTAAGGCTTGTTGCAAGTGGTTGGAATACTGAACTTTTCAAAGGCCTGGTGAAGAAGCTTACATTATCAACCTGCTTCAAACAGCAACGCAGCTGTGGGCCAAGAGATCAGTTACGTCTCCTCACGCGCGTGAAAGCACGAGACTGCTCCGGCTCATTGCAGCAAAGGTTCAAACGGGAAGCCAAAGACGACGCCAAGTCCCGTATTCGGTTTCAAGCTCGTCCATCGCTGCCGAAACAGAAACAGAGCAATATGGGCATTTGGCGCTGCAGTATTACTCCAACGGCGGGGGAGGATCTGCAGAATCGGACGTTGCTTTCGAAGTCGGCCTCATCGACTGGAACAACGCCGCGGCAATCGACTGGGTCAGTTAGCAGCTCAGCCAACTACAAGAGGTATCGCTAACAGATCGACAGGACTCGGTCAATCTGTGTCTCGACTTTGAGACGGTCAATTAAGCGATGTCAAAGAATCCGTCCCTTGACACTCAGTAAAATAAGCCGCCTGAGGGGACGATGAAGAAGGAAAACGACACCTTAAAATGCTATGCATCCCTCGCAACAGCACTGCGTTTGAGACCTGCCTAGACGCAACGGCAACGGGTGGTAGGCCCCACTTCACCGGCCCCGACTAACTGCGGGCCTCGGACATGGCGGATCTAATTATTGCCTAAATAGGCAATGCACACACCCGACCAACTTACTGATGCACCACATACGGGCACAAGAACTGATGCTCGGGACATAATGATGCAGATGAATGAGCTGATTTGGGTGTTGAACATATCGATGTGACTTTTTTGCAGTCCAAAAGTTCAGTATAAAGAAGCTGCTGGCAAGTCTCAGGAACCCGTGTCCTCAGCAGCTTGTCCTCAGCAGATACTGAATCCCGCCTCTACGCCTAGGTACATCATCACCATCTTTCACAATGCCAGACCTAACCATCCCCGAAACTACTACTGCGCTCGTTCTCCCCGCTTTCAACGAGCCACTCAATTTGGAAAAGACCCCAACACCAAAGACTACACCGGTCGGGTCGGTCCTGGTCCGCGTCTTGAGCACTGCCGTCCGGCCACACAACCGTGCCGGCTTTTCGGGAAAAAGTCCTCTCTCCCTCCCCGTCCCGTACAGCCCGGGGGAAAGCGGCGTCGGACGCGTCATCGCCGTCGGACCCGATGCCGTAGCCATCAAGCCGGGCCAGCTAGTGTATCTCAACGGCTTTTTCCTCGCACGAGACGACCCGGAGGGCACCCGAGTTCTCACCGGCCTTCATGACGGCTTTGGCGAACCAGGCCACGCCAAGCTGTTCAAGCAGCTGGGCGGGCTTTGGAGAAACGTGGCCACAATCCCGCTGGAGAACGCCATCCCCCTCAACGAGAAGCTTCTGGTTGATGAGCTGGGCTACTCTTTCGGAGATCTCAACTACATCCACCGCCTTTGTGTTGCCTACGGCGGTATCAGCGCTGCCGATCTCCGCGCCGGGGAGACCGTCATCGTGGCGCCGGCCACCGGTCACTTTTCCGGTGCCGTCGCCGAGACTGCCGCCCAGATCGGCTGCAAGGTCATCGCGCTCTCGCGATCGGCCTCCAAGCTGGAGCCGCTCACGAGTCGCCATCCCCGCATCGCCGCCCTTGAACTCAGCGGCGACGAAAAGAAGGATGTCGCGGCCATCCGGACGCTTGCTCCCGGCGGCGCGGATGCCTACATCGACGTTTCGCCGCCTCCCGCCACGGCTTCGCCCCATCACCTGACGGTATCCCTCGCCTCTCTCCGCCCGTTCAGCTGCGCCGTTTTCCTGGGCATGATGTTCGACGTCAAGGTCAACTATATGAGTCTGATGGCTCGCAACATTACCATCAAGGGACAGCACATGTATACTCGCCCGGAGCTGGTCTCTCTGATCAAGATGGTCGAGACTGGAGTCATCAAGCTGGGCAAAGATGCTGGACATAAGATTGTTGACAGGGGGTTTTCACTGGAGGAATGGGAGGAAGCTATCACCGTTGCGGAGAAGGCTACGAGCTGGGGACAGCAAGTGGTGATCTACCCCTAGGAATATTACACAGCAGAGGTAACACGTTAAGCGTCAATATAATATCTCGATTGCGAATACTGTTCAAGATTTTAAAACGGTTATGTATTGCCAATGAGGTCATACAGCATTTTCTTACTCTCTCACATCTTCAAATGCACCTGTATTCACAGCTCAGGTGATCCGAAGGGATCCGTGGATATCAGACCAAGAACCCTGCACCGGCAACGCAGCCGAGAGGGGCTTAATTTCGCCCAGGTACAACCTGTCATCCGAATGGCTTTTATGTGCCATGTTTTCTCCTTCTTCAATTGATACATCCCAAGTTCCAACACACACCCCGTCCCAACATCAGCACCAAAACGTCGACGGATGTATTCGATACCCCACCATGCTGCGAACAGCGAGAACCGCCCTGGCAGCTTCGCCGCTGCTACGAAGGTGGGCCACTTGTTCTCATTTTCAACCTTTGACTTGCCCACGAATGTTCTCCTTCTCTGCAATCAGGACAATGGACGAGCGATACAGAGAGGACCTCGCAGTTTACAGCGGGACTGCCTTGCGGGAAAACCAACCAGGGCGCGGCGATCACGACGACCTCCTCGTCCACGGGATCCGACATTCCAAAGGCTTCGCCATGTCCTCAGAAGTCACCAATGTCTGCTCGAAGAGCGATCGGTATGCCAGGGCTCGCAACGCCCGTCTCATCATGAGCAACATCGTTCCAGACATGACTTCCCAGGCAGTGAAGCCCTACTGCATTTGGTATCCCGACGTTGCCACCGAGGACACCTATCGCGAGCCTGTCCGCCGCTACCCAGAGATGCGATATCAGGCCGGCCGAGCCTGTGCCGTCGCAGGATACAAAAAGCTGTACGACGAACTCGACCTGCTGCCGGATATCTCAATTGCCGAGGATGCCCGGGACAATGGCCACACCGACATCTTTGAGGCTATTGTTGGTCAACACGTGCGATATGCTGTCATGGACGACTACACCCGATCCGTTGACCTACAGAACCCGCGACCGGGAGCTTATCTTAACGGAGACACCGCTGTCCGATCTTCTTTACAACCACATACAACCGCTGAAGAGATAGAAGCTGCCTCTGAGAAGGAGTTCGCATTACGATGTTGGCCCGACCACTACTTTGATATTCAAGAAGACGCCAATGCTGGTCCCTATAAGTGGCCACTGCCTGGATGCGCCGACTTACAAGACGGGGACATCGACCTGCTTCACAAGCCCCTCCCAAGAGACTTACCGCCCCTCAACAAAGACATTTTGGTCCTCATGGCCGCCTGGGACGGCAACATCGACCGCTACGCTCGCCTACGACGCCCAGTCACCATCCCCAATGAGGTCTCAGCTGTTGTGCGCGGGGCCTACCATCACACGCCATTTGCGAGGTGGCTCGAAACATGCGTCGACGAAATTTTCTCCTGCGACTCCGACAACAGCCTCGTGCGTCAAGCATGCCTCGCGAGATTCATCATGGACGACGATCTCTCCCGTATCGACAGTGAGGTCAGAGGCGAAGACCTTCCCGAATTCTTCTGGTGGCCTCACTTTCCACATGAGGAGACCCTGCGCGAGCTAGCGTGGCGCCGACCTGACTTAGAACACCAAGTCACGCTCGCCTGCGTTGTCGGGAACTACCGAGCTCTTTTCCTCCAAATTTCTGACCGTATGAAACCGACGCAGCAACAATGGGAAGCTGCGATTCTGTCTCCAAACCACTTCTACCGGGAGCATCTCGAGCACCGTGCCAAAGAAGAGGGGGTCGAGTTGCATCGGGGTATTGATTTCAACATGCGGCACGGTCAACCGTGGCCCCATGAGTCCGTCTGGAGCAAAGACTACCTGCGACCGAACAAGGAGTTATATAGAGGCGACTATGCGTTGACGATGTCGGTTGAGCTCGTCAATACGCCCGATGACCACAGCGAGGACTGGGAAGAAGACTGGAGCCCACCCGAGGGAAATCTTCTCAACTATCACATGCACCTGCAGATGGGCGCCTGGCAGCGACTGATCAGTGCCACTGATAGAAGGAGGCAAGAAGCGAAAGCCAAAGGGGAAATTCGTCTGTATACAACGGAGGAGGATCGGAAACGCCGAACACGACCACCTCCCCAGCCAAAGTTCCCGAAAACGTCGGTAATTCCTGGTTAGGTCTTGGACTCGACGCCACGTGAAGATCCTTTTTTTTTTTTTTTCACTCTTGGAGCAATGGTTTCCGATGGCATTATTTCTTCTTTCTCGTGCTCTTGCATAGAGCGTAAACGCACTATTAATCATATTCCTGCTGCATTACTCAAGGAAAGACGGACAAGCACCGCAACATTATCGAATCTACAGGAACGGGAGAATAGAACTATGGTAGCGAGAGGCTCCAGCAAGATTCTGCTGTACGATTAGCATGGTGGGGACATGGAGTGACGGCAGGGGATCATGGGCGTTCAGGGATTATGTATTGTTGGATAGCCAACGCATGACAACGAATCAGTCTTTGAAAACAGCACTACTCTTCCTACCACGAGAGGGGCGTGGATGTTTAATGAGAGTGACGGGAGACTGTCTTTGTTGCAGGCTGTGAGATCGATGATAGCATCGCTGTTTGGCTCAGAGTTGATCACTTGACTCTTGATAGTGATAACTATGGTATGCTAAGGAAGGGGTTGAGTAACAAAGAAACAATTCGGAAAACATGTTGGTAGCAGCATGAATCTTTAGAGCCAAGAATCGACCCATAAAAGAGGACGATGTCAACAACTAGAACCACCATAACAAGACGCAGAGAAAATCCCTTATCCTCAGTCGACTCTCATAGCTTCGTGACGATGTGGCGCTCGGGGAATTGCGGGGGTTTGCTTTCGTGTTTTGCCTTTATCTCCATCAATTTCCCGGGGAGCAAGGACGTAGACCGAAGATGCCACGGCGGTTGATCAACATTTTCCATCGGGATGCTTGCCCCTATCTTCCAAGCGACACTCGGTGTCATCGATATGTGCTATGATTTCTCACATCCATCTGAACACGAAAATTGTGCCTCGACCAATCAGACTACCTTGGTCAGCGCTTAAGTTAACAAATATGGCAAGTCTATCGCAGTGCGAACTCGGACTCCATACACTTCGCCCCGTCGTGGTCAAATGGATATCACACCTCGGTGAATTGTGGGGTCTTGCCTTTTTATCTTGCCTCTGCCTCTGCTAATCTCTCGGGGAAAACATTGACGATGAAATCTCCGAGTCCGTCTTTCACTCGCAGACGGGCTTCGACGTAGAATCCTAATTGTAGAGGGTGTTATATACATGTTGCACTGAGAGTTCCATCGAAATCCTGATAATTCGGATTATTGATCATGGCACGGAGTACATTTGGACTTTACTCTAGTAACTATAAGTGTAGGCATTCAAACCTCCTTCCAGTACATGGCCGTTCCAGTACACTAGTGTTACCAGTAACTTTGTTCTCTTGAACACGCAACATTGTAACCATGGCCTTTCTAAACCTCGATTTCTTGGGGCATGGACCCCAACTCCTCCTCATTTCGATGCTATCGGTTGTTTTCTACGCCCTTTATTACTACTTTCTTCCGAAACCCATTCCTGAAATTCCCTACAATGAAGAGTCTAGGCGAAGCTTCTTTGGCGACATTCCCAAGTTGCGGAAGGAATTGCCCCATTCAGCGTTTGCCTGGATGTCCAAGCAGGGTCATGGAAGCGGAAGCCCTCTCTTCCAAGTTTGGCTCGGGCCTTTCGCGAAGCCGACTGTCATCCTCTCAGACTTTCGGGAGGGCCAGGACATCATGATGCGCCGCAAGGAATTCGATCGTTCTGATGCCTTCGCTCACAATGTCGGGGGCGAGGCAGGAACATTCCATGTCACTCTGAAAACAGGATCTGAATGGAAAGCTCACCGCCGCCTACTGCAGGACTTGATGACACCGGCTTTTCTAAACGGCGTTGCGGCCCCTCAAATCTACAAGAGTTGCCAATGTCTATTGGAGCTCTGGACCAAGAAGGCGGAAATCGCCGACGGGAAGGCATTCAACGCAGAGCATGATGTTTTCCACGCTGCACTAGACGCCGTGCTCGACTTCGGCTACGGAGGTGCGGCCAAGATCAGGGCTCTTCCACCCCAGATTGAGACGATCGACTCGCTATCCGACCGAGACATCCAACAGCTGAGGAGCGCGTCGGCTGCGGCCATCGACTTTCCCGTTACACCCGATCATCCAGTCATCAAGGCGTGTATTCAAGCAGCAGAGAACGTCGCTGGGGTCGGCGCGACCGGTTTTCCCAGGCTGGCGTGGTGGGTGATCGGCTGGAAGCCCAGCATTCGAAGCGGGAGGGAGGCAAGAAGGAAGTTCCTGGACGACCAGATCTTTCAGGCAATCAACAGATACAAAGCCGGCGAAAAAGACCAGACCGACAAGTCCATCAAGTGCGCAATCGATTTGATGGTCCAGAGGGAAGACATGGCTGCCCAGAAGCAGGGAAAGCGTGCGTCCAATTGGCTTCAAACAATGCGAGACGAAGTAAGTGTCATCATTCCACATTGCCCGTATTGGTAATATCGTGCTGATAGTACCCGTCACAAGAGCTTAGGCTTCCTGATAGCTGGCCACGACACTACAAGCACGACGTTTTGTTGGGGACTCAAGTTCCTTGCAGACGACTATGCTGTCCAGCAAAAGCTCTTTGAAAGTCTCCGCGCCGCCTTCCCGGCGGCCGTCGAAGAGAAACGCCTCCCCACCGACCGCGAAATCACTAATGCAAGAGTCCCTTACTTGGAAGCCGTCATCGAGGAGATGCTCCGACTTGCCCATACTGCACCCATCCAGGACCGCCAGGCCACCGAGGACACCATACTCTTGGGACATCGCATCCCCAAAGGAACAAACGTCATCATTCCTAATATGGGTCCCAGCTTCACAGAGCCCGCCCTTCACATCGATGAGCATTTGCGTAGCCCATCCTCCCAAGCCGCGGCCAAGGAGCATGGTGTACGAGTTTGGGCGGAGAAGGACATGCACAAGTACAACCCTGATCGATGGATTACGCCGGACGAAAAGGGCATCGACGAATTCAATGCAGCTGCTGGTCCGACGTCGCCCTTTGGACTTGGCCTTCGAGGATGTTTCGGGCGGAAATTGTCTTATATGGAGCTCAGACTGTTGACGACCCTACTGGTTTGGAACTTTGAGCTGCAGCAGTGCCCTGCCAGTCTCTCAAGCTACGATTCCACCGAGGCATTGACGCGAAAGCCTGTTCAGTGCTACTTGAAGCTGAAGCGCCGGGAGATGTAGCAGAAAGAGGCGGCCATAGGGTTCAGTTAGGGTCACCCTGACGGATGGATCATTTGCAGCGGTTGAGACGGCTTTCGAGCGTAATGTAAAGTTAGATGCAGCTGTCTGGGGTCGAGTCAAAGAAACACCTTTGAAAATATGTTGGCAGCAGCCCGAAACTCCAGAGCAAAGGATCGACCCATGTAACATGGGCTATTCCTGGACCAACAAATCGCGCTGGCTATTGCGTCTGATAGGTATAACAAAGGTGATCAATCTGATAAACGCGACTCGTTGCCCAGGACAAACCGAGTGTTTCCTCCTTCATCAGAATCCCAACCGTAAGGTCCAACAGAAGCAAATCTCAGTGACCTAGTATCGTCTTGCTAGAATGATGGAGCCACTTTCTGGCGAATCTCCAGAAGAGAGCATCAGTAGTATCGACCCGAAGATCTTGGCTGGTCAGTAATACTATTTTTGCTAGCTTTTGAGCACCCGACCCATATTGACACGCTCGTCAGCTTTGCCCGATGTCGAGGGACTGTTGGACGTAAGATATCTCGGCGAATCTGCCTGGGCCAAGACATTTTGCATCACGGTCCGTCACACAAACGGGAGCGATGAAAACTACTTCACGAAGGTGGGAAATACTTAAGGAACTATCTCTCTTCAAATATCGGGAGACGCTCATCGACATTAGGTGTCTGTCGGGGACCATGGAAGAGAGGCGTTGAAGGGCGAGTTTGCCTCGACATCGGCCATATTCTCCTTCACTCCCACCTTTTGCCCGAGACCGATCGCCTGCGGAACGTTCGAGACTGACTCAAACTCGCACTTTTACATCTGCAAGTTCTACAACTTCACCGAGGGTCCGCCTAGCCCCGAATCTTTCTGCAAAAACTTAGCTCGACTTCACTCCAGCCCGTCACCCAACGATAAGTTCGGGTTTGATTGCGTAACTTACAACGGCAACATGCCCCAAGATAATGCGTGGCGCGACAGCTGGGAGGAGTTCTTTGCCCATGGCTTACGCCATGTCTTGAAGGTGAGGGAGGAGAGATCCGGGCATAGCCCGGAGCTCGAAGCACTCCTGCCACCGCTTTTTGAAAAGGTTATTCCTAGGCTCCTGAGGCCTTTGGAGAGCGATGGGCGTAAAGTGAAGCCATCTTTTGTTCATGGCGATCTGTGGTATGGGAACACCAGCATCTACGACGAGAGCACGGGGGAGGGCCTCATGTACGACCCTGCAAGCTTTTGGGCGCACAACGAATGTAAGTACGATTTGCCTTTCGGCTCAAACGTTCAAACTCAAACTGACAGAATTCTTGTTGTATGAAGATGAGCTAGGAAACTGGCGCTCGGCGAGAAACGGATTCACCCGCCGCTTTTTCGAAGCCTACCATTCTCACATTCCGAAATCCGAGCCTGTTGAAGACTACGATGACCGAAATGCTCTCTATGCACTGTATGGAACTTTCAATATTAATCTGTAATATCGCACTTATTAACACTCACGCAGGAGATTCGCTTTGCACACCACGTGTCTTTTCCCCGACAAGCCAGAGTTGCTAGAAGGGTAACTGAACATCTCAATCTGCATTAAAAGACAAGAAGTAATACGTCATCAGGGCCATACAAGACATCAAAGACTTGAATGCGAAGTTTCCCAACGGCCTGGAAGTTTGAGAAGGAAAACTCTTTCCTCCTCTGGTGCCTCTGACCTGGAGAAGTGAGAGACAGCAGAGACCCCAGGCATGGCTGGGCTTGGCCAGCAAAGCCGGATGATCATGGCTTCGGTGCTTTTGCTGAAAGAATCTCAGGCTTGGTCTTTATGATTGCAGTCGTTTGTATGTACGGTTGTTGAGTCTATTTGAATTTGAATGAGTGCAACCGCGAATCGTTTTTTGCCCCACCATCGGAAGAGCAGCACGTAGAGGCCGGGGTCATCAACCCATGACTCCGTGAATGGATGTAGGCGCAAGTGTAGCCCAACTCGCAGATTATTATGAGCAAGCTTACCGACCGCTTGGTTATCAGTGAACGTGATACAAGAGGGCTTTGGGTTCGGTCGTCTGGAAGTGTTTTGGCCTCCAGGATCACTGAGTCCATCTTGTCACAGCCAACACAAACAGCACCGCTTCAAGATGACCCATCTAAGCATTGCCCCGTGGGCCAGATACGGCGCCATCGCCGGCGACGGCCCCCAATATCAGTAGCGACGCATACGTTTTTCTGTCAATATCCCGACCGCCCAAGAACCCGGAGTCGTTGGTGATCGTGTCAGGAGACATGGTATGTAAGTTTGATTAGGCCAACTTCGCTAAGCTGACTGAGTAAATCAGCATAACTCTCCAAAGTAACGATGCCGAAGCTAAGAAATTCTGAACTTTGTCATGCCATGTCGGCTACTCTTCTTCTGGGCCTCCCAAGGTGCGCGCGTGGCCGGCAGCAGCTTTCCATCCGCCTTCGAGCCGAGCAGGGACTGCTGCAGTCGAGCCATATATTCAAGTCATTAGTCCTATGATCCGAAAGGTCGTGCGCGTTGTGGGAGGTTCGAGACTAGTATTCCTGAATGCAAATCTCTGAATCTGCAGAACGAACTGACAGTTAGCTACCGAATCCACTGCTGGAACAACATCCCGACTAGCTGGTCAATACAGGAGTTCGAGTCTATGGTCATCGGCATCGCTAAGAATAAACACGAAGTAGAGTGACATGGCTTAAAGGCGGCGTGGAGCTTTCTGAACGAGTGGCTATTGATATCGGGACCAAGAGGGGCATTGTAAGATAGCATGACAGTGGAGGATCACCAGAAGTAATGACAAGCGTATCACAGCATGGAGCCTGGTGTCGGGAAGGGAAGTATGAACCGCTATGTCTCAAAGTGGTGAGAAGGCGTAAGTTTATGGCGTAGTCTCCGAATCTCCTGTGGATTCCCGGCGTTTGCACGGAGACAGCGGGGCCGGGCTCGGACATGTCGCCCGATGTCTCGGTGTACTGCAGCGGAGAGAGCTTTTTGCTGCGTCATTGAACTGTGAATAGTCACCATCAAGTGTCCAGAATCTTCTTAGAACCTACTTCTAAATAACCGTTCGTCCCAAAATTGCGTTTCCCTGGTACCATGTCCAGCACATCAGGGATGCAGAACCCGGCTCCTCAATGGGCCAGGCTCAGACAGACTCGAAGACCGCCCGGTTAGCGACAAAACCATGCGACGAGAAGCACAAGTCTCTCAGGTGTTGCTGCTGATAACATCCGTAACTCAGCAACAGGTCGTCATCACCGGAGGCCCCTTTTTGGCATCACCAAGCCACAAGATCCGCAGTATTAACTCGGATTGAGGGTAGCATACTATGTTATGCGCAATAAGAGGAAGCTAAAATTGGTGCGCCGCTGTTTCAAATGTCGAGTCGAAAGCAACGGTAACCCGAGCTAGCGGCTCTCAAGTAGATCATCCCTAAAACAAGCATCCAATCAGTGGGCCAACGTCGCTCATTGACACCTGGACAGGCCTGTCGGACGAGCCGATCTTCCATGGGGTTGCTGGCAAGTCAAGGCTTGTCCACCACTCAACTTCCCCGGCGCATCCACGAATGGCCCCGTTCAACGCAGAGTGTCCTTCACAGAAGGTGACATGCACCCTCTTTGGGCGGCTCTAGACTGAAGTCCTGCCGCCCTGTTGCTCCTTTCAGCCATTGAAGGCGCGTGTTCCTGACTAGCGCTACTTCTCCGCTGGTCAGCGTCGAATGTTCTCAAAACATGCCGGTCCTTTTCTCGAGGGGAGCTTCCCTTCTTGGCCAACCGTCAGTAACAGGAAAGAGAAACAGCCAAACAAGGTGAGAGCTGTCATGGGAAAGCAGGGTATCTGGCCAGGGTTGATTGAAGGAAGGGACCGAGTCGACAGGAAACCCCTGCCTCAGTCGTGAAGCTGACTACTGCGAACATCGTCCCTGCTGTCCATCGGGAGCGCCAATGCGGGGAGCGCAAGTGCCTCCCCAGAACCCCTCTTAGCCCCTGGTCCGGACGTTCTTGACTTAAGTTGGCCGGTTCCCCGTCAAAAGACTCTGTTTCTCTCGTCAAAGGCAATTGTTGCTCTTTGCGTTCTTTCCCGAGGTGTTTGTGTTTGTCATTATCGGCAGCTACATTGCGTACCCGCTGTCATCGTTCTCGCTCGTTTTGACAACTGGCCGCCCACTTACACGCACCGCCGGCCGTTCATTCTTTCTGCAACTGGTTGACCATTGCTTGCTTCCTTGACATCGACGTCGCTGCCTTCCACAGTCTCTTCTTCAACCCTCTGCAACCAAGAGAGAAGCAGCTGCCAGTTCCATTATTGGAAGTTACCATCATCATTCCGTGCCGACGACTCCTATATCTACCCATTCCTTGTCGACACCCATCTGCATCTAACTTCTTCCACCCGACATCCAACATCCAGCAGTCATTCATCATTCTTTCAGCCAACAGTCGCCTCTTTTGCTTCACGACAGCTTGGGTTCTTCATCTTTACTCAGCCCAAGCCTTGCTCTCTCGTTCAAGCTACTGTCGTTGGATTGCGTTGCCCGCTTCATCTGTGTCGTCACCAGCATCGGATCTGACCAAACGACGTCGTCTCGTCAGTCGTAAGGGTCCAAACTTGACTTCAGACGGCCTCTGATCCACGTAAACCTCCAACGCATCATCGGCGTTGAGCTTTTGGACCTCTCGCCGGCAGCATGGTTTTCTTCAAGTCAGCTCTCGCTGCGTCTGCAGTGGCTGTTGCAATGGCAGCACCCTACGCCCAACCGTCTTCACTTGACGTCAACAATCCAGGTCAGTCTTGCTCCCTCATCGCCAGTCATCGCGTTACTGACCGGATCTGCAGACTCCATCAAGGCTGTCGCTAGCAGTCTCGCCCATGGAGCCATGTCGTACTACAATGGCAACGTCTCGAGTGACCCCAAGGTACGTTGGATCAATGTCGTCCCCGGGATGGCTTGGCAACCATTGACACAGCCCGCTGACATTCTCCAGATGGTCGGTGACCTGCCAGACCCTTACTACTGGTGGCAGGCCGGTGCCCTTTGGGGTGCCATGCTCGACTACTACCACTACACTGGCGACCCGAGCTACAACGAGGTCATCGCCCAAGCCCTCACCGCCAAGGTCAACACGGGTCCCAACTTTGACTTCATGCCCCCCGAGCACGCGTCCGAGGAAGGCAACGACGATCTCGGCTTCTGGGGGTTTGCCGTCATGGCTGCTGCCGAACGCAACTTTACTCAGCCAAACCCAGAAGCCCCGTCCTGGCTCCAGATGGGCATCAACATCTTTGAGTCGCTGACCTCACGCTGGAACACGACCAACTGCGGCGGTGGCCTGTTGTGGCAGATCTACGAGAGCAACCCCAATGGCCTCAACTACAAGAACTCGGTCAGCAACGGCGGCCTGTTCCAACTGGCTGCGAGATTGGGTCGTGCCACAGGAGAGCAGAAGTACCTTGACTGGGCGAACAAGGTCTGGGACTGGTCAGTCCAGGTTAGCTTCCTCGACGCCGACCTCAAGGTCTTTGACGGTGCCGATGCTCGCGACGAATGCACCAAGGTCAACCCTCTCTCCTTTACCTACTCCACAGGTATCTACCTGTATGGTGCCGCTGTCATGGCGAACCACACTGGCGACGCTGTCTGGCATGACCGCACTGCCAAGATGTTGAACACATCTCAGCACTTCTTCACTCCGTTCGACAACAGCACAAACATCATGTACGAGCCTGCTTGCGAGACCGTCGGCACGTGCAACACCGACATGAAGACATTCAAGGGATATCTCTCCCGTTTCATGTACAAGACGGCGCAGGATGTGCCTGAGCTCAAGTCTGAGGTCCTGAAGCTCATGAACCCCACTGCCAATGCTGCGGCCAGGGCGTGTGATGCCAGTGACAGCGGCGTCACCTGCGGTCAGAAGTGGTACACTGGCGGCAACGATCAGTCCGCGGGTCTCGGCCAGATGATGAGTGCCCTCGAGGCTGTTCAGGGCTTTGATGCCAAGACTCTGGAAACTGCATTGGGCGAGTAGCTCTCGTCTTGCAATTCCGATCGCGACGACGACGACAACAACAACAACAACATCACAGCCGAAGCGTTGATCGAGTTTTCTTCTAAGGACCATAAGAGCGAAGTGGAACAGCTCAACGGAACCATCTCAGCCGAGTTTCTTGGTCTGACCGGCAACATCAAGTGGGAGGCCACAGAGAACGAGACCGAGACTTCCGTAAGCAACCACACGTTCAAGATCAAGTTCGAGTATCAGGAATCGAACAAGCCATCAGCGGGTGAGGGCCGAATGTCGGGAAGCACTGCTGTCGCCGGTAACTTGGCAGTTCTTGCTCTGGTCTTCGGATCTCAGGTCCTCTTCTGGATGCCATGATGAGTACGCTTATCATTGGGGATGAACACAGGCGAGGCATGGCGCATGGCGTACAGGTGTTGCATGACTGGATGAAAAGGAAAATGGAGCATGGAGTATTGCTTAATGGGTAGCATTATTGAAATTGCCTAATGATCATGATAATCTCGACGTTGGCGCCTCGCTCTGCTATCGTGGTGACACTTTGTGCTTACGACAAGAGACTGACGGCGATGCATATGCAAACAGGTCGATTGATGTTTGAGACAAGTCCTTCCGATGATGTTCGTCCAAGGTTGGTTGTTTGTGTGCTGTCACATTGGTAGCGCAAGGATGAGGTCGCTTTCGTGCATGAAGAAATCAGGGGTTCGAGGGCTCTCGTCCCACTGCGGACGATAGGGTGGACAGAGGTGTGGAGCGGCGACACTGCCGATCACCTCATGATCACCGGCGAAGCTGTTCATTTCCATCGCCAGCTCACGTCGACCAGCCAAGACGGGTGGCCGTCGGAGAAGGACGTGTCTGTCTGGGCTGTGATTGAACGGCAGATGAGCGAGTGGTCACTAAGACAAGTCACAACTTGGCGAATCTCGATTTCCGGGTGACAAGATGGGGAGGGAGGTTGATACTTTCTCCTTCTCCCCTTAATTGTTGTTTCTGCCATTTATTTTAACGCTAAATTGTATGCCATGCCATTCGGAAGGCAGAAAAAGCAACTTGGTACAACGCCAGCCAATATGGGGGTATAACTCCAACGGGAGCACATTGTGAACAACAGACCGAGACCGCCTTAAAAAACAAGAACATTGTTTGTGTGGTGAGGAAAACGGAGGTGCAGGAGGGGATCGCTCCCAAGCGCTTCCGTCACCAGTATTTCGCTCCCAGGATAGTGATGAAAAGAATAAAACCCTGTGTCCCGCCCTGATCCTGACGCAAGTGCTTCTTCTTGTTTGTATGCTGTATTCTTCCTCTTTCGCCTTTTCCGACTTTCGTAGGTAGTGTGAGACGCGTACGATATTAAGGTATATGTATGCCCAATCGGGAGGGTCCCGTGGACTATGCGATCAAGCCGGCGACGAACATGGTGCATATTGACGCGGCTAGGGCGTGGCAGAGGCCGAGGCGCGATGCGGCGGAGCTGGGGTTCGTCTCGGCGGGCACGGAGGGTGTGGTGCCGGTGTAGAGGAAGTCGTCGTAGTTGCCGTCGGAGGGGGGCGTCGTGGGTGTGGCGTCGTCCGTCTGCTGGGGCTTGTCGGCGATTGTGAGAACGCCCCATTGGACCTCGGAGCCCGTGAGTGACGAGGTCCAGGAGACCTCGGTCGGGCCGGTGTACATGCCGTTCGAGTAGCCCTTTTTCAGGCTCGAGTAGCCGGAGCAGGTCGCCGCCGTTGTGCCGCCTAGTGTGCAGCCGAGGTCTGCGATGCTTTTTGGACGTTAGTTCAAAGCTGGCGCTGGAAGTAGAGAGAACAGGCTTACAGTGTTGACGTCTTTGTGCCGTGGAATTGGAGGGTTGATTGGCCCTCGACGAAGATGAAGGGGAACTCGAGGGCGAGGTCGCAGTTGGGAGGCGTCTGCGGCGCGCAGAAGATTGTGTATGTTGTTTCCTTGTCATTCTGCGAGCACGGTCAGATCCTCGAGCGGCACGGCATCATAGGTTTGGTTCATACACTTGCGAGTACGCTGCCCCGCACCAGCGACCAGCTCTTGGCATCGTAGTGCGGCAGGTAAATCGGGACGGTGGTGATGTCGTCGGCGAGGGTGGTCGCGGGGAGGAGACACAGCGAGAGCAGGGCGAGGAAGGGCTGCGGGTATCTCATGATGACGGTGACGGGGCGACGTGACGCGGATCACGGCGAGGGCGGAAGAAGGCGCAGGTTGGCGGAGGACGGGATCGGGTATCGAGGACGGCGGCGTTGACGTCAAAAAGGCTGCTGGATCTACCGTAGGCGGCTCATCGGAGGCGGACTACCTGGACGACGCAGGGTCCCGCGAACCAGCCGGACGGGGGGTGCGAGAAGTCGAATTGGACGGGAACGGGCGATGGTGATATTACAAGGTAAGGTAGGTAGCGAGCGGGAGGTGGAAAGTCTGGGAAGTCGGGAAAGTTGCAGCGTTTCGTCGGCGGAGAGTGGGTTTCTTCGCTTCGGGTTGTTCCCAAGGTATGTCCGGGTGGGTGGTGTCTTATCGAGGCGCGATACTGCACTTCGTCACTGCAACATCAAGCTGACCTTTAGCGTGAGGCAAGCGAGGGTTGTCGAGTTGAATCCCAGGTGTAGCTTGAGCAAGGAGCAAGAGACGACACGGGATTGGAAGAATGGACGAAGATGTGGTTTTGAATCTGCTCAAGATGTCGACGCGATGAAGATGGGACCTGACTGAGCAAGTGAAGTGAGCAGAGGAAAGAATTTAGAAAAAAACCAAAAGGGCACCTCAGTCTGCCAATGCGCCGCCCTTGCCGGCCAAGGCTGGGCAGGAGAGCGGAAGGATAAAAAAGATGAGCACATTGGCATGCTTTTTTGGCAAAATGGAAGCCAAGAAAACCCAAAGACCACAGCAGTCCACAAGAAGCCAACCAGCACCGCCGCCATCGCCCGCATTACACGAGTGCCCAGCCCATAAGTACCGCCGCCGGGCGCCCTCGCCCTCAGGCGGGTGCTGGCTGCTGCTGGAGAAGCGGCGGAACGAGAGCGCGCTGTGCTGGCTGGCTGGGGTGAGAAACAAACGATGAGAGGTGGATGAGAGAGGTGGGAAGGGGGGGAAGAAAGCCAAGAAATGCCAAGACCGCGAATTTCGAGAAAAATATGAACATGACCGGGGTGGTGGTGCACGGAGCACTGGTCGCATGAACTGGAGCCCTGAACACAGAACACAGCTGCATTTGACGCGCTGACCAACGGCAATGCACGGCGCAAGGATTCCGTTCGTCCCAATTCCCGCCCCGAGAAACTCAGAATCATCACCGCCAGCGCAGACGGGAGAGGGATTTCGGAATGGAAACTGCTCTCCTGCCCTCCTCCCCTAGGTCCTTGCTTCCTGCCTCCTGCCTCCTGCCCGCCGCCGCTGCCCACTTTCCCGGCGCGGGCGGCCGCGGCCTGCATCGACGAACCTTCTTTTTCGGTTTTGTTTCCTGCCGATCGGATTGAAATCTCGTTATCGTCTGGTCCTCCATTCCTTACAGTTCCCCACTGGATCTGGGAGTTTTCGATGTGATAACCGACTTTGGCAGGAGTGTCTTGATCTTGAACTTTTCAACGGATGACGACCATGGCACCTCTCTTTCTTTCCATTCCAACGATTGAACAAGGGAGGCAAAACTCGGTTTCCGCCCGTCACCTTTCGACTGCAAGAAGTCCCAGAAACCTAACGGATTGCCCGCGTCCATCGAGGCCCCTGAATCAATTTGTCTCGGTGCGTTCCCATCTTGGCAACGGTAGCGCTGATATCACTGACTGCGCTGTGGCTTCACGAGCTGCAGTACCGACGTTGGCATTACGCCGTCTAATCAACTCGCCGACCCCAAAGAGAAAATGGTTCGTCGCGTCCGTCTGACTTTGATCATCCGAAAAAAGCCGCCGTCCGATGATCTTCGTCTGATTCCTTCCCGCCCAGCGCCTGCCCAGGATATATCGTGTTTCCGGCTCACCGCAATCGCCTCGGCGGCGGAACCTGGCCTCGCCCCATCATGCGGCCGAAACATCGGAGCCAGAGACGTCTTTGCCGCGATGCCCAGACTCAATCTGCATCTTCTGCCTTCGTTCGTCCTGCGGATCAAATCATCGGATGTTGGAAAAGCTTAGAAAGCGAAGACAGAACAGGCCGGCCAAATGTTGGATTGCCGAAAAGGGAATGCAACCTCCCATCCCAGGGGGCCTGCAAACCAATTGGCCAGGTGCTCTCTCCCCTGAGATGATCGGCGTCCCGTGTGATCTGTCATTCGAAACAAATCCCGCTGTCGCCGCCGGAGGGCTGTGATAAAGCACAATCTTTGCCAAGCTGTTGCTTGCGAGAAGATCGCAGAACGCGGTGCATCGAGACGGGCGTTCAAGAAGGATCGGCATACCCACATTCCGGTGCCTCTGCCGACTCAGGTCCCCTAGGACGTCAAAATTGGCCCCATGCCCCCTCTGAAGAACGTCCGGGCTACCGATGATTATGCTTCTTCATAAGCTTCTTTCCCCCTCCCATTCCCAGTACCAAACCAAACCCCTCTGACCGCAAACAACAGTAGCCACTGCCCAAAAGGCCCTCGCCGTAGCGTCCAGAGCTTTTGCGCACGCGAGATTAAAGTCAGGCTGGTTTTCCTCCACAAACGGCTCAAACGCCGATTGCTTACTGGCGTGACCCAATCGGAGAATTGCCTCTCTGACGGTAGCCTAACGGTCCCGCCATGGAGACTTGTTGCTTTTGTTCTGGCCAAACCACTCGCACGATGCAATGCGAGCGGCTAGGCCAGCAATGGATAAAATACCAAAAATGTACCTTGCCAAGCGCTGCGGCACAGCAGTCGTGAAGAGATTAATTTGATGCATTGCAAACATATAACGCGACATGAAGCCCGCACGCGCAGCCATCGTGACTGAGAAGGTCTGCCGTCTCCTTCCACTCGTTACAGGTCTCGCTCTCCAAAAATGAAGCGCCTCACACCGCTCCTCCTCGCCGCCATAGGCACCGCGGCAGCCCAGACCACCACCAAAATCGACGTCGTCGTGCCGTACATGGGCGAATCGTCATGGCACGTCTCGGTCGAGGACGCCAAGCCCGCCGCGACCACCTACATCCTGGGCTGCGAGGTCGACATGGCCAGGACGGGATGCGCGTCGGACGACGACTCGGTCATGAACGGTGCGTGGGACGGCCTCACCATCATCAGCGGGCCCAAGACCTTTGCGGTGCATCACAGCTTCAGTGACCGCGACATGTGAGTTCTCAATCTCCTCCCTGACATTTCCCAATAGAAAAAAGCTGGAGAAAGAGAAAAAGAACCGTGTCGATTTGCACGTACCCGCGCAGCCGCCCTAACCCGAGAAACCAGGTCCATCGGCTACGAGGGCTCCACGGTGGGCAACGAGATGCGCTACATGGAGATCCAGACCATGAACGGCGCGACGGTGCGCATGGGCAGCTTCAACGGCGACAAGCGCGCCATGACGGTCCACCTCACGGCGACGGCCGGCCTCGAGAAGCTGGCGGCGGCCGCGACGATGGCGCCGGAGACGGGCGTCTCGAGCGGGCTGGCTTCGGCGACGAGCGGCACCGGATCGGCGGCGGGACCCACTCCGACGCCCAACGCCGGGTCCGGGCTCCGGGTTGCGAGGGCGGAGGTCCTGGCGGGTGTCGTCGGGGTTGCTGTTTTGGGAGTGATGATGATTTGAGGATTCTGTTGCTGGAGACCAAACGGAAAGATTGTTCAATGTGGATGTGTCAAAGACGGGCGGTTTGCGACGGAATGACTGAGTGGTTGTTTGATTGCCCACCTTTGACGCATTCCATATGTGTCATGGTGAAAGCCGAATATCCTCGATACCCATCTTTGTTTTTCTTCATTGCCTTCTTGTACCCTTTGAAACTCGCATGAGTAGTAATACCCAGTCAAAGAATCCGTTTGTCCGCTCACAACGGTCCTTCCACACGAACAGCCCGCCAATTCCATTGTTTCCGACATCGAAACGCGTTGAAGGTCTCTCTACGAATTCTAGAACTCCAGAGATAAATACGAGAGCAACTTCTGCAATATCTGGAATCAACCAGATCATCACACCCGTCCTCACAAGAAATACATTCTCAACCGCTTTCCCTGATTTTCCAAGGATTATCATCAACCTCTTTCCCTACATTCCCCCCCCAAGAATCACCGCCACTACCTCATTATCCCTGCGCCAGACGTCCTTTGCACATAAAAAAAACATACATAATGGCACCGGAAAACGTGACCGTCATCGTCGTGAGCTTGACCGTGTCCATCGCCGTCCTCTGCGGCGCCGCTTTTGCCATGTTCCGCTGGGTCATGTCGCCTCGGGCGCAGAGGCAGTACCACAAGCGACACGGCGTGTTTCCGCCGGAGGAGGTCCAGGGAGTTTGAGGGCTGATGGGGGCTCTCGAGGTGAGAATATCCAAAGGGTGGGAATGGAGATGGGACGGAGGAATCATATCACGGGTTCGGGGGGACTCATAGCGCAATTTTGTCTTACGGTCGATTTCCATTAAAAAGAAGGGATTTTATCTCCCAAAAGTGCCGCCGGCCTTCGCATATGAATTGATGAGAACAGCAATGCAAAAGAACGCAAAACCCACCTCCACGACTCCAAGCTTGCTATGCCGCGACCACCATCGTCCCTGGACAACCCCACAACACCGTTTCCGTCGCCCACAGTTCTCGACACATCACATAAAACGTTCAGGTGTCGCGGAGCCTCCTACATCAAAGGCCTGTCCTCGCGGCCATCCAGCCAGCTGGAGCAGTTGACGCAACGTTGCGCCTGCCCGAACGTCAGTCACGCAGCCCGCCAGAAACACCTCCGAACGTCATGCACATACCTTGATGCTGATCCGCTTGCGGCAGTACTTGCACTTGACGGTCGGTTTGATGATGGGGTCACGGGAGAAGAGCTGGAAGACGTGGGCGAGTCCGAAGAGCGCGAAGCCGATGCAGAAGAAGGAGATGAGCTGGTTGATGAAGGAGCTTGCGCGGGGAAACGATCAGAGACTCGGAAAGAAGCTGTCGGCGTAGGGTCAGCCGACTTACCCGTAGGCCAGGACGACGGCGCCGTCGTCCTTGGCCCTCTCGAGGGTCGTGTACTTGTTGTCGTGCGAGTAGTTGGGGCCGCCGCGCAGGACGGCGAACTTCTCCTCCATGTTGCGGTTGAGGGGGAAGATGATGGACATGGGCGGCATGAGGATGTTGTTGACGAAATTGTTGACGAGGGCCGAGAAGGAGGAGGCGATCCTTTGCACCCGGAGATTAGTCGTCCGTCACACACCCTAAAGGAGCGTCGATTACCGTCTCCCACGATATACGGTCTCAGACATAAAGAGGAAATACTCACATCAATCCCAAGGCGATGCCGAGGATGTCGCCTCCCGTGGCAAAGTCGAGGAAGTTCTGCCAGATGGTAGTAGCCTTGGCTCTTCCGCGGTTGAGGAGCGGGATGAGCTGGTCGTCCTCATCGTCGGAGTCCTGGAGGCGCGGGTGGCTGTTTGTGGACGAGATGCGTTCGCTGAAGGGGAGAGGCATCTTGGGCGGTGTGGCGTTTTGTCGGGCGTGTGTCGTACTGGGCGTGTCAGGCGTGTAAATTAGAACCGCAACGGTCGTCGGATGCTGAACTACGATGCAGTTGGGATGAAGTTCAGGCCGTGGACAAGATCTAAACGTTCAGGTAGAGTTGGGTTCAGACGGAAGGAGGTTAACTTGAGGCTGGGAAGGTGGTTTCCTGTTTGGGGAGGCATGACGTACCCCACATTCCGGGGTGGGACCTCGGCGCCGGAGCTGAAGACGGCGTAATGCTAGTGACAGGTTGCCCGCGCCTCATTGGTTCTTTTTCAAGGAAGATATAGTATTAATCCGTGCTATCTAAAACGCCTGTCTCTCTCTTGCCAAAACATCACCATACCCTCAGTTCAACTTGCTAACAGCCGGCATCTTCCCAATCAACTCAGGCGCTCCCGTCTCGGCGACATCAACCAGCCAGCGCGTCAACGCAGCCCTCTTCTGCGAAAGCCCCCACCCGCTCGCCCCCACGGGCCCGGCAAACGTCTTGCCATCGTCGCGCTCCTGCGCCCACGTCTTGGCGTCCTCGCCGCCGCCCTGGATGAAGCCGATGCGGTACACGGTCCAGTCGATGTCGCGCGTGGCCTCGCGGTCCCCCTCGAACAGCTTCTGGATCGAGATGAAGTTCAGCCAGGCCTTGTGGACCGCGAGGCGGACGAGCGTGGCCATCAGCCAGCGGAGGATGGAGGTCTCGTCCTCGGGCTGGTAGATGGAGACGGTGCCCATGGCGAAGATGCGCCGCACGCCCTGCCGCCGCATCGCGGAGAGGACGGTGCGGTACATGTCCGGGTACTCTGTCCCGGTGGACAGCGTCGTGGAGGCGTTTGGTCCGAGCAGGGAGACGACGGTGTGGCACTCGGAGAGGGCTGTCGAGAGGGCTTCCGCGTCGTCCATTCCTCCCTTGACGACCTTTGTAACGCGTGTTAGCCGACATGAGATGAAATGATGTTTTGTCTCTTACCTTGATCAGAGGGTTCGAAGTCAGATCTGCGGGGATTTTGGACGGAGTGCGAGCGAAGGCGACGGCCTTCAGGTTTCGAAAGACGAGCTCCCGCAGGAGACAGATCCCAGCAGGACCCGTCCCGCCGAGTACCAGAATGCTGTCCTTAGCCATGTTCGTGATGAGTTATTGTTGTTGTTCGTGTCTCTGGTCAAATGCAGCAGATATACCGACCTTTATATCAGCAGTCGCTCATCACGAAACCCCCATTCTGAAGCTGCCAATCCCTCCATGATTAGTAAACTTGTCGCTGCAGTATGGGAGCCTGGCAACATGGTTTCGCAATTCGAGGACGATATCCCATTAGAGTTATTGAAGGTTTGTGAGTGATCCCGGTGGCTTACACAACGGCGGCAACCAATGATCCCGCCTTCTCCGCACACTTTTGGCATCGTCCGGAGTTTGCGGATGCAGAACTGTATCCGCCGTCCACTCGGCGTCAGCACACGGGAGCTGGAGTGGATCACTGTACCGACCTGCTCCGGCCTCATCCCGGCGAATGCTTAATTTGCGCTCGGACATTCTGTCCCTCTGGTGGATGATGCGGATGCTTCGTGGATGACCTACACCTAGATAAAAGAGATGCTTTGTCAATCGACGAGACATTCACGATACCCCTGGCAATAAATAGCCGACATCCACAGGTTTTCTGTTAGTCACATGCCGCGGAAGAGAAACGTATTTGGTCGGCAAATCGCCGTTCAAGGTGGTGCATTCTTCTACTTGTGAGTGATCTATGCAACAAGAACATTCTATGAAATCATCCGTCGCAACAATGGTATCTTGAGAATTAAGGAAAAGGATCGTGATGTCGGCTGTGGCCTCAGTAGACCAGCTATCGGGCCAGTCCTGGCAAAGTTTCGCTCATAAATTCGCTTCCGTGTCGTGGTGTCCCAATCTAAAGAATTGAAGGCGCACACAGTTTACTGTTTTTTAGATCATAAAGGAGCATCCTTTTTAGAAGCTGCCCTTGTTGTGACGCTTCTCAGTGTACCCTCGCTTCTTCGCCCGCCTCGAGGCACAGCACTGGGTGACCCAGTAAACAGCCGCAGCAGCCATGACGGCGAACGCGACCCAGGAGATGATCATAAACTTGGTACCAACATTAGCCGAGAGGCCAATGTCGTCGCCCAAGTCGTTGATTTGCTTCGCGCCCTCCCTGGCGCCGATGGTCGTCACCAGACTACCCGCGAACAGGACGATGGCCGCCAGGATGGCGAAGACGAAGTTGACTATCGTCACGCCCTTGCTGAAGCCGAGGAAGATGGCGGCGAGGGAGCCGAGGATGGCGAGACCGGAGAAGCCGATGCCCAGGACGTAGAGGACGAAGATGCTCAGCAGCGCCTTGTTGACCTTGTCCAGGGCGTCCTCGATGGTTTCGGGCCAGTCGAGATCGGCCAGGCTCAGACGCAGGGGGCCGACGGAGAGCTCCTGGTCCAGCATCTTGGTGAGGTTGACGTTGGCTAAACGAGAATCAGCAAAGTGTCGGAGAAGATCGCGGTGGAACATGGTACTTACGGCCGGGCTTCGGCTGGGTGCAGCCGGAGACGTTGAGCCAGGTGCTGGGAGCCGTCACGTTGGGGGCGAAGTCGCCCTGGCACACGTCCATCAGGTGCAGAGAGTACCAGTGGGAGATGCCCAGCTCCTCGGCGAGGCGGTCTGCGACGTCGTTGCCGATGTCGTTGATGATGTCATTTGTCTTGTTGCGCACGATGCCGACTATCCTGTCGAAGGGGTTGTCGTCGTTGTCGGGCTGGTCGGAACCGATGTTGAGGACGTTCTGGCCCAGGCCGGAGGTGTTGAGGCGGATGACGTCGTAGTTCTCCATGAAGCCCTCCTTGTGGCCGGCGAAGAGAGCCAGGAAGGAGAGGACGAATGCCACTATGGACAGGACCAGCGGCAGTATTGCGGTGAAATGCATGATGCCGACGGGAGTGTTTGATCCGTGTAATACAAAAGAAAAGCGGTCAGGATATGGAACGGCTAGGCTAGTTGGGCGGCCGAAGCACAGCAGATATGTAGGAGTCAACCCGCGATATTAAGACGAGAGTGTAGGTGGTTAGGTACTGCTTTGAACCTAATGTTAGGAAGGGGGGAATTGGTTTTATCAAGAGCCAGAGACATTCGAGACATCAAATGGGCCAGTCACCTTAAAGAGGGAGGAGTGCGGCCTAAAAGTTGGGTGAATCACAGCGAGCCAGGCATCTGGACCCTGGAAAACCAATGATGCAACCAAAGAGACGCTGAGTGCCTGAGTGGGCGTCAAAGAATGCTGGGCGGTGATGATGGGTTGGTAGGCCAGGAACAAGGTCGTTTGTCTCCATCGGCGTCACTTGACTGGCCCGGAAAGATACCCATGGACCTGGGGCGGCAGTTGAGGAACGCTGAAAGGAGGCGAACATGATGTTGCTTTTTGGATGGGTGGTGGAACAGCACAGCAGGTTGTGGTCGGGCCTGACGTGGCCAAGATTTTTAGTCACATGCGAGTAGGGTCGTGTTGTCGGACTTGTTGTCGTCGCTCCAAGACATGGGGTTGGGAGAGTGAAGATCACGAAGTTTGCGTCATCGTCTTTCTGCCCTGAGCCACATCTTTTTGGGCACCAGGTACGTACCTTACCTAAGGTGGAGCCCAGTGTCCGTGGGCAAACGGAGGTGCCCCACACGCGCCGGTCTAGCCCGTCACCGTCACCCGTCCAGTCCATCGGATGACGCCCGGGAAAACCTGTTTGGACGACAGGGATGCGCCGTCAGGTTTTGGGAAGCTCGCAGCCACTCGAGACCCTGAAGGGTCCTTCTTCTGATGTCGCTGTTGGCGCCTGTGGAGGCTGTCCCCGACGCCCCAGCGCGAACCGAGACCTCTCCAGCTACCTTAGAGGCACATCTCACACCACGCCTAGCCAGGACGGAACCCGGGCTTGACCTGCGTTTTTCCCAGTCTGATCAACGGTCTTCCTTGGTTTACTCAATGGAGAAGAGGGATTGACTTTGTCCCACGTTTCTTTCCCCGTTCATCCAAACGACTTGAACAAAAATAGAAACAAGCTTATGGAGCTGTCGGCACATGCGAATAGCTTCGTTTTCTGGAGAACCGTCCCATCACCATTTTCAGGGAGGATTCCTTTTTCCGTTAGCTGTCGGACATACGTCTCTGAAGTTCTTCAAGACAGTGTTAGGGTTGCTCGTATAGACAGTTTGATTGCTGCGCTTACTCACCTTCCTTAATCGGATGTTGTTTCAGGGGGAAGCATCCCTAGGCTTACTTTGCCGCCAAACCGTTTAAATGGTTGATTCCCTCGACCCTAAATTCCCCAAAACTTCTCTTTCTCTTCCTCTTCAACTCTTGCACTCTCGCTTTCCTGCAGCAATTGCAATGGACAACTCGTCTTCAATCGTGTGCTCCCCAACAGCCGACGACGCCTTCGGGCCAATCGTCCAGAACTGCCGTGACGGCTTCGACTTCACCCTCACTTTCGAACAATGTCTTTTCACAATCCTCCCCGCCTCCCTCCTTCTTCTCGTCGCGCCTATCCGCCTCTTCCAACTCGGCAAACTCCCCAGCGCCGTCTCCGGCAACGCCCTCCGTCTAACCAAACAGGCCGCCATCGCCGCCCTTGCCATCCTACAGCTCACCCTCATCGCCCTCTGGACCAAACACGATGGCGCAGGCCGCCTGCGCACCGTGTCCATCGCAGCCTCCTGCGTGTCCTTCGTCGCTAGTCTGGTATTTGGTGGTCTCTCGTACATAGAACACTCGAAGAGCCTTAAGCCTTCGTCCGTCTTGAATACATACACCCTCGCATCGCTGGTGCTGGACGGAGCAATCCTCCGCACCATGTGGCTGTCGCACTTAAGCGTCGCCATCAGCGCCGTCTTCACCGCGTCCTTCGCCTTGAAGGCGGCCATCGTGATCCTCGAAGCCCGGGAGAAGACGCGATACCTCGTCGACGCTCGGTCGTATAGCCCTGAAGAGACAAGCGGCATCTACAGCCGCGGTCTCTTCTGGTGGCTCACGCCGCTGCTGTTGACTGGTTTCCGCCGTCTCCTGAAGCCATTGGACTTGTTCGCCTTGGACGAGTCCATGTCGGCTGTGGTGCTGAACGAGAGGTTCTGGCTGTTCTGGGACAAGTCCGGATCGAGCTCGCATGGCCCGTCGGACGGCTCGCCCCGTCCGCACAGCTATCAGCTCATCGGGGCTTGCCTCAACACGCTTCGGTGGCAACTATTGGCTGTCGTCCCTGCGAGACTCTGTCTGCTCGGCTTCACCATTTGCCAACCGCTGGTGTTGAACAGGTTCCTCGAGTTCCTGCAGAACCCGTCCGAAGATGTCAACTACGGTTACGGCCTCATCGGCGCCTATGGGCTCGTCTACCTTAGCATCTCCATTGCATCCAGCTTCTACTGGCACAAGGCCTTCCGTTCCACTGCTATGCTCAGAGGCATCTTGGTCGCGGCCGTATACTCCAAAACGACAGAGCTCAGGGTAGCCCCCGGCGACGACTCCGCTGCAGTGACTCTCATGTCAACTGATGTAAGTATTCACAATATTGGTTGTTGTTTACACATACTAAATCTCCTAAGGTCGAGGCCATCGTCCGCGCTTGGCGCGAAATCCACGAGTTCTGGGCCAACATCATCCAAATCGCTCTCGCAACATGGATACTCAGCACCCACATCGGCTACGCCGCCGCGGGGCCCATCATCGTGTCAGTCGTCGCGTTGATAGTGACTCTTTCGTTTGCGCCTGCAACCCAGAAATACCAAGTCGTCTGGATTGAAAAGGTCCAGAAGCGAATCGGTTCGTCTTCCCTCTCCTCAAGCTTTACGCATCACTAACCTTCCACAAGGAATCACCTCGGCCATGATGGGACACGTCAAAAGCATCAAAATGTCGGGCCTGACGCAGAAGCTCTCCCAGACCATTTCCGACCTCCGGCTCTCGGAGATGAAGGCAGCAGTCCCTTTCCGTGTCATTGCTTCCATCTCCTCGGCCGTGGCTCAGATCCCCCTGATGATCGCCCCCGTGGTCACTTTCGCCATGTACATGTCCATCACGTCAAAGACTGGTGAGACGCTCGACGCGACTAAGCTCTTCGCGGCCTTGTCTCTGGTCATCTTGTTGGCGAGCCCCTTGTTCTTCATGTTTGAGCTCGTTCTCGACATCAGTGCCGCCCTTGGATGCTTCCATCGGATCGAGACTTATCTCTGTGAACCTCCACGAGTCGAGTACCGAATCATGCCTTCGGGTTCTCAATCCGGATTGCATCTGGCAGAGACTAAGACCGCGGCTGGGGACGTAGAGTTTGAGGGGGACCTCCACGATGCCCCGGCTGTTCATGTCCAAGGAGCCTCATTTGGCTGGAAGTCGGATGCCACCGAAATCCTCGCCGGCGTCAGCTTTGGCGTCGATTCAGGCCAGCTGCTGATGCTCGTAGGCCCTGTGGCCTCGGGCAAGAGCACGCTCTTGAAAGGCCTGCTGGGAGAAGTCCCGAAAGTGACCGGAACAATAGCTCTCTCAAGCGATCGCATTTCCTGGTGCGAACAGAGCCCGTGGTTGATTGTAAGTAAAACCGAAGTATCTAGCCCATGCAATAGTGCTAACTTGATTATCAGAACGACACCATTCAGAAGAACATCATCTGCTTCTCTGACTTTGATGAAACCTTGTATCGCCAGGTCATCAAGGCGTGTGATCTCGACAAGGACATCAACCAGCTTCAGGGCGGAGACCAGACACTCATCGGCAGCAAGGGGCTTGCTCTGAGCGGCGGTCAAAAGCAGCGCGTGGTAAATAACTTCCTCCTTCAATTTGTTCTTCTTACTAAAGTTACATAGGCTATTGCCCGAGCCGTTTATTCTCGCCCTCAGATAGCCATCTTCGACGACGTCTTCAGCGGCCTGGACAACCACACGGCCAAAGCCGTGTTTCGCCGGCTCTTCAGTCCCGAAGAAGGCCTCCTGAGAAGCTGGGGCACTACAATCGTGCTCGCAACCCAGTCCGGTGCGTCCCCATCCTGCATCGGCTGTCGCTCCGATGGTGCTTGAGCTGACATGCGTGACCGCAGTTGGGTTTCAACCTCAGGCGGATATGATCATCGCGCTCGGGGAGAACAAGATCGTGGAGATGGGCACCTTTGAAGAGTGCCAAAAGACAGACGGCTACGTCAGCAGCCTCGTCGCCACTGAGGCCAAAAACAGCCAAGACGAAGACGTTAACCAGACTGACCTGGCTACTGAAGCCTCCGACGAGATGTCCGAGAAGAAGGAAGCCAAGCCCGCCGCAGAAGAACAAGATATGCGGCGTCAGCTCGGCGATTGGAGCGTCTACGGCTATTACTTCGGAAGCGTCGGCGTCGCTCTCGTCGCCATCATGCTCTTCCTCCAGATCGTCTGGGCCTTTTTCTCAACATTTCCCAGTAAGCCTGCCTCTTTCGCACCACGCCGTGAAAATATCATCGCTGACAGAAGCCTTACCAGCTGTCTGGCTGAAGTTCTGGACGGACCACACCGCCGAGAATCCCAACGAGGACTCTGGATATTATCTCGGCGTGTATGCTGCCTTGCAAGCCAGCGGCGTTGTGTGCTTTGCCGTTCTCATCTGGTAAGAGGCCTCATATTTCGGAGAATCCGTCTAACAGGGACAGGTTTGTTCTCGTACCAGTCGCGTCGAGGTCGGGTATCAATTTGCACCAAAGACTCCTCACGGCCGTCATGCAGTAAGTCGACCTTAGGTCCTGGTGTGACATGAGCAACGTCTGACAAACCTCTCCAGCGCTCCGCTGGCCCTCTTTACGAGCACTGATATCGGTTCCATCACAACTCGGTAAGCTCCCACGGTTCTTGGGACATCGTCTCCAGACTGACAAAGAATGCAGCTTCTCCCAGGATATCGGCCTGATCGATAGGAACCTGCCATTGGCTTTGGTAGTCTCGCTCGCCAGTACGTTACCCCCTCATGGAATATCCCCATCAACTGATCTGACGATACCGCAGGCTTCTTCACCTGTATCGGCAAGGCCTTCCTCATAGCCTCCGCCTCATGGTACATCGCCATCAGCTTCCCCGTCCTGATCCTCGTCTTCTACTACATCCAACGCGCCTACCTCCGCACATCCCGCCAGCTCCGGTTGTTGGACCTGGAAGAAAAAGCACCCGTCTAGTAAGCCCCCCCCCCAAAGCCCCCAAAATCCAACACGTTGACGAAGCTCACCTCCCAACCCCAGCACGCACTTCCTCGAAACCCTCTCCGGCCTCCCGACCCTCCGCGCCCACGCCATGACGACCCCCTCGATAACCCACTCCCACGCCCTGATCGACCGCTCCCAGCGCCCCTTCTACATCCTCCTCCTGACGCAGCAGTGGCTCACCCTCGTCCTCGACCTGGCGACCACGGCCCTCGCCCTCCTCGTCGTCGGCCTCGCCGTCCGCCTGCGCGCCTCCGTCTCCGTCGGCCTCACCGGCGTCTCCCTCGTCCAGCTCATCTCCTTCACCGAGACCCTCAAGATGCTGATCCAGTTCTGGACCTCACTCGAGACCTCCATCGGCGCCGTCGCGCGCATCAAGAACTTCTCCGACGAGACGCCCGACGAGGTCGAGCAGGACGCCTCGAAGCGGGGAGGGCTGGTCTCCACCGCAGCCGCGCCGGGATGGCCCGCCCGAGGCGCCATCGAGCTGCGCGACGTCTCGGCCTCGTACGACTCCTCCAAAACCGGAGGAGAGAAGACGCCCAAGGCCCTGGACGGCATCACCCTCTCCATCCGCGCCGGCGAGAAGCTCGGCATCGTGGGACGCACGGGGAGCGGCAAGTCCTCCCTCCTCCTCGCCCTCCTGCGCCTCCTGCCCCTGTCCTCCGGCACCGTCACCGTCGACGGCCTGCCCTCCGACTCCCTCCCGCTCCTGGACTGGAGGTCGTCGCTGATCGCCATCACCCAGGACCAGTTCGTCCTGCCCGGGACCGTCCGGCAGAACATCGACCCCTTCGCCGCGGTCCCGGACGATGATGTTGTCAAGTCGGTGCTCGCGCGCCTCGGTCTCTGGGACGCGATCGAGGGGAGCGGGGGCTTGGACGCCGAGTTTTCGGAGGAGGCTCTGAGTCACGGGCAGCGGCAGCTTTTCTTCGTCGCGAGGGCGGTGTTACGGCGGGATGTGGGGAGAGTTGTGTTGTTGGACGAAGCCACGAGCAGGTATGGACGTTTTACTCACGTATTACTGTTTTCTTTGCGAGTATGAAGCTAACTTTGAAAAGCGTCGATGCTCATACCGAGCGGATGGTCCGGGATCTCATTCGTGAGGAGTTCAAGGAGCACACCGTCATCGCGATCGCACACCGCCTGGATACCATCGCCGACTTTGACAGAGTCGTCGTCCTGGACAAGGGTCGCGTGGTCGAAGTTGGAGAGCCTCAGAGCTTGCTGCTAGAGGGAGGGAAGTTTAGGGAGCTGTGGGATGCGAGCAAGCAAAGCGGTGCTCCTGGTGCTTGAGAACGTGAGACGTGAGCGGCGAGTGACAAGAGGGAGGATGTTCGCGTTGGGGTCTTGTTTTCATTTTTGTTGTATTCCGATAGTCTAGGTCATGCCCGGTGACCGCACATCTTCTATATGATCCCTTTCGACGGTGATGAACCGCCCCTTCCCATCTCTTTGCGTGACGATGTATCTCTCAATCGTCCTCGCCATCCTCGCCGCCTCCCGGAACCGTTCGCCGTCGGCGATGGGCGTGTTCTCGCTGATCTCATAGCCATATTTCAGCTTGAGCGTCGACACCTTGCCCCACGGTCCGGCCCAGTCGATCTTGTCACCGTCCACGTTGGCCATGAGCGCCTTGAACCAGTCTCCGCAGCCCGTGAGATCGAGATACTCCAGCCCGTACAGGCACTTGCTCAGCTTCCGCAGCAGGATAACGGCCTCGGTCCAGTCGTCGTCCAGGGTGTGCGAGTAGGCCCCGGTGCTGGAGTACTGCGCCGTGCGTCCGTCGGGCGACACGATCGTCGCGAACTTCGCGTTGGGCGTCAGTGACGGCTCAGGCCAGTAGGCTAGGCTGAGATGCGTGAGCGTGGGCAGCTTGGCCGCGAGAGCGAGCAGCTGCTTCCACGTGACGTCGGGCCCGCCGCCGCAAGCCCCCGGCACGACGGCCAGGGATAGATGTGTGATGTTGGGCAGAAGCTTCGGGGGCAGCGACGGCGCCTCCGCCGTGTCCCAGGAGTCCTGCACCTCCTCAGACGCACCCGCAAGCTGCTGCGGGAAGAGCACATCGGTCAGCTCCCTAATGCTCATGGAGCGTCCAACGGAGCCAGCGAGATCGAGGGAGTATACGTCGTTATTCAGCGAGACGAGTTCCTCGAGGTCCAGCTGCAGCTGCTCGCCGCCCTCATCCTTCTCGTCCACGACGGGTGGTATGAGGATGTTGCGCAGGTCCGCAGCGGACAGTCCGGCCTCGTGCCACGTGCCAACGTACCTGACGAGGGAGGCGCGGACTCGGCTGGGCAGCGTGTGAAGGTAGTACCGGTCATAATCCCTCTGGAAGTCCCAGTTCAGGGCCATCCTGCGCAGCAGGAGATCCGTCAGGCTGCCCTTGTCGGGCTCGTAGGAGCCCGGGAGGCCCTTGACGGCGCCGGTCGCGGCGTGGGCGTGTGCGCTGGTGTAGCGGGAGTCATTGCTGCAGGCGCGGTTGAGCCAGCTGCGTGGTGGTGGCGGGCCGGGGGGCACTCGTCTGCCGGTCGCGTCGAATCGTGGGACACGCCTGGGTGCCGGGGGAGGCGTCTCTGGGATGTGGAGGATCTGTCGGAGGGCGGGCGGGACGGTGGGCGTGGCTGCCGAGGACGCTGCGGTGGTACGGCTCGAGGAGGCGAGGGAGGATCGGCGGAGATCGGCTAAGAGCTCGTTGACGCCCTTGCGTTGGCTCTCTGTTTGTCGTGGCTTTCGTGTCAGTTTCTTGGATATTGTATGGAAGAGGTCGGGAATGGAGAGGGGTGGGATTTGGGGGTGTGGGGAGATGGCGAGAAGATCCAGGTGTAGAGGTTACGCGAGGAGGGAGACTGACGAGCAGTGGTCGAGGCTGAAGCTGAGGCGCCCAACGATGCGGGGGCCGTGGATTGCGGCTTCGAGTATAATGATTGATGCCTTTTCTTAGGCATACCCGGGGAGAGGTCAAGATACGAAGAAGCTGTGGCGGAAGCTTCCGGGGGAGGGCGAGGTCGCGAGGAAGCTTGAGGAGGTCGAAGACGAGGGCGAGGGCGGGCGCGGCGGGGTGCAGAAGGAAAGCAAACAAACTCTGGCGTACTTTTTGTCGCTATGTACCGCAGTGGTTTGCTTCTGCCTTTGGGATTGGAAGGAAAGCCTTTGGTCAGCAACAATGACTCAATATCGCTGTTTAGTCACTGCAGTCACAGCCCCTACAGTCAAGCTCCTTCTGTTGTTGGAGTCATTAGTAGAATTACCTAGATGATGGAAGTTGTTGCTCATAATCCTTGGGGCGGAGGGGCGTGGCTAGTGGCTCGGACTGGCTGGCTCGGACTACATAGTACCTGGCGGCCAGGGAGGAACGTTACAACGCTGCTTCAAATGGAGCAGCAGGTTTGTCAGCGTTGGAGTCGGCCCTGATTCGCTCAAAGGCCTCTTTGGCTGTAATTACTCCCTGCGACCAAACATATGGTCCGTGCATTCCGGCCGGACCGGACAATGGGACCCGGACGAGTCTGAGGCACCGAGACCCCACGGTGCCCCCTTTGGCAGCGTTCTGGCCCCGCTTTGGCGGCGGCGTTTCGGTGACCCACCTCGGCGCTGTTTGAACCTTAGTTCGGCAACGACGCCCAACTTGCCGGCCCGATTTCGCAATCCCGTCCCATTATTCCCCAGTCCCAAGCTCCCAAAAAAAACAGTGACCCACTGCGATTGCTGTTATGGCTTGCTTCCTAGAGTTCAAGACTGCACCCGGCAGCCATGTGCCACAAACCTTAGTGCTCCGTTTCAGCATCGCGAGGGCGAAGGCACACCTAGCTCCCTGGACCCAATCTGTACACGCTCTATCCGCATCTGGAGGAGGCTGCTGCGGCCCCCAGTAGCCTACGTGCCCCGGGGAGGTCACGGCGCATCATGTTTGACTTTGACTCTGTTCATCGAATTTGACATCTTGGTAAGGCAGGGTTGGTGCAACCTCGAATAACCTGCCATGCTGTAGACCATGCCCAAGTCCATGTGGCAACAAGGTCCCAGACAATGAAGCTTGAGTGCTGCTTCGGGAACGCCATTGTTGATAGTGTGGGGTATGGGACGCGGACGATGACGGACAGGAACACTCATGGGCGCCACCCGTCTCGGACTTCGTTGATCACCCGCTCGCTCGCCACACTCCCTCCTGTCTTTTTCGTTCTGGGCCAAGGTGTTATCTTTCCAATCCGACAGGCATCCGCCGTGATTATCCCTTTAGACATGCCCTCTCGTGTCTAGACTGAGTTAGTGTGACGGGCGCAAATCAACACAGATTCAAGCTGTTTAGTTTTCAGCTGTTCCTGTCATATGATGTCTCGAAACACCGAGAGGAGGTCCTCGGTGAGTGGTAGGGAGAAAGTGAGCTGACATGAGCACCGGGTGCCCGCGCCATTGGCACTGTTGTCATTCGATCCCCTCACGGCTTGATTGGCCTTCTGATGAGAACGAGTCATTGGCCCGTTAAGAGGCTTCATCCGCTTGACCTGAACGAGGACTAGATCACCTTTGCAATCAGTTGTAGGCGCACAAGCAGCGGCCATCATGACGCCCACGCAGTGATCGTCTGCCATCTTCCTTCCCACGGAGAGCTGACAGCCGATGGATCCATCATGAAGATCCTGTCAAACGTTGCATCCACAAAAGCCTATGGTTGACTCCCGACAGGCGGGCCTGAAACCGGTCTGCGAAACAACGTGCGTCGGCGCCGCACACGGTGTTTGCTGCCGGCGCGCTGATATGGCGCCCAACTCTGATTTCTCGTGCTCCCGGGACGACGAGAGCATCTTGGTCATGCTACCAGCCACGTAAAGGCTCCTGGCAGACTACGCCCCATCAGGGGTTATCGTGGGTCGATGGTTCCAGACGGTCGACAGCACATGAGTCTCGACCCATTTCCACATCACACCCATCCTGACAGAGGCCTTCTGAGAGGGGAAAAAGGTGCCTTCCACAGCATAATCAGGGGCTTGGGTGCGGAGACGAAACATGGCGTTCTAGTGACGAGAAACTTGGCTGATAGAGACTTGTAGGTCTGACAGTTCAAGATTGACAGTCCCGATGTGGAAGGAGGAAGCGAACAAATCCGGAAATATGTGCCCTTACATCGACCAGATCCGACATCGAAGCAGAGCCAGAGCAACGTGGTAGGAGCCCTGCTCACTGAGGCCCATGAGACACTTGTCGGCAAATGGTCGGTCGCGACCCGTATGCCGTGATGATCCCGAGGGCATGGTTCTCGAGCAAGTGCTCATCTGCACCGTGTAGCCGCGCGAGTGGCCAAAGATGTAGCATCCCATATCCGCCCTGCGACATGCGGGCAGTCGATCCGCAAATTTTAGAACATGGCAGACTGAGCCCGGCTTCGACACGCTACGACTATGCAGCTTTTCGGAAATGAGGCCTGATATTCAAGAGCAAGTGGATGATATCCAGACCCTGGTCGTATGTTGGTAGGGAGATGTTCACCGAAACAGCCCAATTCGGTACCTTTCTCGACCTCAACTCATAGGTAGGGTCTGCATGCCTCCGCTGTTAACGCTCTTCTCGTGTCACCTCAACCTGGAGCTGCAACGCTAAGGGTGCTGACCACTCTCCTTGGTGGCGCAAGGTCTTTGTCAGTCGCGTTGTCTTTTTCATGCTGAAGATGATCGATCTTTGTGCCATGAGAGTGAGAAGAAGAAGAGGAAGAAAAACAAATTTGGTGCGCAATGACCAGTGTAATTAGCCACAAATGCGCGGGATAGGTTGAAGTTGTGCTGGCTCTCAAGTCCAGGTGGTCATGAAGAACGAAGCACGGTAGCTCCGAGAAAAAGTCTTCGGCAGGTAAGCGTCGGAAAGCCTTGATTCCTTGACCGCTTCTTCGAGGGCTTCGTGAGGCACCCGGCCTGCTGGGAAAGGCAACGGTGCTTTCCGTCATCAGTACAGGGTCGGGAGTGGCTCATTGTAGGCTAAGGACCTATGCACCCGTTTCGAAACAGAGAAGACGCGGCGAGCCACGGCGGTCCAATGGCAGCCAGCGCGGCGATGATTGTGCACTCGACAACATCACTGTTTCTTCTCATTCGAAGTTTGTAGAGGGCCAAGGCCAGGGATTGTTCGGACTGTGGTTAATTCTAAGAAGCGATTCCTCGCTCCTCGAAAGTGATAATCTGGTTCTTCGCCGGCATAAGGCTATGACGTTGAGGCAAAAGCCAGCCTATCGTTTGGGCTTCCGCTGTGCAAGTCTTCGAATCCTGAGTGTCAACGGCCGGTTCTGCACAGGAAGCCGATCCGTCTGGCATCCAGCTGTCGCGGTGCCGGACATGGTATGCCGGGGTGAGGGCTGGCCCTTACAGCGAGTGATAAATTGTCGGCTTGACAAATAGGGAGTAGAAGACGAGCTTGCATCAAGCTGCGTCGAAAGAGACAACATGGGCAAGCCGCAGCAGGGTACCAGAGAGGTCCCTGTGAGTACTTGATGGTACATTGAACGGCGCCGGAAACGTCCGGGCAGGGCTGATGGATGTTGTGTTGTTCCTAATGCGTGGATGTCGAATATAGGTTCAGCCCCGCACTTGACATTGTGACTGAGGTGCCCCTGTGAGCTGTTTATTCCTGTCGATAGGAGCTGAGAAACAGTTCAAGCTCGGGTTTGTTTTTGTTTGGAGAAAGCGAATGTGTGCCTGGAGCTTGCTCAAACATAATCGAGTTGGGCCGTTGCAGAGACAAGAGAATGGCCGAAGTCGCATCGAAGCCAGATGCCATGCCATCTACCTAGCAGTTTCCGTCGACTATGTCCTTGTCTCTCGGAGCAGGTGTTTGCCGACCAAAGCATTGTTTTTTTTCACCAAATAAAGTGTTGCTCAGTACACTAAGGGAAACAGTAGCAACGATATCGGCAAGGGCGGAAAAAGAACTAGATGTGAGGGGTACGATGTTGATGCCCAACAACACGCGAGAATCGAGACGATGCAGAGCGGATGATGAACGATAGATTGCCCCAATGAAGAGTCGGTGAGCGCCTTGGTGAGGGGTGGACAGCGAAGGATGCAGCGAGCCATGAGGTATCGAAAGTGAGAGGCAAGTCAACTGAAGATGTTTGGAAACCGCGGTAGGTATCTTAGATTCGGCAGAAATGCAGTAGCAGGAAAGAGCTGAGAGAGAAACAAGTGCTCTTTCCTTCTCTCTTCAGAGGAAAGATAGAGACACAGTGTGGGCTTAGCGACAGCAAGGAAGCTCTTCTGATTGGCCTTTTGTGCGTTGGAAAAGGCAAGTAGTGGGTCTGTTTCCTTAAAGCCGGTCGTTGTTTCCCGATGCAATCTCGTAGCTGCATATCTACTTTACAGTGCCAATCTCATCCACACCGCACTGCAGGAAGGTCCGCAGATGAGGTACTGTTTTCTGCCCAATCAGAAGCTACCATTCGCTTCTGCGTCCCATAGTTGGAGGATCCACTCCTTCACCGTACCGTGCGAACCAAGCAAGAATCAAAGTCCCTCGACACCGAGCGAAGGACAGTGCAGAAAACTTCCCCGTCCACCAACAACGTTTTTGACGACTAACCCACCTCATCTGGCCCAGCCCCCTTGACGGCTTGTTTCCTCCTTTCTTTCTATCAAGCCCACTGAGCCTTACAGGCCTGTCTTGGTGCACCAACATCCTAGCAAGCTAAGGTACCAGGCGACATCATCCTGGCCCTCGTCGCCTGTTCGGTACGGATAGAGAAGAATCGCCCACGCCGG